TCAGAACGAACAAACCTAAATATATATTAGTTTCATTATTGGCATCACGACTGCTTCTGTTTGAATTCATAATGTAGTCTTGTTCTTTCGATGATGTGAGATCCTTTCCAATATGAACAAATGTTGGAAGCAAAAATTTGTGAAGCTTATTACAAAATAGAGGTGTAGATGACGAAAAGAGATCTGTCCCACGACAGTGTATACGAATATCTTATGGCCTCTGAACTCTCAAGTCTACATTCCAAATAAGACGAAAATCGTACCTAACCATCAGCTGACTTCGATACGCCTTGCCTTGCCGTAAAATCCTCTCTAGGAGTTTATTATTCTTAGATCATCGGTTGGTAATTCCCAAGCAACCATATGATGTTCCATCGTCGCCTTTTTTACATCAGCTGTGTGACCAAGGTGACGTCACGAATTGACGTCATACGATGTGATAAATTACGTGAATGAGTCTCAGTATAATAATTATATCATATAACTCACCTTCATCAGTCACTTACGTAACGGTGACGTCGAAATGATGTTCAAATTTGGTAATATAATTAAAACGTGAAAAAATATTCTTTGAACATATGGTGTGATAATACACCACGAACCTCTGATCATATCTATAATATTGATTATGTATTGTTGTGACTGGATGGTGGTAAAGTCCGACCACTTTAACTTTGGGACAGCATGTGACGCAAGCATATGCATATTCAATGCATACGCGACCACGTGCTGTCCCAAAGTTATCGTGGTCGGACTCTACCTTATTGGGTGACTTCCATTCATTCGTCTTTTCAGCGACGATATCTTTAGTACGCATCTCCATCAGAATAGGATATTAAGATCAGTTAGGCGGACTGTCCGCGAGATGTAAGCAAACCAAGAATAGTTCGACAAGGATGTAACGAATGTTGGCGAATTTAGTTTTACTTTACTGAGTAACGTATAAGTATTCCTGTATTTATTGTCACCAACATGAAACTGAACAGCAAATTTTTACCGTCACACTGACGTGATTTTTAGATGCCATAGAAACGTTATGAAAGTAACGTATTCAATACACCTATAAAGTTGGAGTCATTTATTGATGTCGTCATTATGACGTCTCAAAAATAACATCACAGTGACGTTACTAATTGGTGGGTGACGTTACTGACCAAGTTTCACCAATTTAGTACGTCACACCGACATGATCCTTCGTCATCTGGTTGCCTGGGTTATTGCCAGCCGCCAGCTTTCAACAATAACGTTCCTTCGCGGCAAGGAACTTCTTATATATCGTATTAGCAAAGTTTCACTAGCGTCTAAACATAGTATCGCATATAATGATTCCCCTGACCGTTCGAGCGAGCCGTGCGGAGCAAGTCAACAGAAAATTGATATAGCGAATTACTATTGACCTCAACGGTACATGCTTCAACAGTATTTTTTCAAGTGACAAAGAAAGGTTAACATACATTTTAAAAGAGTTCAGCTAGCGTAACCTTTTATCAATAATTCTGAAAATTTAATTAGTTTCGATAAGTCTGCATCTGAGGAATTATTAAAATTGTTTGCCTTTCTTTGTCACTCAGTATACAAACATAAATACACAATACATTAGTAGACTTATCATAAGTTTAACCCCAAGAGAGCTCTCAGAGACGGCCGATGTGGGCCTAGGCGATGATTTTAATTTAAAAACTCTGATGGTGGTCATTAGTGGTGCCCGCGAGAGTCTCGTTTTCGAGAGTCTCGCATAGTCTCGTCTCGTTTTCGAGACAAGACTCGAGACGAGACTCGGACAAGACGAGACAAGACTTTTATTGGTCTCGTCTCGAGTCTCGTGCAAGACTTCTCGTGTCTCGTGCGAGAGTCTCGCAGGTAAATATTTCTGCGTGCAAACTGCAGACTTGGGAATTTCATTCATAATAAAACATATTTAGAAAGATTTCATTCATAAATCCTTTGAAAACACAATCCATGATTGTTGTAAAATGACGTAATGCGTGAAACGAAAACGGACTATTCTCTCTCTTACGGCGGCGGAATATAAAGGCAATTCTGCAATAACGACAGATCGCAAATTGAATGACTACCTGAAAATCTATAAATAAGTCATTCTGTGCTAAATTAATAGTCTAAGATAAAGAAAAACTTTATGTCTTAACGACTGTGTGAAAATCAAAAACATTTGTGATCGTGAAGGCTGATCTGACTGATAAAGGTTTCTTTCTTAGATACCTATTTCTTAAATAAGAAAAATGTTGGATTAAAGTTTTTGTTCTGTTTATTTGTTTAGAATATACGTGTTACTTTTCATTTTATTTTTATAACTTTCGAATATATTATAATGCATTGTTTTTTTTTTCTTGTTCAGATGTATAATGTAAGTATGTACCTATTAGGTACTTACTTTTCAATAAATAATGTTATTTTTGTTGTAATTTTCTCTTCCTACTTTTACATTATACCTAAAAAGTAGGTAAAGGTAAATATCCTGTACTAGACTGGAACAAGATTTTGCATGACGAAATTGCGATACATATGCGAGACTCTCGTACGAGACGCGAGACAAGACGAGACTCCAGGCTGCGAGACGAGACTCGAGACAAGACTTCATATTTCATCGGCGAGACGAGACGAGACTTTATGAAAGTCTCGTCTCGTTGGTCTCGTGTGAATCACTAGTGGTCAAGAGCAAGCCAACTCCAAACTCCAATAAAAGTTTCCTCATTATTCAGCTGTGAATTGCTCAGGGCAAAAAAAATTGAATGTCTTATGCTGCCACAAACTCTATAATTAATTTATCGTAGTTTTCTTATATGTAGGAAACATAAAAATGTAAAATAAACTTCCAATCGTATTGGGAGACTCAATGAGGGGTTTGGGAAATTGCATTTCTGGCAAACGGATGTACAAAATTAATTTTTGTCACCAGCTAAAGAACCTATCATTCTCTACGACTATCGTATTCTACATTGATTACAAATTGGTTAGTAATTGATGAATGAAGATGATTCCAAGACACCGTGGATCCTAACTCATTATTCAACGGCACACGACCAATCACAGATTCAGAATTTTCAGGATCCACAACAACTGAAAAAGTTAGACTAATGACAAACCAGCAAATCTACCAAACAAATTTCTCAAGAAGGCTTTGCTTCATTTTACGGGTCACGTCACGGCTTGACTTTTGCGAATGTCAGATTGACTTATAGTTTCTTATAAGTTTTAACTTTGATATCAGCTGTCACGATCAAAATATAAAATGAATAATTGTGATTGGGGAAGCAGTGATAGTGACAATAATGAGATCTGTACACCACCGGATTTATAGGAAACAGCGAAAACAGCAACTCTGAACTTATTGCCGGAAAAATCAAAAAAACAATATTCGAAGGCATACGGGGAGTTCATGGATTGGCGAAACTTGAACCAGGCCCATTCATTCTCGGAAAATGTTCTTCTCGCATATTTTACAAAACTGTCAGAAAAATACAAGCCATCATCGTTGTGGAAGATATATTCAATGTTGAGAAGCACACTCAATGTAAACAATGATATCAATATAGAGAGGTACTCAAAACTGCGTGCATTGTTGAAAAGAAAAACTGAAGATTATCAGCCGAAAAAGTCGAAAGCATTCGCCCCAGAAGAAGTAAATAGATTTATCAATGAAGCTCCTGATGAAATCTATCTTGCAGCAAAGGTATGTCACAATTGTAAAACAATAGTTACCTAATACCTACCTGAAAATTCTACGATATCTCACTTTTTGGTCTGAAAGATTTACTTCGGTATTTCACTCACAATTTACATGAGGGCCTGTAGCTCAGGTGGTAAAGGCGCGCGATCGTATATCTTTGTAGCTTTGAGCGTGAGTTCGAATCGTACTGCAGATCAATTTTTTTTATATATTTATTCGTGAATGAATTGTTAGTTATTCTCCCTCATATTGTTTTGTAATTTATACAACTTTTTGGTAGTGAAGGCATTGAAGGCAGCAAAATCATTTCGATATAAAATACCATAAACTTAGCATCCATCATTTTGTAAATTTTGGAGTCTAGATCAATAGATTCTCTTTTATATTTTCAGGTTGCATTAATTATGGGTATAATGGGGGCTTGCCGTTCCATAGAAATGTACTCTCTGAATATTGAAGATATTCAAGATCTTGGATCTGCATTGATGATAACTATTCCTAAGACCAAAACAAAAATTGTAAGGATAGGTTCACTGTAACCGGGAAATTTTATCAAATTTGTAAAAAGTACATTGATATATACGCGCAGCAAATGTTGGGATTCCCCATTTTTTCATGAATTACTAAAAAGGAAAATGTAGTCTTCAGAAAATTGGAATAAATAAGTTTGCAGCAATGGGAAAACAAATAGTTACATTTTGACAGGATTGAAAAGACATGGTGGCTGGAAGAGCACATCATCGGTGGCAGAAGGATATCTAGAAGATTCCATGTTGAATAAGAAAAAAACGGCAGATTTGATTCTTCAATCAATCGAACAATGTTCATCATCATCAAATAACAGTACCTTCACACAAAAAACATCAACTAGGAATATGAATAAAAATGTCAGTGTTGATTTAAATGCAACACCGACATTAAATTTCACGAATTGTGAGAATATCACTATAAATTTAGTCACTAAGTACGACAAGTGAGAAACATAATTTACTGACCTAATAATTATTGTGTTGTTTCATCATTGAGTTCGTTGAATATTAGAGATTCCTGTTAATTGTATTATTATATTATTAAAATGAATGCATCAAGTATATTATTTTCATAAATAATATTTAGATTACATTAAATTTTCGACTATCGTATAGTCGTAGATAGAGTATAATAGCTATTATTATACGCTCGTTGAAGAATATGCTATATACGCTCACCTCTAGCGAGCCGCGCGTGATTATTAGATGCGGTGCTATGTTTAGACGCTAGGGTATCTGTCTCGCGACCCCCGTACCATACCATGTTCCTTTTCGTCCTCCAGAGCCGCGCTGCGGGCCGCTGACGGGGGCGGGCGGCGAGCCGCTGCCGATGCAGTCGTCCATCTCGCCCGCGATGACGGAGTCCGATCTGCCGCAGCCGCTGCTCGTCCGCGCTCCGGAGGCGGGACTGATGCGGTGGCCGCCGGGGCAGACCGGCATGGGGGCCTCGCAGAAGAGCACGCCCGTCAGGCAGGTGAGTGTGTGGTTTTTCCATATCTCTTGGAGTGCACGATAGGGAAAAAGTTAGGGGTGATTCCTTGTTATATTTTATTGGAAATAGTGCATTAACGTTTATCCTAACTTTCTCCATATTCGTGATACAGGATAGGTATCAGGATAGGTATCAGTGTATATTCATTTTAATAAAATACAGATACCTTCAGCGAACACGTCATTTCCGTTACAAGTGGGGTACAGTGTTGCCAGCTGCTGAACATAAAATGTCGCAAAATGTTTGGAAAATAACCGCTAGAAGTCGCTAAAGCGAGCGAAGTGAGCAGAAAGCCCGGCGCAGGCGAAATTTTTGAGAATTTAGCGACATTTTTTTCTTGATTTGGTGACAATTTTGTAACATCAAATAAAGATCGAATCATAAAAAAAATATTTATTCTGTATCTGTTCAGAATGAACAAAAAAAAACACATTAAGTATAAAAAACAAAATGAATATAGGTGAATTTTCCAAAACAATTACATTCGGTACTATTAAGTAGGTACATTGGTAAATCACAACATATATATTTCTCGATCGTATTTGAGGTATGTCTTTGATCTAATCACCCATTTGCTAAACCTGTCAAACCATCATGTATCAACTCATTTTTCTAGTTCAACATCATATAGATCTGCGACTTCATTGCTGCAAGTCACATATTGGTTCCTTGAAGTTTCAATACTGATTTAGGCAAAATAAAATCTTCACAAGCATCACAAATTTTGAAACCATATCGAATACATACACAAAATATCATTCAAAAGTGGCAAAAGTCGGTATGGGGGCCTCGCAGAAGAGCACGCTCGTCAGGCAGGTGAGCGCCCCTGTTTTTTCTCATCTCAGGAGTGATTCCTTGTTATATTTCATTGGAAATAGTGCATATGAACGTTTGTCCTAACTTTCTCCGTTTTCGTGATACAGGGTAGGCATCAGTGTTTTTCTTGTAAAAAAAAAGAATATGTAACAAGTGGGGAAATTCTCATAACGTTAACTTCCGTTTCGGCATGGGAGCCTAGCAGAAGAGCGCATGTTTTTTTTCTTATCTCTTGGAACGAACAAACGGGAAAAAGTTAGGGGTGATTCCTTCGTCCTAACGTTCTTCGTTTTCATGATACAGGGTAGGCATCAGTGTTTTTATTGTAATAAAATACAGATACCTTCAGCCGAGCCAGGGAACACGTGATTTCCGTTACAAGTGGGGAAATTCTCATAACGATTATACTCGTTTCGGCATGGGGGCCTCGCAGAAAAGCACGCTCGTCAGGCAGGTGAGCGCCCCTGTTTTTTCTAATCTAAGGAGTGATTCCTTGTCATATTTTATTGAAAAATGCACACCTAACATTTTCGACCAATTACAGGCATGTATTTTGTGCAAGTCGTTACTATAGCAACCGAGATAGCAACTACAAATTTCTGATTTTTTTCTCCTCCATAGGGGAGGAGCATGAAATTACACTGGAAATGTTTTGACGTTCATAGATGACATTTCCATTTAACTTCAGATTACGTCGATTATTAATTCTATATGCTGATAAGTTTCTTGCAATAAAATATATTTCTACCAACTTTTATGCTAAACGTATTTGTAAAACACTGACATTAAGATATTATGGATATAATCTACTTATTTTTCATTATTTCATTTAACTAAAGTCGTTTAATCATATTTTATTCAACTTAATATTATTACGTGAGCAAATTTCATTGATACTAAATAGTACTTCGAAATTCCTGTGAGAAAATATAACTTTAGTAAAATTAATGTGTGAAAGACTGAAAAATTTGGCTGCTATATCGATTTTTATTTGATCTTTCATTATGTTGTCACTAAAGTAAGTTAATTGTGTATTATTTAATTTAACAATTATATCCTTGTAACAGTAGTTATTTATTTAACTAGGCAGCAAAGTAGTAGATTGACTGTCGAGGCTGAATTCATAGCCGAGCGTGACGAGGCTAGGAATCCAGCTAAGGCAGTTAATCTACTTTGCTGCCGAGTTGAACATTTAATTTTTTCTCCGATTGTTCATAATGATATATATCTCTTTATTTTTCCTGCAATGTTCAAAAAATATCGGATTATTTAAATTATTATATAATGGACAGTGATAGCGACCTGGAAGTACTTACACCTCCAGAAATGAGGGAGGTGGAAAAAAATATAGAGTTGAATTTGTTGCCGGAGAAGTCTCGGATGAAATATGAAGGAAATTATAAACGATTTATGGATTATTAATTTTGCTGATACATATCAATCAGCGAAGTGATATGTGTCAGCAAAATCAATATTTGCTGCCAATCGGAGAAATAATATATTTCCACCAACTTTCGTGGAATAAAGTTAGTCAAGAATTAATTTTACTTGATTATTTGGGCAGTCAAGAATAATAGTATGAACTACCACCAACTTCCTTGCGTAACAAGTCGGTATTTTGTATTTTATGTAGCGTAATCTTATATTTCTTTTAATTTCGGTGTGAAATTATATTACCGAATCCCACTCTACTTTCAATTAAAAATCAAAAGTATCCGGTAATAATTGAAGCTCTGGTAGTATTATGAGTGGAAACAGTGCATATGAACGTTTTTCCTAACTTTCTTCGTTTCCGTGATACAGGATATAGGTATCACTGTTTTCATTGTAATGAAATAGAGATACCTTCAGCGAAATCGTGGTTTCCGTTACAAGTGGGGAAATCCTGTTTCTAGTGACGAAAATTAAATAAGTGATATTTTGTTACCTGTCAACAAAGATAAAATGTCAAACTTTCATTTATTTTACTAGGCAGCAAAGTAATAGATTGACTGCAGCGGCTAATGTTCATAACTATAGCGTCTACTGACAGGAGGACAGGAGGAATGAAATCATCGCGGTGAAGGAACGCTATTCGCGAGATTCACGAAGTGGACGACATCTAGGTTACATAATACGAACTTCAAACTGGGGGAAAACAAACTGTTGTCTATGGATAAAGTGCATAGACTACATTGCATTCAGCTTGCTGTAGCTGTAGGCAAACTTGTCAATGACATAAAGTGTCGGCACTGTTGGTAGTGATGATGGTTGAGTTGGGTAATTTTTTCACATTATTACATTTTTATTACTTTAGTGAACAGTAAACGGGTGAAGAATTGGAGATAGTTCAAACAATTCAAACTAATTATGACGAGCAAATCAATTGACATAAAAAAGAACAGCTACAACATGTTTACAATACCCATAATGTCCTGCTTTGCATGAACAAATACAAATCCACTGTTCTACAGGACTTCCTCTTGAAACCAACTTCAATTTTACTTCATGTGAGGAAGATTTCATCGCCGAAGTTTCTACACAAAGTGCAAAAATGTGCCTTTTGTTGAAGTCTTCTGCCTCACATAAAATCACATGATTAGCACGGAGAACTGCTTTCCTCTTCCACTACTGGTCGGCTTTTACTGTCTAAATAGAGCAGAATATCTGCCAAAAGAACATCTACAACAGGCATTATTAGCGTTTTCGATCGAATATTGACAATTAATGTCAAGAAATTTAAAAACTTATCACTCTTATCAGTACACAGTACACAAGCTAATGGCACTGGGATTGAATGAGGATTGAGTTTGTTTTCTTCCAGTTTTGACATGGCTTTGACATGGAACGATGAAAACCGAGCGCCACCTGGTATCATTAATTCCCGCGAATACAGCACGGGACCGCTAGTACTGATCACCCCAACGAATATCCTTAATTGGCACTGAATCAAGGCTACACAGAAATTCTTCTGAGAAAAAAACATCATTGCCATAGCAAATCACTCTCGGCCTCAACAGTAAATGCCTCCAACACAGTAATTTTTTCAGGGAGGAAAGAAAATATTCCTCCTGCATAAAAAAGGAAACTTCTTTTTTTGAACAAACTATCCTTTTTTATCGCTTGGTGCACACGAAAATGACTCCCTATGTTCGAAGAACACCGTGGGTACCCAGGAAGGATAGGGAGGGGAGGTAGGTGTTGGGTATTTTTTTGAACTTTTGTGAATACTTCCTTTGGGCAATGAATACCAGAGCTTTCCTGTTCCATATAGAAACGAGTTTTGATATAGTGCCAAATGAACCTTCTTCCTAATAAGTATATTTTTCGGAAAATCACTTGAGAAAACAATTGAAAAAATCTTCCGTCGCAGGCATTGAACCCGGGTCGCCGGCGTGGAACTCAAATGCTCAAGTCACTAGCCACGCACGTATTACCCGAGACTATACCCAGGGGCGTATTTCAATATTCAGCGCCCCGGGCCTGTAGGGTTTGCCGCCCCATAAATTAACGGAAAATGAGCAAAACATTCAATGGAAAAATTAAAAAGACAAACAAAGAAATAAACACTATTTATTCGATATCTACATTTTCTTCCGATGGACAGATTGGTCAACAAATTCGTCAATGACACTGTCATAATTGATGGATTTCGTCAGTTCAGCTTCTATATTGAGAATAGCTTAACTATTCAAACGTTCTTGGCTTAAACACGAACGTAGCTAATTTTTTATTCTTTTAGGTACAGAAAATGGTCACCGCAGTGCACAGAAATATGCGTAATCGGGTAAACTTTTTGGATTTTATAGCATTCACTCTAACTTCTGAAGCAGACCTTGTAACAAATTTGTTATGTACGTTGTATGTTATGTTCATAGCCGAGCGCAGCGAGGCTAGGAATTCTGCCAATTCAGTCAATCTACTTTGCTGCCATCTGAAACTAATAATTATTTCTCCAAATGTTAGAAAACCAATTTTGAGTAATTTTTTTATTGAAAACTCCATCATTTTGTGTTCACCCATTGTCAGTGTGAATTTCGATTACCAATTTCCAACTTCAACATCCTGTATCACAAAAACGAAGCAATAGAACACCTGTTCATAAGAACTTTTATTCCTAAAATATGGCAACTTTTTGTTGAACTTTTTCGTGAAAGTTTGTCGGTGTTATTCTGATTCATTATAATTATGAAATTTCCTAAATTGCCCAGCTACGCTGAACTCATGATCATAAACTGCCTTGCAAAAAAAATCGGCCACTGAAAAAAATCTTATTCTCGCACTCGCATATATTATATGCACAAAATTGAATTTGAAAAAATCATTTTTGCACTACATAATTATTGATGAATCAACATACCTATAGATAGGTGAACCGTTCAGGAGAAAGAAAACCTTGAAATTGGGAGGGGGACAAATTTTAATGGTAATTTTTTGCAGGCCAGTATAGGTAGGTATATTTACGAGTGCAAATAGTGATTTTTGTATCTAGTGCGCGAAATGCTACTTTGGTGATCGATATCTGATTTTTTTAACGAGGCGTAGCTGGGTTGAAAAAATGGTCGAGATGACCAAAGTATTTCGCGCTCGAGTTGCAAACGACATTTTTTCACAAACGTCAAAATATATAGTTGTGAAAATAATATGTTTAGCTTGATATTAAAAATAGAGTTGAACTGGCTTGAAAGGCCTCCCACTATCCTCTCTAGGTACGCACGATGTTCCACGAAAATATTAGGAATTTCCTTTCGTGCGCTCTAAGAGATAAAACAAAGTTATTTTTGAACATTCAGAAATAAATGATTTCGTGGATGTTTGCTCGATTGTTGAAATATAAATATCTCAAATATTTTTCATAACAATGCACGAAGTAGGTACTTCGCGCACTGTTTCACTTCACGCATTGTTTTGTGCAAGTTATCATGGTAACGCAGGAAACTGAAAAAAAGTGTCACTTCGCAATTTGTTATCAATAAGCGAACCTTGTCATTTTTTGACGTTCGTATAAAAAATATATTTAATATATTATTGAATTATAATATGTTTGTGTTTTCTCACACCAAGTTAACTTTTATATGCCTTGCTGTTTTCAGGTTAGTTTCAACTACGGAAACGATGGTGACAACTCCAGATCTCTCTCAGGTCTGGATAAGGATTGCTTTATTATTCCTGTCCACAGTTTGGATAGGTTCTTACCAGATGGGGTTCCAATGCCAGTAGGTACAATCACGGAAGCGGGTATTAATACACAACACAAACAAATTACCTTTTGATAAATCATTTCTTTTCTCAAAAAATGATTTTTTCTTACTTATGTTATTGAAATTTTCTGATAGTGAGACATGAGTGCAAATACATTTATCACACACAAATACTAATGACGATAAAATTTTGCCACGAAAAAATTAATCAAATCAAACAAACTCAAGTATTATGCATGCCGCGTCAATTATTTCTACTCTTGAGGAAAATAGTCGATTGTTTTATTAGAATCAAAAGTGACACTTTGTTTGACAAGCGAATTTTGCATTTGCGAGGCAGAGCGTCTATCGAAGCCGAGCGAAAGCAAAATTTGAAGGGTCAAACAAAGTCACTTCAGATCCGAATCAAACATGCCATTTTTTCTGCAACCGAAAGAATCAACTAAAATAAATACGTGAAGTAGAGTAGCCACCAATGTGACTTACTTGACAGATTATTATAATACCTTTATACCTTTATTATAATAATATAGGTAAGTAGATAGAAGCAAAACCTCAGACAACTTTGTGTTGACATGCATCATCAGATACTACAGGCACGAATTCAATACTATACCCAAAACGTGGATGCCGTGTCATATGTATGCAATGCAACAAATAATCCGCGTGGTGAGAATATTCTACCTGCATTTACAGATCAGTTTATTCAATTTTCAAGGATGTTCGAATTGTAGTTTCAATATAAATAAAACCACAGAGTGACCCAATTGTGTATTCTATTGAATCGATGAATTCATTTGGACCAGGTGTCAGCCCTAATAGCAAATACCGCGCCAGTGCCAGGTATAGAAAAAGGTTAGGTTAGTGAGCATATCAACAATAATAATAGCGATTTTTTATTTATCTCCATATTTCCCTGTGTTTGGCTCGGTTTTCAAACAATATCGTTGTGTGAGACATTAAGGTACTGCTGGCCGTGATTATTCAAAAACAAGTTATCCAATCAAACAGATCCCGAGAATGAATGAAATACAGATCAAGCAAGTATGTGAATCTTGAAGCGTTTCCTGATCAAAACAAAAATACTTAATTATAATGTGGTCTCCAGCATGGGTATGAAATGCCAAATCTGCCGTCCCAACCCAAATATTCAAGAGCTTGTGTCGGTTGCAGAAAAATATTATTTGATTTTCAAGTTTGAGTGCTTGATAGGATTTTGTCATAATTCCCATCTGTTTGTCATCGCAGCGTCAAATTTGTTGCCACACAAGTAACAATAACAAAAAAAAGTTGATTGAGTAGGTCCACGTTCTAGAAAAAATATTAACAATTTCATGTTTTGAAAACTAACTCACTCGTTACAAAAACGTGTGCAGTAGTTACTTCTTTTTACATGGTGATATATCTAATTCAGTTCACATTAAAAAGTTCACCTAATGTAACAATATAAGGATTTTGTGTGCAATGACATTAAATTTCAATTTTTCCTCACACTTTCAGTGATTTTTTTTACAAAACGATCAACTTTTTTTGAAACCGAAAGGATGGCAAACCTTTATTAGACTGCAAATGCAATGCAATGTCAAAAATAACGACTTCACGTCTTTCACTTTTGTTAGAGCATCAAATAGTAGGGTTACTATATCATGTAGAAAGTACCGTGTTTGCTATAAAAACTTCTTTATTTTCAGAAACCCCCTCCTGCATTCGGAAACTCGTTAGAAAAAAAAGGAAACTTGCATGTGATGGAGGTATGACCCACTTAAACTTCACTTTCAAGATTAAACCCATTCCCAATTCATTTTTGCAGGTGCCCGATCCCAAATTATGCGTCTTATGTCACCTGATGAGCCCTTTAGAGCCCATAGATCCTATATTAGAATCTCCCCTGGTGCAGCCTCTTTTCAAACAGAGGGTGTCTGCGGGAGAGTTAGTTAATGAAGTTGCCCAAGCCAAAACGGCTGTAACCGGAATGTTGCTAGCCAATATGGAAAGGAATGGTAAATTTACTGAAATTGTTTTTGTCACCGTTCTTGGCGTCTATATGTCATCACCAATAAGCGAATCGAGTTAAAGACGGCTAGCGTTCAATATTATCATTAATATTAATATTTCTAGAACATGTCAAGAACTATAGTTCCTACTTACTCTCGGATGCAATACTTGCATAGCAGTCTAAGATCCGACTACAAAATTATCTTCATCAAGTATTCAATGAAAATCATATTTCTACATATTATATTCATGATTAGAATAAATATTTTTACCGGGTTGCCAATCGAAATGTAGCCACAAGCATTTTAATAAAAATAACACTAATTGATTTGAAAAAAAAATCATCCATTCGTTTTTTGAATGAAATATATTCCACCTTACAGCTATGTATACAGGGTATATCACGACGAGCTTACACTATTTCTATATCGAGAATCAGTCGGGAGAAATACATGAAAATATGCATACTTATATTTTAGAATACGCACTATCCATTTAAAATAATTTCAGCAATGCAGTGTTGCCGTTTCTATCAAAAAGTAGCAGCAACTTTGATTTTTCAAATAGAATATACCCTGTATTTTTAGTTTCTCCCTAAAGAGCTGATTTCATCGATACATCGAACATGGGGTCTATCGGAAATGGTAGAGATATGGGGTGTTCAAAATAGAGATTTTTCAACCTTAGGATTTGTTTGTGTCTAAACTATTCATTATCGGCCAGAACGGCTCACATGTCCCTATCTCAACTTTTGATTATTTACTATTTACTGATATTCAATCGGAACAGATAAAGGGTGAACAGAATTCTGAACTCAATAATTTTTTCAAAAAATGTACAGAGCTCTGCGGAGAAAACAGTTTGGAAAGGTGAACAAGTTTGGGTTCGAGCCTACTTCAAAATAATGAAATAAAATTGTTCACTAAAATAAGCCCATTGAGTAAGATATATATGACAGCTCCTGGATGTGCATGTTCCATTACTATTTTTGAATGTTTTGAGTTCTCCCCACGATTATGGATTTATAAAAATATCTAATGACTAGTAGAGAGAATAGATGAATAGATCGATCCCATGAGATCACAGAGTTTTTAAATATTACTTTCAGGGGCATTCCTCGATAATATTTAGTGCCACTAGGAATGATATGATCAGTAAAGTAGGAAAAATTGTTACAATAATAAGAATATTAAATGATAATTTTCTTTTAGATAGACATTTCAAGATTCAGTTCCCGTTTTCAACATAAAAACGTGACATTTAATTTCATAAATATAGAGCAACTGACGCTGATTCCTGAATATAAAATCTATGACATTATTTTTTTTCAATTTTTGAAACGAGAACCCAGTAAAATTTGATGTAAAATGTAGAAACGAAATAACATAGAAGATACTATATATTTAGTTGTATACAGGGTGTCCGTTTTTCGAGCTCCACCATGGGGATCTCAGTTATTATAAAAGATACGAGGTCGGTTCAATTAGGGCAAGAAAATTGTATGTGTCAGTTTTCGTTTTTGAATTATTGGAAGAAAACGAAAATTTATAATTTTCGTTTTTATATTTTCAAGCAAAAACCGTTCCTGAAACGTTCCTGACTAGGGCATTCTTGGGGCACTTCTTTACAAGGAATCTGAATCTGCCATTGTATTTTCCATGACGTTCTTGATGCCAAAGTTACAACATACAACTCTGTTTTTTCTTATGGGCGCCATATTGGATTTTTGCATTTTTGAAGTTTTTTTCTGATTACAATGATGGATCAAACGATAAGATCGAATCTTTCCTGGTGATCACAATTGAGAAAAAAACATTTTTGCGAAGAGTGCTTTGGAAAGAACGCCAACAGTTTTGTTTAACAAGTTGAATTTCAACAGTTTATTTGAATTTGGATCTGGAACGTTTACATTTTCGTCAAGTTCATCTACTTAGAAACTGGTTTCGAATTAGGAACGACCTAATGAGCTAGAAGTTTATTCTTCGCAAAACAAAACAAAGTTATAAAAGATGCTCCTTCCACCTCTAAACACAATTCTACGCGTTTCCTCAGATTCTGAATTGCTCGCGAGATGTACCGTCTTCTTATCTTAGCCCTGAAAGTGGTGATTATGGTTCTTCTCAGATCATCAATATCGATTGGTACAGATTTGAAAATCAAGAGAGTGATCAGGTGACCGCGCTGGCCAACGTATATGTCTCCGTTGTTGGAAATTACCTTGTCAGGGAACATATCTGACAGACACTCGGCAACCCTTCTTGCGTTATGTTATGTGGATAAGCTTAAAAATTCAACAGTTCTGTTCGCATATTCAATTGAACTGTCAAAATTCAGTTTGATAAACAAAACTGTTGGCATTCCTTCCAAAACACTCTTCGCAAAAATGTTTTTTTCCTAATTTTGACCAACAGGAAAGATTCGATCATATCGTGTGATACATCGTTGTAATCAGAAAAAAAAGACTTTTCAAAAATACAAAAATCCAATAGGGCGCCAATATGAAAAAAAAAAGTTGGGTGTTGTAACTTCGGCATCAAGAACGTCATGGAAAATACGATGACTGATTCAGATTCCTTGTGAAAAAGTGCCTTAAGAATGTCCCAGTCAGAAACGCCTGGGACTTTTGGTTTCCGCTTGAAAAAATGAAAACAAGAATTATAAATTTTCGTTTTCTTCCAATAATTCGAATACTAAAAATGACATTAAATTTTCTTGCAGATAGATGTTCAGCATGAAAATGCGCAACTTTGCCCTAATTTAACCAACCTCATATATCTATTAATAACTGAGATCCCCATGCTGGAGCTCTTACAATCCTTATATTTTTCAGTTGAATTCCCATTCATTACATACTATGTGATAAACACGTCACAAACGAATCCTGTGATGTTCTACAATAATTTACGTACTGCCAGTTTGACCAAATTCGATCCGAGATCGACAAGGTAAATCCGGTGGTAAGGCGAATTCAACTCTTCGAAGTCTGTATGAAGGTTTTCTAGATATACCGCAGCTCATACGCTGGACCTCTACACCGAAGTTGCCTCGATATGTCGACCTCCCATCCACGAAATTGGCATCCCTCTACCCAAAGTACATACGACTTCTACTGGATACATGGTATCGATATTCAAAGTGTTTGAAGGAGATGACAGAGAGAAATTCGAAAGGAATTGGTTGTACTGGACAGGTGGGTTATAAATTTAGATGAAATCTAAACGGAGCTCCATTTTCAACAGTTTGGTAGGTGTTCTAGTGATCTAGTGCACCTATAAAATGCTTGTGATTTCAATTTGTCTACAAAATAGGGGACGTGGGGGGAATAACAGCAGGGGATAATAGTGGAAAAACCAAGTGAAAAATTCAAATTTACCGCGTCATGCATCGGTCCCGTTGTCGACAGTACTTTTAGTATGTTGTGAATCTCGTGCTACATATGCGATAAAACCGCAAGTGCTGATATATTACAAAATATTTCTGTTTCAAATTACGTCTACATCTGAACTTGACATTCAAAATGCCCTACTTCCTCGCATATATTGTTCTCAAACCTGAAATATATTATTATATCCATCCAATCCGTTTAAAATTCAATGTTTTAATGATTTTGGAGCATTTTCGAAATTTGTATATACATTATACAGGGTGTCCTTAAAAGGTCTTTACAAAAAGCTACCACATATTCTTCAGACCAAAACAATTCGATACAAGCAAACTTACCTCAGTAAAAAGTTGCTTAGTTTGGGCGCTAGACGGCTCTGAAGTTGAAATTTTCAAATCGATTTTGCTTCATAACTTTGGAACGGCTCATGAGATTTTTTTCAAATTTGGTACGTTGGCATAGACTCTTCGGGCAATGAAACTCATATCATAATCATAATGAATATCATCCCATGGGCGTAGAACTTGATTTTTTCAGGAAATAAACATCTAAAACTTCTACGCCAATAAAAAAAAATCAGTTTCAGTATGACATCTAGATAGCCCAAATCATTCACTACAAAAAGGTACTCTTGATAAAATTCGATTACTCTGATGGTTCGACAATATTTAAGTTTTAGTGATTTCGCGCATATTTAAAAAATAAAACGATTGATAGATATTGCATGAAAGTTTTCCAAAATTTTCACTATTTTCGCGTGAACAAAGATTTATACGACGCAAAAAGTTGAAATCCTAATCATAATGAATATCATTCCATGGGCGTAGAACTTGCTTTTTTCAGTAAATAAACATCTAAAACTCCTACGCCAATGGAAAAAGTTAGTTTCAATATGAAATCTAGATTGTTCAACTCATTCACTACAAAAAAGGTACTCTTGACAAATGGTCGAATGGTTTCGACAAAATTTTAATTTCAGTGATTAAGAGCATAATCAATAATAAAACGATTAACAGATATTTCATAAAAATTGTTCAAAATGTTCACCATTTTCACGTATACAAAGATTTATACAACGCAAAAAGTTGAGTTGTACTTTTTGCATAGGTTATTTCTATTGGTTTTTTTTTCTGAAGACTATTATTATCTGCTCGAAAACAGTGATATTCACATTCTTGGTTTCCATAGTTTCATCTGTGTTGATTTGTCGAGTTTTATTGACGTTGATTGTTGATATCGGACTTTTCTGATTTATCATGGCCGTACAATACACCAATGAAGAATACACCGATATGTTATTGGTATTCGGATATTGTCAAGGAAATGGTCGAGAGAGTGTGAGGGTGTATTCGGCAAGGTTTCCAAATCGTCGCGTACCAAGCCACCCAACCTTTGCTGCAGTTGAGAGACGTCTTCGGGAGACCGGTCATTTTGCTCCAAGAACTGGTGATTATGGAAGACAGCGTTATGTAAGGATTCCCGAAGTCGAAGTAGAAATTTTAGACCGTATTGAAGAAAATTCAGAATTGAGTACTAGACGGATAAGTAATGAACTAGAAGTTTCTAGGAATGCCGTTCATGAAGTACTAAGAGAACAATTATTATACCCATACCACAAGACGCCAGTTCAAGATTTATTAATCCATGATTCACAAAGTCGTCTGATGTTTTGTAGGTTCATTAATTTGCAAAGAGAAATGAATCTGAACTTTGGAAAGAATATTTTGTTCACTGATGAAGCCTGTTTCACGAGAAGAGGAATAACTAATTTTCATAATGAACACGTTTATGCAATTGAAAATCCTCATTCCATTAAAATAAACCATTTTCAACACGAATTCAAAATCAACGTTTGGGCTGGAATAATAGGAAATTTTATAATTGGTCCTGTCATACTTCCACAAAGATTAACAGGAGACATGTATTTACAACATCTACGAAATACGTTGCCAAATTTGTTGGAAGATTTACCACTCCAACATCGGGTAGATATGTGGTTTATGCGCGATGGAGCTCCACCACATTTTTCGGTGGATGTTAGGAATTTTTTAAACCAACAGTACCCAGACAGATGGATAGGTAGAGGTAATGATGCACCGGTGAATTGGCCACCACGTTCTCCAGACTTAACACCGATGGATTATTTTGTATGGGGTTATCTCAAGTCTACGGTTTACAAGACCCCTGTGAATACTGTAGAACAATTATGGCAACGTATCCAACAGGCGACGAATAATCTTACAGGCGATGAAGAAGTTATGCAAAGAGTACATTTCAACTTTTTGCGTCGTATAAATCTTTGTATACGTGAAAATGGTGAACATTTTGAACAATTTTTATGAAATATCTGTTAATCGTTTTATTATTAATTATGCTCTAAATCACTAAAATTAAAATTTTGTCGAAACCATGAGAGGAATCGACTTTTGTCAAGAGTACCTTTTTTGTAGTGAATGAGTTGAATAATTTAGATTTCATATTGAAACTAATTTTTTTCCATTGGCGTAGGAGTTTCAGATGTTTATTTCCTGAAAAAATCAAGTTCTACGCCCATGGAATGATATTCATTATGATTATGATATGAGTTTCATTGCCCGATGAGTCTATGCCAACGTACCAAATTTGAAAAAAATCTCATGAGCCGTTCAAAAGTTATGAAGCAAAATCGATTTGAAAATTTCAACTTCAGAGCCGTCTAGCGCCCAAACTAAGCAACTTTTTACTGAGGTAAGTTTGCTTGTATCGAATTGTTTTGGTCTGAAGAATATGTGGTAGCTTTTTGTAAAGACCTTTTAAGGACACCCTGTATATCATTTTCAAGGGAAAAAAAATAAGGCATTCAATGAGCTGATAAAATATAGGGTGTCCTATTCAAAAAACCATAAGTTTGAGTCGTATCTCCAAAACCATACCCCGAAAAAAAAAATGAGAGAGCCACTGGTTTCTGCGTGAAATTCTCTATGGGCTAAGATTTTGATTTGACATTTTCGCTAGGAAACTTCGTAGATATAGAGGGAGTCCACAAAAAGTATAAATTTTCAAAATCGCCCTGTATCTCAATTAATAACGGAAACAGTTATGCAAAATCTGAATAAACTATCTTGAGTTTCACAAGAAAGTGGCACAGGACCGCGGAAACCGCAAGGTTCTATCTTCCAAGATAACTGAGATATCACGCAAAAGCATCGAAAACTGGACACACGACTGTACCGGGTGGATACAAGTTTGAGATAGAATAAATCTTATGGTATGCATATCATTACACGATGTAATAGAGAAACTAAATCTCAACAGACCAACGGAAACCGCAACATGATAGTTTTTCACCAACGGAAAATATCAACTATCAAAGATGGAAGAATGATAGATATGACAGCCGTTCTTATAGTTGTTCACCCGGTACATACAGAAACAGCAGATAATGAATCTATCGTTTTAGGTGCCAGGATGATTTACCGATACCTGCCAGCGGCAGCAGGGTTGCGAAGAATATCTCTCCATAAATCTCTGAGTCCCAAGGGTGACAAGATGTATATTTTATTATGTGAATGTGCAAATTTGCTGTCTGATGTGGCTGTTTGCGCTCTCATATTACCAGCTTTGAGAGCAAGATTGACTGGATACACGGGAATTTTTAGACCATTACAAACATTTTGACATGTTAAAAATTCATGAGCTTGACGACCAACCAACAATCAATACCTAAACCATAAAATTTCAAATCACAGCAAGTGACATTATGAGAAAAAAATAAACTTTTGTTTCAACAATGCAGATGACAGTAATTTTGTATGAGATTTATGAGATTAAGTAGGTAGTCTATTTTTTTATTTCTATTAATCCTGAATCTTTTGGCATTAATTCAGATTTTATTCCTCAGCCAATTTTGTGATTTAGTTCTAAACAAACCAGAATATCCAGTTCAAGTATGGGGTGTTTTTCTCAACCCTTAAAATAATATGCGGTGTATTAAAAAAAACATATTTCTTGGTTCACTATCACTTGGTCGGTGGAAGATTGTTTTCTCAATTCATTTTCATGATTTTTGGCCAAACTGTGGTAAGAAACTATGTTTAGATATCGAAGTTAAAGAAACAATGCATCTTATCTCCGAAATAGCAATTTTACAGGAGATGAAGAAAACTGGATGAAAACGAGCTATTCTGTTATTCACTGATATACGAGGTATTCGTTGAAGTCAATTTGAAGAAGTCAATATCAACCTTTAACATACGAGTTACTAATGTACACTCGTCTTCAGCAAACATGTCGCGGTTGGACGGTGTAAACGCTCCTATTGCAGCAGTAATTTAGAGAACACACACTGTCCATGTGCGACATGTGACGAGTGTACATAGGCACATCAAGTTTGTATGATGAACACATTTTCAGTAAAAATTGAGATACAAAGTATTGTTTCTGAAGCGTCAGTTTATAGCAATAAAAGATGTTGAATTGTTGCTGTTTGAGTAAACTTTTTTTAAAGAAGAAATTCAAACATACTTGAACTGAGATCAAAAGAATGTAGAAACACTGTTTTTGTGATGTTTCCAATAATTTGTACATAAAAGCTTTACGGCTTCCCTGTTCAGTAGCAATAATATGTCAGAATATTCGAGTATGCAAAAATTCGCTTGAAATTCTGTTCTACTAGATATACCGGGTGTCCCATAGCTTTTAGGAGAGCAAAAACAATACTTGACAATAAAATGTGAGATATTCGGGGTGAAATGCTCCTTGAAGTAGTTATTTTAAATCAACCTCCTGCCAAACAATTCACTAGAATCCAGCCCTAACTTCCGGTATGGGATTTGCACCAATTGTTTATTTTCAGTTCATATCTTAACTTCGCTCGTCATTAAATCAACGATATACCGAGTGACACAGGAGTTCATGGAACCAAAAACAATTCTTACTATTCCTGACATTTATGTGTGACAGGCATGTTACAATCGATATGGTAGACGTTTCAGAACAAATGATTGAGAACTTCTAATCATCATTTCATTATTTCCAAAAAATATTAAAAAACAAATGTATTACATCACATTTAAAATGTAGTAGGTATAGGTATAATAATAATTCTAGTAATGATTATAATAATTGATATGTTATATGATCTCTATATGGATGACATGACAAACTTCAGAAGAATAAATGCAGTTTTTTTTGAATTTTTTGGTAGTGATATTATATATGTCTCGTTAGCATTTCATTGTAAAGTAATAATTCATTGTAATGCATCTCTTTCCAAATTCAAATTTGATTTTAATGAGGGCAAACATGTCTACTGTCTAGTCTGGTTGAATGTGAATGTATGTATATTACCATTAATTTTAAAATTCAAATTGGAATTTTTATAATTGTGTTTGACTGAATGAATGGATGTTAATATTTTAAATATATATATTTATATATACAGGGTGATTCAGGTTTTAAGGCACAAACTGAAATGGAAGATAGATCTCATCATTTTAATCAAAAAAGTTTATATAAACATTAGTCCGATCTCGTTCAATAGCGGAGCTACAGGGGGTCAAAGCTGAATTATTTTCTTCTATTAGTTGAAATATCTCGCTTACTTTTCAAGATATCATTTTGAAATTCGGTGTGGTCAATACTTCCTAGAAGATGATCATTTCAAGGCATCTAAAGATTTTCAAAATCTACAGGGTGATACGTTTATGGGGGTAGACGCTTCCTTATTCCCCCCAAACTTTTCCGTAATACGCCTCTGGCATCTTTCAGTGATCAAACTATGTGCATCGTTCAATTTAAAGGCTCTTTTTGCTCTTCAAGTTTTTCCGAGAAACGAACCGTTTTTGAGATAAATCCGCATATACGTTCTAAAACATGTTAATTTTGCCTGTTTCGCTTAAATTTTATTCAACTGAAAAAAACCTTGACTTTTTACCCTCTGTATCCCCAATACTGATCCAGATTGGACTTGTGATTGCAATTTTAGTGAGTACATTTCATTGCATTTTCAACGAAAATAAAATGTAAGTGAAACATAGGCAAAATTAACATGTTTTAGAACGTACATGCTTATTTATCTCAGAGCCGGTTTGTTTCTCCAGAAAGAGAGAAAAAGCCTGTAAATTGAACGATCCACACACTGAAATCACTGAAAGATGCCAGAGGCGTACTACGAAAAAGTTTGGGCTACCCCCAAAAACGTATCTCCCTGTAGATTTTGAAAATCTTCAAATGGCTTGAAATGATGATCTTCTAGAAAGTATTGACCACATCAAATTTCGAAACGATATCTTGAAAAGTAAGCAAGATATTTCAATTGATAGAAAAAAATAATTAAACTTTGGCCCCCTGTAGCTCCGCTAATAAACGAGATCGGACTTATGTTTATATAAACTTTTTTGATCAAAATGATGAGATGTATCTCCCATTTCAGTTTGTGCCTTAAAATCTGAATCACCCTGTATATATATATATATATTTATATACAGGGTGTTAACAAATAAGTGTCACAACGGGAAACTGTAGATTTCTCATAATGAAAGAAACATTTCCTTCCTCTTCAAAATTTTTTTCCGGGCTCCCGTTTTCAAGATACAGGGCGTCAAAAAATAAAAAATGTTCAGTTTAATTAAACACACTTCACAACACTCAATAAACTTAACAATTTGTAAACCAGCATACTCAAGAACCTGACATTTGATTGAACATATTATTAGACAGTTCTAGGTGTTTATTTCCAGTGGATTTTTAGACGATTTTTGGAGATACCATCAGGATTTTGTATGTTCTTATTCATAAAGAGCCATTTTTCTCGGAAACTGTTCACTTTAGAGCAGCGGTCGGCAACCCGCGGCCCGCGGGCCGCATGCGGCCCGCAGGCCTATGCCTTGCGGCCCGTGACTGTTATATAAATAAAAAAATAAAAGTATTTACCTAACTGTGTACATAAATAAGTACATGCGCAAATATAAAAAGATAGAATGCATACAAAAAGCGTTCCCGATCTGCGATCAGCGTTGTGAACCAGCAATAATTTGGTCAGGAGGCGCCCCTACTGCGCCGACGATCGAACGGACACGAAACACGAAGGGCTCGCGATTAACTCGAATAACTTATTATTGTTATTAATCATTTGTCACCCGCGTTCCGTTTGTGTCGGTTGATTCAAGCTCCAGCGAAATAAGTACCAAACAAACCTGAACGTGCCTGAACCTACTGCGAGACTCGAGCTCGAGACCTATACCTTCATCCGCGTCACGACGCGCCGTGGTCAGCGTACTAATACCTACTATTCTTTTTGAATTTCGGTAAGTGTGAGAGATTTTTTTTTGCCATAATTAACTGAGTACACAGTATGTTTTCAACTTCTTTTGTTGCAAGTTGCAGAATTCAATCCGGGTTGTAGTTATGGCTTCAAAAAAAAGGAAGTTACCGGAAGAAAACAGAATGTTTAATGATTCATGGACAGATAAGTATTTTTTTATCAATTATAATGGAAAACCACTATGCTTAATATGCCAAAAAACGATTACTATTCAAAAAGAATATAACGTCAAACGCCACTACGATACTGAGCATAAAACCAAGTTTGCATGTCTTGTGGGTGATGGACGAAAAATCAAAATCAATTCACTCAAATCTTCAATGAAGAACCAACAAAACGTTTTTAAGGTTCAAATTCAAAATAACGAGTCGAATGTACGTGCGAGCATAAGGGTAGCGGAAATACTCGCAAAGTCTGGGCGACCGTTTTCCGACAGTGAACTTATCAAACAATGTGCCATAGTTATGGCTGAGGAGGTGTGCCCAGATCAAAAAAAGAAATTTGAAAATATAAGTTTATCTGCCAGAACGTGTACCCGGCGCACTGAAGATTTGGGTGATAATTTATGCGAGCAACTTCGAGAAAAGGCACAATTATTTGAATGGTTCTCAATAGCTACCGATGAAAGTACTGACGTTTCAGATACTGCCCAGCTCCTAATATTCGTTCGTGGAATCGATGAGAACTTCAATGTATGTGAGGAACTTTTACAGTTATGTAGTTTGAAAGGAACGACTACAGAAGAAGATCTTTTTCGTCAATTAGAACAAGCGTTAGTATCAATGCAATTACCATGGAAAAAATTGGTAAGTGTAACAACTGACGGAGGCAGAAACATGAGTGGACAAAACAAGGGCCTGGTTGGTAGAATAAAAACCAAAATGACAGAGATAGAATGCGATATCCCATTATTTTTTCATTGCATCATCCACCAGGAAGCTTTATGTTGCAAAGTTCTAGCATGGCAAGAAATAATGAACGTCGTCATATCCACTGTGAACTACATCAGAAAAAATGGATTGACACATCGCCAATTTCAACAGTTTCTTTCAGATATGGAAGCAGATCACCGAGATGTCCTGTATTATTCTGAAGTGAGATGGTTAAGCAGAGGCGCAGTACTGAAAAGATTTTTTGATCTCAGAAAAGAAATCAACACTTTCATGGATGAAAAAGGTAAATCTGTTCCAGAACTCACAGATCCTCAGTGGTTAATAGACCTTGGATTTTTGACAGATTTAACAAATGAGTTGAATACGCTGAATGTAAGGCTTCAAGGAAAAAACAAATTAATATCTGATATGCACACAGATGTAAAAGCATTTCAAATGAAAAACAAGCTGTTCATAACACATATCAACGAAAAGAAGTTGGATCATTTTCCGAACTGCAAGAAGGCTGTGGAGGAAGCTGGAATGCATTTCAACTGGAAATGCGATAAAATGAAGAGCATTTTAATACAGCTACAAAATCAATTCAGCGACAGATTTGGTGATTTCGAGGAATTGTCTGGCAAACTGAAGGTGTTCACAAACCCTTTTTCTTGTGATATTGAGGATGTTCCCAGTCATTTACAAATGAACGTGATTGATCTCCAATCTAATGACACTCTGAAAAACTCTTTCCATGAAATGAAAGATCTTGTTAAATTTTATGGCAGTTTGCCATCTGATTTTGACGAATTGAAAAGATTTGCTCTGCAATTGATTACATTTTTTGGTAGTACTTACTTATGCGAACAAACCTTTTCGATTCTTAATTACAGGAAAAATAAATATGCTTCTCGTCTCACAGATGAGCATTTGAGAGCTATTCTACGGATTGCAACTACAAACCTGAAAGCTAACATACAACAAATAGCCACTCAAATACAGCCTCAAACGTCACACTAATTCCTGGGGTATACCTAACACTTGAAGTTCTTGTTTAAATGTTCAATAAATTTCGTATAAATTTTTTCCGTATTTTTGATACCTACCTATTACAAGTACCTATGATCGAAATTATGAACAAGTGCGGCCCGCCTTTAATTCAATTTGCCACCATGTGGCCCTTGCCTGCCAAAAGGTTGCCGACCGCTGCTTTAGAGCATTGATACAGGAGGACGTTTTTTGTGTGAAAGATATTGGCGCTTCAGAATCTACTTTGAAAATTACAATTTCTCCAGTGGCATAAATGTTTGGGGGGTTAAACCCTTATGAGGCGTTGAATTCTCCTCGACTGACATGTCCAAGGAAATTGATCAAGAGCCCTAAAAGTAGTCATTATTGATGATGCAGTGTGTACGAAGGCTCGACTCCGTAGCTCAGACGGTTCCTGAGATAGTAGCAGAAACCAGATTTTTTTGTATTTTTTTGACGCTCTGTATCTTGATAACGGAAGCTCGGAGAAAAATTTCGAAAGGGAAAAAAATGTTTCTTTTGTCATGAGCAATCTACAGTTTTCCGTTGTGACACTTATTTGTTAACACCCTGTATATTATATTGATTGAAGATATAATATCTAATTTTGTTTGAGGTTTCATGTCGGTTCCAAATAATCCAATTTATATACAGTCTGTCCAAGATAAGGTAGCACAGCATGGGGATCTCAGAAACGGTAGGAGATACGAAATCGGTTAAATGAGGAAAAAGTTGCGCATTCGGATGCTCATACCAACAGCCTTCGAAAATTTCAAAAATTGTTTTAAGTTTTCCAGTTATATCGAAAAAAGTGAAATTTTGGAATATCTATTTTATTTTTTTTCTCCGTTATAATTAGAGATACAGAAAAACTGAAAATACTTTTTCATAGCAACTTTCGATGACGTTTAATGTGGTGATACCGATTTTTCTATGCGAAGTTTCGTATTCGTAGAACCATCACCAACTTTTGTTTTTCAAATACGGTCCTGATAATTCTTTCACAGATTCTGAAAGCTTTTTTTATTATGAATTCAACCATGTATTGAACAAGCTGGTTTGAATGTGTTTCGACCTATTTTAAGCCATCATCAATGTTTTTTTCGAAATTCCGAAGGAAAAATGCCATCAGTTTCACTTATTTCTGATTATTCAGTGTCAAACATTGATGGACTAGTTATTCAATACTGAAAAGTGAAAAAAAAATCCACTAAATTATTCAATGCAGCGCTTCGAATTGTTTATGAATTGTATTCATATTTTAATCCGAAGGAGCTTGTCATAATTAAATTTTTCGAACTAATTATTCCTATTAGTCTATCAATCGGAACTAGTTGATGAGGTATTAGTTTGTTGACTAATTTTCCTTCAAAATAAGTGGAACTGATGGCATTTTTCCTTTGGAATTTCGAAAAAAACATTGATGATGGCTAAAAATAGTTCGAAACACATTCAAACCACCTTGTATAATACATGGTAGAATTCAAAATGAAAAAACCTTTCAGAAACTGTGAAAAAATTATCAGGACCGTATTTAAAAAACAAAAGTTGATGATGGTTCCACGAATACGAAACGTCGCATAAAAAAATCGGTATCACCAAGTTGAACGTCATCAAAAGTTGCTATAATAAAGTATTTTCAGTTTTTCTGTATCTCCAATAATAACGGAGAATAAAAATAAAATAGAAATTCAAAAAATTCACTTTTTTCGATATAACTCAAAAACTAGAAATAATTTTCAAAATTTTCGAAGGCTCTTGATATGAGCCTCCGAATGCGCAACTTTTTCCCCATTTAACCGACTTCGTATCTCCTACCGTTTCCGAGATCCCCATGCTGTGCAACCTTATCTTGGACAGACTGTATACCTACATATTTGTTTATCTTGTGTTGGGAGTTAGTTCATCTTAGGATGAAATTCTTGTAACATAAAAAATCGAGATTTTTTTTTGAAATTACTCTCCCGATACCATTCTGCCAAATCGTTTTATTGTGTTGGCAGCAATAACTGTCAAATTCAGTGTGACTTCAGGAATGTATTTTCTTTCGTCAGTATCAATTAAAGTAGTGATATTCTTTTCTTTTGAACAAAATATAATATATTCCACTAGATGTCATGAAAATATTTTTATAATAAAACTTATGCCTGAGTAGTAAACTATAATAATAAACAATATTATTACTAAGTGAGTTCAAAATTGAGACGTGAATTTCAGTAGATTATTTGATAAGGGGTTGATTGGAGTCCACTAAATCTGAGAGCTTCTGAGCCCATGTAAGCCTTTTTTAATGTTCTGTGACGAATAACTTAATAATCAGTGCCTGAAGCCTGGGACATTCAATTAGGTATTTAGACATAATACAAAACACATATCACTAGGTGCAAAATATGCAAAAGGTGTTATATTATTTAATAATATATCACCTGTATTGATATACCAATTTGCTATTTATATATAATCTATGCAAGAAGTGATACCTTTTTGTTATTGAGACAAATATACTGTTTTAAATTTTTTGACTGTTTTTTACTCAGAAATAAGAAATTGACTTGAAATATACATATATTTGACAAGAATATATACAATAATTAATTATTTTTATAATGATTACAATAAGAAAAAACAAACCTATTCACAACTTTCTTTCAAACATATGAACTTTACTACTTAATATATGTTTTTAAGTATACTCTCGTCTCTAGTAACCTTTTCTTCCCCTGAACCTTTGGCGAGCATCCAACTATAAAAAAATTACAATCAGAAGGAATTTTGTAAGCATATCAATGCAAGAAATATTACATTGTCATGATTAGATGAGAGGTCTGTTCGTTTGTGTTGCTAAACTTGCTATATTTGATTTTATTGAAAAGGAATATTCTCAGATAAATTATGAAGATGAAAAGATGGAGATATATAAAGAATTACATTGTGAAATCGCGTTCTCTATGTGATGAACATATCAATTCTTTCTCGGTTTTCTCAACAGAAAACAACTACTTTCCTCTCCTGAAGTTGAGAATTTGCATTCTCCTTCAGATAACAATACAGGCTGATTCACGGTGGATGGCACATTAGACGTTTCTGGTGAACCAGACAACGGATCATTTTGAAAATTCAATGGAGGGCATATGCGGACATTGTCTAGCCAACTGAAATATTTTCGAAAATGCGGTGTTGCCGCTTCTATTAGAAAGCAGTAGCAACTTTGATTTCTCAAATGGAACACTCTGTATTTTATTGCATTTTTAAAATCTCCCTGAAGAGCTGATTTCATCGATGTGTCACACTTGGGGTCTAGCGGAAATGATTACAGGGATATAGGGTGTGAAAAATCGACATTTTTCAACTTTAGGATTTTTTTGTGTCGAAACTATTCATCATTGGTCAAAACGGCTTACATGTCCCTATCTCAACTTTTGATCAACTATCTACTGATATTTAATTGGGACATATACGGGGTGATCAAGATTCTGAATTCTGCACCACCCTGTATTTGTTTCAATTAAATGTTAGTAGATAATTGATCAAAAGTTGAGATAGGGACATGTGAGCCGTTTTGACCAATAATGAATAGTTTCGACAAAAAAAATTCCTAAAGTTGAAAAATGTCGATTTTTCACACCCTATATCTCTGTAATCATTTTCGCTAGACCCCAAGTATGATACATCGATGAAATCTACTCTTCAGGGAGAATCTGAAAATGCAATAAAATACAGAGTGTTCCATTTGAAAAATCAAAGTTGCTACTGCTTTCTAATAGAAGCGGCAACACCGCATTGTCGAAAATATGTTAGTTGGCTAGAGAATGTCCGAATATGCCCTCCATTGAATTTTCAAAATGATCCGTTGTCTGGTTCACCAGAAACGTCTAATGTGCCATCCACCGTGAATCAGCCTGTATATATATGCACATAATATCATTCTGAATATTCAACAGAAAACAAATACTCTCCTGGCTATTTGCCACGTGAGCCACGTCGAAACGTTGAATTATATCTGTTGACCATCCAAAAGGAAAGCATGAAAAATAAAAATCCTCTGAAATTGAGAATTGACGTTTTCTCTCAAGTCGGATAAATAATATGATGTATTGATATAAAAAATCTATCTCGAAGGGGGAAACATACGAGAAAGCTACGCTCTAGGAAAATACACCACAGTTTTCCAAGCTGAGGTGTTCGCCATCCTGGTCGTAGCAGAGAGACATGAGGTGAAAGAGGGACCAGAGCAGAAGATCTACATCTGTTCGGACATTCAGGCAGCACTCAAGGCAATCTGTCATCCCAGACGAAGCTCAGCATTGGTACAGGAATGTGGAAATGCCCTGGAGATATTAGCAGAATCAAAGGAAGTTGAACTGGGTATGAGTCCCGGGTCACAGTGGGGTGCCCGTAACGAAACAGCAGACGAACTTGCTAGGGCCGGATCCGCGGAGCAGTTTCTGGGGCCGGAGCCTGTACTAGGTATATCAAGGAGCCAAATTACGTCAGCCCTCGATGAATGGGCGGACAAGGCACTAGGAGAATACTGGAGAAATATCACAGGTTGCAGGCAGGCCAAGGAATTCATGGCCGGTCCAAGCAAATCAAGGAGTGGCTGCTTGGCAGAGTCCGCCAAGTACTTCGCCTCCTCATAGGAGTACTCACAGGACACAACAGGCTAGGCAGACACCTATCACTTATGGGAATAGAGGACAACCCCACTTGCCGCAGATGCGAGGAAGACGAGGAAACGTCACTCCATTTCCTCGGCGAGTGCGAGGCGTACGGAAGGCTGAGGTTTGAAATATTTGGAGTAGACAAACTACAACAGGAGGACTTGATTATATTAGAGTGGACGGACATACTGGCTTTCATCAGAAGGACAGGGAGATTTGTAAAGGAAATCTAGGTGAAGGAAGCGTAGATATGTGGAGAGCAGGGGTTAGCATCGGGGCCTACTTGCTTGGCTACAGCCTCCCCACCTACTACTACTACTACTACTACATGATATATAAAAATATGCCTTTAATAATATTATCTATATCTATGTATCTATGTATTTAATGTAGTCCCACCCTGTATTATATACTCCTACAATACTGTTTTCCATATTGCTCGTAAATAATATCAAATCTGGGGTGCTGTTCAAGAAATATCATCTTCAGGATCCCCCTTTCAGAGGGCCGTAGCTCCCTTAGGAGACATTTCTCGACACATGTTCATTGAAACTTTTCTTCCTATTTTTGGTCGTAGAAGCCAAGGCTAATTTCGGGAGACCTTGTATATACAGGGTGGCCCTTTGAAAATGAAACAAAGGTTCTGTAGGTTACCAAAACCCGATTATGAACAAAATCTGAAACACGTCAGCTACATTTTCGAGGGGGACATCGTTCTAAATTATTTTCAGCTCTGCGGCGTTGCCGGTTCTAACGAAAAGTAGCAAAAACTTTGTTATTTCAAATGGAACACCCTGTATTCCATTGCATTTTCATAATCTCCCCAAAGAGCTGTTTTCATCAATGCATCACACTTGAGATCTAGCGGCAATGATTACAGAGCTATAGGGTGTTCAAAATCGGGATTTTTCAACTTTAGGATTTTTTATGTGAAAACTATTCATCATTGGTCAAAGCGGTTCACATGTCCCTTTCTCCAATTTCTATTCACTATCTACTGACATTTAATTGGAACAAATACAGGGTGGTTCAAGATTCAGAATTCTGATCACCCTGTATCTGTTCAGGTAATATTTTTTTCCTCCCGTGGTAGTAAATTGACAGGTTCGTGTCCTCAAATGAGGGAGCCAACGCTAACTTTCTATGCAGTGAGTATATAAAAACATTTTTTAAAAAACGATTTTTGTAACATCTAATTTCAAATTTGAAAGCGATGAATTCTCGAAAAGTGTAACACTTTGTATATTAGTATATATGGTTAAATTTGTTTGAAATCACATAGCCTACCACCTCCTTCCGAATATACGTCGGTGAACCAAACACCCTGTATATTCTATTCCCTATTCTGAAGTTATAATCATCGAAAAATAAGTCAGTAGCAGGGGCGGCTCCAGGTGATGTCTCATATAGAAGATAGTGCAAAAGAGGAATTTTCATTGCTACCTCCTATGGAAAATGCTGTTTTTAGAAAAATTGATTCTTGTGAACATGAAGTAATATTCAGTTTTCTCTCAAGCATTGGAATTCCAAAAAAAAAGTTCAAACTTTGATATATTTCATAAAAATATACTGGCTGACAAAAAACTCCCAAAGCCATAGCACTGCAATTAACTATTTGATTTTAATGAATAAAAAAGCAATAGCTATTAATATATCAAGGGAGGAAATGTATTCATTTCCTCCCACTTGTTGGGGCCTGCCAGCCATCAGACAGGATGGTTCAATAAGAGTATAAGTTGAGGTATAGACTAACCTACTATTCTTTGGTATAAGTGCCAGGCCTGCCTGCCTCGCTGCCTGCCATGAGCCATGGTGAATATTGAGTTCATTGTTATATTATGAACTTGATTATGAACAACCAAGTAAACCAAAGCCTATGTAAACATGTACTGGTAGAATCATTAGACACACAATATTATTATTAAAGTTGCATTACTAATCACTGTAGTATAATTAGTAGTACAACAATTATTACTTATTTTTCCATATCTAATGTGGGTCACAGGTGGATTGAAGCACCTCAGGGGCACAGTTTATCTGGTTTTCAGAATACCTACATTTATACATAGTATTATTCATGAACTTCATGGGGGGAAAATTTGGATACAATACATACCAAGGATCTTTTGCATTCAAAAAATGTGTTTCGAAGTACTTGACATTGTGTAGGAACTGTTCCATCATCAGCTTTCAGACATTCTCTGGGTGTTTTTTTGTGCTGTAAAATGCTGTATATTCATAGGAATAAGTATTTAGTAATGATAAATTGGTACTAACCAGTCTACAACAATCACTTTCAAGTAAACACATTTTTAGATCAGCTCTCACTCCAGCACAAGGTGAACTGTCTGCTAGCTTTTCGTTTTCTTCTTCATATCGCATCATTTTCTGTTAAAAAAAATATATCACATATTACCTACCAGTTGAAAAAGTGGATAAAATAAAATAAACAAACTATTAACAAAGAAAGTTTATTAATTATTATCAACTATTATATATTTGTAGGTACTCACAACCAATATCTTTAAAAACAAAAACTAAAATTATAATGGAATCTCAGAAAGTGTAGAGAATTCTCAGAAATATAATAATAAGCAAAAAACAAAAACAAGACAGTGGAGGAATTTTGTTTGTTCTTGGTTCTTGTTCGAAAAATAAAAATAAAATCACTCCGAAACCAGGAAGTGTCTAATCGCACGCAGTGCGTGACTAGAGTCTAGCCATAGCACCAGTGCGAGAATATTGCGCCTGGTGCGCAGGTCGCTGGGCGCGAGAAACGCTCGCTCGCCGTGCGCGAGAAGCGAGGCGAGAAGGGTTGCGGCCGTGCGGCGCGGGACAAATATTGGAGCGAAACAATAAAGATCATCATTGGTAAAAGAATACCCAATACCCTTAATTGGCGGCGAATCATGTATCACGGGAAGGAGATTTGTTGGTTGCCATTCGAACTGTTTCCAGAATATCTACTCATTTATCGTTTGACGTCCAAGTCTAGCGTTTCACCCTTTAAAAATGCAATCGAACTGTTGTGCAGAATGTTCAAAAACATTCAGTTCTTTTCAAAATCTCAGAACTCATTGTTTGAAGTTACACCCAACAAAGATAGCCCCGTCGAAGAAAAGTGAAAAAGTGTTTTCCTGTGATAAATGTGGACAACAGTTTATAAATCAGAGGGAGTTAAAAATTCATACAAAGAAATGTAACAATTCATCTACAAATACTATGAAAGAAACAGGTAATTCCACTTGTCCAATGTGCAGTGAAAAATTATTGAGTAAACAATTCGAGAGACATTTGGAAATTTCACATGACTTAACGTTGGTTAAAGAAAATATTGAATTTCCATCTTATGAAAAATATATCGAATGGAAAAATGATATTGAACAGAAAGAAGGAACTTACTTCATCAAGATTAGAGGAACTAGAAAAACATCCAAATTAGAGAGACAATATTTTCACTGTCATCGTTCGGGAAATTTTCACTCGACGAGCACTGGAAAGAGGAAAGTTAAAATACAGGGCAGCAAAAAAATTAATTCTAATTGTCCTGCTTCCATCATAAAGTGACCAAGGATATTCTGGGGATATATATATATGTAATAATTATGAACAGTGCAGTGTTAATTCAATTTGAATAAATTGATTTGAGGTGTGTCACGATTCTAGGGATCACCCTGTAACATGGTATCAACTAGGAAAGCAGTTGTCTAATGTATCATTTCACAACAATGACTTATTTGTTTTTGTTTCGCTGCAATTTCTCGCGCCCAGCGAGCAGCGAGCGACTCGTAATATCATTTCACAATGACTTATTTATTTTTGTTTCGCTGCAATTTCTCGCGCCCAGCGACCTGCGCACCAGGCGCAATATTCTCGCACTGGTGCTATGGCTAGACTCTAGTCAGTGCGTGGTACGCTGGTGCGTGCACAAGCGTGCATACGTACGAATACGTACAAATAACGATAAGGCACTTTATCCGATTGTTTATCCGTCGCTTCATCCGTACGTTTACGTGCGAATAACTCCCAAGAATGCTATCCGTACGTAAATTGACAACTATATTTGCGGACAGATAGGCTTTCCCCATTGTCATTAGAGAGTTGAAGATAGCACTGTACGTAGACCTCCACGTAGACGTTGAGGTACGAAAAATAACGTTCAATGATTCTCAATATCAGAAAATACCTGTAGTATGAAGTAGTAGAGCAGATAAGGAAAGGAGCATCATTGGCTAAATGAACTAAATAAACCGGGAGTGTCTCCTAAAATTCATCATTATTAAGGCATATTGCGATTTTCATGAATCTCAATTCTCAATCTGGTGCATCATGAGAAATTTATGTCAACAAAATGTCCAAGTATTCTTCATCACTCGAGCTTGAATCGCCATCGTCAACAATCGTAGAAACTATAGAGGATACAAGAATCGATTTCTCTTCCATGTTAAATATTAAATTTCCAAAATTTATAACAAGTAGGAGACTAAACATCTAGTTCAGATAAACGAGAAACTACTACTGATGAAAACCACGAAAACGTGTCACGAATTACAGTAGTGAATTTTTAATTTTATTTTTCGGAACACAGATTTTCAGCAGAGTCAGTGGATCAGCTTACAGTACTGACCAGTTGAATTCGGAATATAGCCAGAGTTCGAAAAATACGTATAGATCTGTGGAACTACGTATGCTTCTGTCTTCCGATGGTTTTCGACTGTTGATGTGAATGCGAGCCAAGGCTATAATGCGAGCATACCTGAACCTATCGATTGAATCGGTGAAAACTATCGATTAAACCGATAGTACATTACTATCGATACTATCGATAGTCTATCGATGTTAGCCATCCCATCCCTCCCATCCCATCACTATTATTTTGACGTTTGTAAAATTTTCATTTATAGGTGCTATATAAATGATAATATAATAATAAATATCAATTTTCCAATTTCTAATGAGTTTTGAGTTGTAGATATTCTAGTATTGAAAAAAAAGAAATGACGGATTACGAAACGCTTGAACCTTCCTTGAAAAATGTAATAGACCAAACAACATTGAAATGGATTTTTGTAGGAGGTAAAGGAGGGGTTGGTAAGACAACCTGCAGGTGAAATATGATATATTATGAACCACGAAATAGCTTTCATTATCCATGTAATCTTCAGTTGTAGTTTAGCAGTTCAATTATCCAAAGTTCGAAAGAGTGTATTGATCATTTCCACTGATCCAGCTCATAACATTTCTGATGCCTTTGACCAAAAATTCACTAAAGTTCCAACACTGGTTAAAGGTTTCAACAATCTGTATGCAATGGAAATAGATCCCAATGTGGGATTCAATGAATTACCTGATGAATATTTTGATGGGGAGCCAGATGCAATGAGAATGGGAAAAGGTGAATATCTTATACTGAACAAACTGAATCATCACAAGAATATGTTTTTTTAAGGAATAATTCAAGAAATCATAGGAGCTTTCCCAGGCATAGATGAGGCTATGAGCTATGCTGAAGTTATGAAATTGATAAAAAGCATGAACTTTTCTGCTGTTGTTTTTGATACTGCTCCAACTGGACATACATTGAGACTATTGTCATTTCCTCAAGTTGTTGAAAAAGGCTTAGGAAAATTACTGCGATTGAAACTAAAAGTATCACCTCTCATCTCACAACTGAGTGGACTTCTAGGGAACTCTGATTTCAATGCTGATACTTTTTCCTCAAAAATGGAGGAAATGTTGGGTGTAATCAGACAAGTGAATGAACAATTTAGGAATCCTGATCAAACCACATTTGTGTGTGTTTGCATAGCAGAATTCTTATCACTTTATGAAACAGAAAGATTGGTTCAGGAATTGACAAAATGTAAAATAGACACTCATAATATAATAGTAAATCAATTGTTATTTAGAAATGATACCCAAAGTCAATGTAAGATGTGTGAAGCAAGATACAAAATTCAAGAAAAATATCTGGATCAAATTAATGATTTGTATGAAGATTTTCATGTTACCAAATTGCCTCTTCTGGAAAGTGAAGTTAGAGGCATAGAAAATGTCAAGAAATTTTCTGAGAATTTGATAACACCTTATTCTCTTCAATAATATTGTATTAGGTTTCATTATCATAATGTGAATATTTTTTATTGTTTAGGGAATAAAGGCAGGTTTTGAACTCTAAACTTAGTTTTCGAAAATCAAGAATAATCATTGGTTCCCCTTGATTTTGTCCAGTCTCCAGAACATGATCTAATAAAATGCACCGAATCATTTATAAATGTATTGAAGATTTTACTTCAACCTCATAAAACATATAGGTACCTAATGTTCAATAAAAGTCATTGATATATTTTTGTTAATTCAAAAAGTACTTTTGGTTTGCTTGATTCTATTGTTTTAGATCTTCATTATTCCCTTGATAATGACTCAAATCCTAATTCCTTGTTGCACTCCATTATTCCCCAGAGAGAATCAGTACATGGCATTATATTTTTTTAGTAATGTGCAAATTACAGTTGCAGAAAGTGTCTTGATCCACTTAGGTAACATGTAGATATGTAGGTTTATGGAGAATAAAATACTTATATCAAGTGGAAGGCATTGTCACTCCAAACTTTTCAAACACCATCAGCATTTATTATGTCTATTATAAATGAAAATTCAATACTTAAATAATAAAACTAGTATTGAAAAACAAAATGTCTAATAGTGTAATAAGTACAACATATTACTGACAAATTAATTGAATAATAGTACTAATCAATTTGAAACTATAGCCATTACATGCCTCCACTCTTTTGTAGAAGTTGAGCAAATCTATTGGTGATTAGAAGTGATACATCTATAAATCTATCAACACAATTTGTCAAGCAGGTTTCTGTTCTACTGTCCAATTTGTTAGATGGCTTATCTACACATTTTTCCCAACAAAAATCGTTAAATTCGTGTATCTGAAACAAATTTCATCAGAATTTAAGGAATTTAATAAGAAAAGATAACCTCACTTGAGCATTAAATTGTGCCTTTTGCTTCTCTACCATTAAAAACTCTTGCAGGTCTTTGTCTCCTCCTTTTGCATCTAAGCTACTTGAAAACGAATCGAAGGAATCAGTCATGATTCGTGAATTTTTGGGAATCGTTTATAAAAATTTGGAAAATTAATAATATATATATAGTACAATCACCATCAGCAATTTTTTCACTAGTTTTCACCACGGTCCACGAGCATCGACCAGCGACCACACCACGAACCAAACCACGAGGACTAGAGGTCGGACTGTCGAAGAGTATCGATACTAAGTATTGATATTACGATACCAATACGAGTATCGAAGTATCGATACATTTTTATTCCGTATCGATACTGATAGATCACATTATATTTGTGGAATGCTGTCACCTTCGGTTTGGAGTCCCGATCTATGCATAGAATTCATTATTTTATGTATAAAATTGCTCCTTAGCTACATTCGAATGTTGGACAGTGACACTTGACTTTTTGACAATTGATATTTTGGTGAGTTTAGTATCGAAGTATCAATCAATACCCAACATTGTGCGCCCACATGTTCCGACATGTGGTCCATCCTTGACATGTGTAAGCCGACTTCCTTGGAGAAGTTCAGCAGCTTCCTCAGCTGAATCTTTCACGTCCTCTGGCCTCAAAATTATGTTGCCAAGGACAGCCCTCCTCTGATGTGTCAGTGCTGGGCACTCAGTGAGGACATGCGATAATGTTTCGTCATCTTCCAGGCACCATCTGCAAAGGGGATCATCTTTGATTCCAATAAGGTCTAGGTGCCTATTGAGGTGGTTGTGCCCCGTTATAGGAGCCCCATTACCTTTTTAAGGTCTCGCTTGTTGAGAGATAAGACCTCTTTTGTGAGCCTCTTCGTAGGTTCCTTTATGTGGAGCTTCGATTTTCATTCCTGGTGTGTCCTGCCATATATATTGAGCAAATGCTTTTGCAGCTCTCCCTCTGTGGAGGACATTGCCAGACTGCTAGATTTCCAAGATTGGTTCCGGTCCGACCGGGGTCCGTCCTGAACCGATCTTGGCCAGTCTGTCTGCCTCCCATCGTTTCCGGGTATCCCCGTGTGTGTCCCAGGACCCACATGAGGCTGACTTCACTTGATTTTGACAGGTTTTCCAAGGTCTTTCTGTACTCGGACCCCAAATTGGTTTTTATCCTATTGGATTGCAAAGCCACTTTTGCAGTTTTGCTGTCCGAGCATATAGTAATTGGTCTACGACCTTTCATACTTCAGTTTTCCTGGACACAGGTAAGTATTGCAAGTACTTCAGCCTGGAACACTGAGGCATATTCGCCCAAAGGAACCAAGATTTCTTTTCCTGTTCCTTCATTGTATACCCCTGCACCTGAGCTGCGCCCAAATTTTGAGCAATCCGTGTACCAGATTGACTCATTGGGAGCAGGTACGCCAGGTGTTGGGCCATTCGATTCTTCAGAATCGGCAAGGTACTGTCCTTCTAATCATGAGGATGGGACAGCTTTCCTTTCCCTTATTCCATGTGAGGGAGTGTCCATGATCTGCTTCTGTTCCGACCCACTGGTTTGCACCGTAGAGCCGGCAGACCTAACAGATAGCGTCAAGAGCTCTGGTAGGCGTCGTTCTTAGAGCACCTGTTATCCCCAGGCAGGCCAGTCTCTGGACTTCATCCAGTTCTCGTTTAGTCTTGCCCTTATTGGGGCTGGTCCACTATACAATGGACCCGTACGTCAGTGCTGGGTGAACTACCGCCGTGTACGTCCAGTGGGGACATTTTTTTTACATTTCTTTTTCAGAATAAGATCTTTTCTACTCTGTCTAGATCTCTTTTTCAACTATCTGAGTAAAAAAGGCGAATTTACGTTGATTCAGGTATTCATGGTCCAGAATGGACGTACTGGGGATGTACAAATGCGCGGAATCTGGACGTCCGCATTACGTACCTACTACGTCTACGGTCCTAATCTGGACGTCTTGTCACCAAACATGGCTTTCTACTCTAAAAATTATTAAAAGTATTAATAATTATCATTTCATTCATTAGAAATGAAATAAACTAGAAATGGTTAAGTTTTGTAGTCATTTAAACTTTAAACCAATCGGCTTCTAGATTTCATGAAAAACGCTGTAGGCGGAGCCTAAGAGAGTGTGAGAATTTTAGTTCCAACTGCGCGATTTGTGGATTAGCCAATCAGCGCGCAGAGACTGCGAGAACGCGGTAGGCGGAGCCTAAGAGCTTTTCGCGTATAGGGATAAATATCGGCCAAATTGCCGCTAGCGAGAGTTCCGATTCGATTCCGTTACCTATAAGGTTAGAGTTCAGATTCGACTCCGCTACCTATATGGTTGGTAGTGTTTTTAATAGTTCTGAGTGAACTACTAGTAATTGAGTTGCGACTCCACATCACTCCCATAGGGTTGGATGTGTACTATTATAAGAAGAATAGAAGAAGCCGATTGATATTTGAGAAGATTATCCAAAAGGAATATTACATAGAAGAAGCCGATTGATATTTGAGAAGATTATTCCAAAGGGATAGAAATATTAGAAGAAAGCCGTTTGGTATTTCCGACGATTATTCCACAAGGGTGGATGAAGAATGGAGGTCTACAGCCAGCTCTAGAATACGAACCAAAGTGGGTGACCAACCAAATTGGTTGGATTAGAATTCGTTGCTCTGATGAGAAAACTGTCCTAATGGGACAAAATTAAAGGTCATCATTCCCACCTACCGAATAAAGATCCTAGTCCTCCCTTATCTTATTGCAAGAAAGAAGAGCTCCAGTACGGTACCAAGGCTCCAAGACTAAGGACCTTTGTGGTTGAGCCTGGCCACATCCCTTGGTACCTCGTCGTAGCAACCACTGGCATTCCGGAATGCCTTCTGGTGCCGTCTAACTCTAGGGATACGTTAGTAGCCAGGAGGTGAAAGCATTGCACTTCCCTAGGGTGACGTTAAACGCCTTTAGTGTACCTGCGGGACACACGGTTCGCGTCGGGAATTAGGGCAGGATAACTTTAGGGACTCAGAGGCCTTCAGCCTTGATAGGACTAGGCGATAGGGAAACCCCAGTACCCGGTGCAACGCCGACGTGGTGGTCTGGGCGGGTTTGACGGAAGCTTAGCAGCTCTAGTATTAAGATTAGCTATCTTCTAGGAAGTTAGGAATCTTAGGCAGGGGTAGTATTGTGGGAATTGTCCTGTGAGGTTAGGATTTACCTCACAGTCAGCTGTAAGGTGGGCTATAGTATCCTTTCCTTGTTTGTAGGAAATTAGTGCCTATTCAGAACTATAAACTTTCGGGAGGATCGGACTGCTGTCAATTATTCCCTGAGTTTGGCTTTGTAGTCGTGGCAAAAATACCTAGCATTATTTTCGAGATAAAATAATGAACCCTGACAGCCCCAACAGTCCGATTTTATCTCAGTCTCCAGTATGTACGAAACTTCTTGGCCGGACGTTCTCAGTACGTTTTGGGGACGTATTGGTGCTATATGAGTACTAGCTAGGACATTTCATGGACATCCTTGCTCGAACATTGCATGAGATTTACGGGATGGGACGTCCCAAGGACAATTATTTTAGATCCGGGACATATGAAATATTGTACCAAATAGGGATATCCCTAGAACGTTGCGTTCTATTAGGGTAGGGATAAGAACTAAATGATAACGCTAGGATACACGTCCCAGGTGGCCCAAATTGTTCACGGGGTAAAACAGGCCTTTAATCTGGATAAAAATTCGGTGTTGGTCATGATCATGAGGATTTTCCACTCAAGGCGGATTTTCCACAGGGGTAACTATTAACGATTAACGAGACCCTAGTGGGCTGACGATATGTTATTAGTGGACCACTGGCCAGGGTAAAACTTCCTCACTACTCAACTTCCACAATTTTATTGAAAAAAATAATCATCAGAAACGCAAGTCCCAACATATCACGTGATGGATACCCTTCGAAAGATTTACAGACTTCTCGAACGAGCGCTTCCCATAGATACCAATAGGTGCAGGTAAGGACATTCATCATTGAAAAGCTATTCTTACGGACAAAAGTTTTTCATTCCTTGTTTAATCGAATTACCTTACATCTTATATACAAATAATGGATAGGTAGCTACTAATTCCTAAATGTATAATAACATTATTATCTATTGTCTAATCATATGCTGCACACTCTGAAGAATACTTTGCTTGATACTCAAATTCACTCCATCAATGCATCATTACATATTATGTATATGAATATCCCATATTAGTGCCAAGCATGCAACATATGAAAAAAAAATACAGCTCATAATCTATTACAAATCACAACATTATTTCAAGCTGTGTTGTTGATTGGAACAGGGTTCTGTTTCATCTGCAGAACAATAGAGCGCATTCTTGAAACATCCTTGCTACCCTGCTTTGCTTTTGGGTTGAAATCACAGAGTTTTGCAATACGCTCCCACTCCGTACCAGGTTCTAATGCTTCATCTTCTGATACGAACTGCTTTTCCGCATTTCTAGAAATTGATCATTCATATTGACATGTCATATTGAGTTAATTAGACCAATTTCACATTGAATAAAAATAAGTGAAACTCGTTGGTTTTGTTTTCATAATATTTTTTGAGTCCACTACGTGTTTTTTGTGTCTCATTTGTTCACACTCAGCAGTATAAGAACCCCCCAAATACCAAAAACCACATCCGCGTACTTTTGTCTGTATGGTGTAGAGTATACGTTCGTTGTTTATTCTGTTGTATTGAAAATTTGTTATGACGACCAATTGATTTTTTTCGGCGATTACAAAATGACATATATTGAACTATTAAGGCCAGCGTAGCCTCGTAGTTGAAGCGTCAATGTTCTATCCACGTTGGATTACCGGTAGTGGGTTTCGATTCCCACCACGACCGCAGACATTTTTCTGATAGCCTGAGAAAGTGTTTGGGATCACACGTTAAAAGGTAAGACCCCCGTCATTCTTTGCTCGCACAAGTCTCTTGAAGACTTCTGAGGGTTGCTCGTAAGGGGGCAACCGAATGATGGAAAAGAATAAGAAATAAATCACCATCGCCGAACGTTAACAAATGATATTGTGAACGAAAATTGAATTTTAAGACTACGACGGTTAATATCCAATGGATTTATTCGGCATATATTTTTTAAACTTTCATTTTATTCAATGACTAATATTAAATCAATGCCGAACATCCAACTTATATATACGCATACTCTACACTATAAAGACAAAAGTACGCGGGGGTGGAAATAATAAAATGCCGAATGTTTGCAAATTTGATCTTTCTTATTAAAAATTGTTGACAACAATATACAGCGCAACTGCGAATCGTATCCACCCTACGGTAATGCCTTCCGCCCAAAGTTTTTTTTCAATAGACGAGTGGAATATTTTTTTTTATTTCTTAAATAGAATAATCACACAAAGACCTTTCAATTCCATATTTTTTCTTTGTCTTGAAAAATAACAAATTATCATTTTCAAATTTATCGTAACAGCCCTCTGAATTGGTTGATTAAAAAGTCAGTTCGTTTGGATCAAACTATTCATGGCTCTGTATTAAGCCTTCAATTTTAGTTGGGCACCAGATTGAATTCATCTAGAATCATCATCGTGATGTGATGTTTACAAAAATAGGAGTAAATCAAGAGATTGTAGACAGGCTATGATTGGAATGATTACACATCATAGAGTTAGAGAGGGTATAAAATAGTGCAATCCATATTTACAGATAGGTATACATTTTTTTAATGGAGACTGTATAATCTACTTATATACTGTTGTTACTTACTTGGCAGCATCCCTTGTGATTGCAGAAAAATAATATATCTAGTTAATTACTGTTGAATTGATCACTTTGTATACTATTACAAATCCATCAAGTCATGCTTGTAGTTGTTAATAACGAATATTTTAAATTAGTTCAGCTGTTTATAATACATAACAAAATATATATACTGTCAAAGTTATCGATTACTTTTCGCTGGATAATTCCAGTATAAATCTGTATTAAACATCAATTACAATTGACATTCTAACAACAACTAAAATGATTGTTTCACTAATAATGCAGTAATACCAAGTAACCAGTTATATTTGAAACCTTCGAGATTTACCGACTTATATCTGAAAGGGGGTGATAGGTTAGAACATTTTGATATAATCAACTATTATTCCGAATTAGATGAATGGGTCCATTTAAGTTGAGTATAAAAAGTTTTGACGAACATTTTAATACATATTTCATCGATATTCAACACAAAATGAGATCTAAAAAAATGTGATAAAAACATGTTTTACTTCCTTAGAATTTGAAAAACGATTTACTGTAATACAATAATTATGAATTCTCAATGGGTTGCGTGCAAGAACTGTCAGATGACCGACGCTGGAGGCAAAACATTGAAACACAAGAACACAACCTCACTTTTCTTATTTGTTTACAAGTGATCGAAATAGTTTTCCACAATTATTTTGGCATAAGAATCGTATTTTTCCGCTATTCATCAATTCGCTCATGCCATCACATTGTGCTGTTGTAAAATAATGTACATTATGATTTAAAAGTAAGTACCTACTGTCACTCACATATAGTTTTCATTTTTGAAATTTGTTATTTCTCTGATTTCTCATCGGAATTCCTCCTCCAATAGGAGCTAATAGAAATATACCTGAAATTTCTAGAATAATGCAAGAAGATTGGATTCATGCAATCAATCGGGAGGACTGGTCTGACAACTCTGACATGCTGACGATCGTGTGTGTTGTAGACATTTTCAATCTATTAGCAGTACTAGCTTGTATTGCAGAAGTGGCAGAAGGCAGAAGGAATTTTAATAAGGAATGACAACATTTCATAATGATTACTATGTGAGATTACTATTTACCTGAAAAATCATATTCCCTAGTCTCTTGCTGCATTTTTTGTGCATTGTACAACAGCACAATGCGAAGGCATGCTTGAATTAATGAATAACGCAAGAAACACGATTCGTATGCCAAAATATTGTGAAAAACTATTTCAACCTTTTGATTCCTCTGTAAACAAATAAAAAAGTGAGGTTGTGTTTCAATAATTCACAGAAGAATGAGGTTGTGTTTCAAGGGTCGGCCATCGTGCACGCGACCTATTTTGTATTGGTTATATTCCTAATTACACATAAAAAAATAATTGTCAAAATTTATATATATTTGTGTTGATAATAATATTATTATATTAATTCACACTAGAGGATATTTGAGGGTAAACGTGACAACACGGCGCACAAATTGCGGTCAGTTCTCAGCCTTCAGCACATTGTTGCCAAGTCTGATTACAAAACTCTTCCGCCATATTGGATCCGCTTGAATTTTCAAATTTTGACGAAAGAATCATAATCTTTGATCCCGAAAACCCGCAGATAGAAATTTTGAATAGATTCGGATCATAATACCAAAACTCGCCCGCCATATTGGATCCGCCATCTTGAATTTCCAAATTTTGACGAGAGATTCGAATAATGTGTGGGATTTTGTGAAATCTTCTGCTCGTATTGATGCTGCTACAATAATGTGATCGTGAAATCATGAATTCTTCATTCAGTAGGATTGCCACAGTCAACATCTCGAAACATTTCGTGATTTTCTAGATAAGTCAATTTGAGGCCGCAAGGGGGCACTTTTGCATAATTCAGTACTCCACATGAAATATTGAAGAAACGGTGATTTCCAGATATTCCTGAGTTGGTATGAAATTAAGAATCAGATGAGAAAAGCTCGGAGAAAAGTGCCCGTGAAAAAACGGTTCTAAGCAAGTGATTACATTTCAATCATTCCAACACTCAATATAACATCCCATTATGAAAGGACTGCCAAGCTTGTGACAACAACTGTCATTATCATACAGTCTAATCATTGAACTTACATTATCACTGTTCAGATTTATTGAAACCAGCAATGATTAGACTGATTACTGTAGGATAATGACAGTTGTTGTCAGGAGCTTGGTGAAACTGTTGAGAATTATGGAAAGATTTCGATAATGGAATAATATACGCGGAGTTTCATTTATAAAGATAATTCAACATGGCGCTCAGCCACCATTTTAAAACTTTGAGCTGTAATTTTTCCAAATAAGTACCCTTTCATCGCCTATTTGAGAAGTCCAAATTTTGTTGAGGTATACCAGGTGGTTCAAAAATTAGTAGGGTGGGACGGACTTTAGACGGGCACTGTTTACACCAAATATAATGGTGAATAACAACAAAGAATGCCTTCAGTGATACGCTACTTTTTAGGTTTCCATGAAAAGTATGTATGCCTAGATCTTCTAGACACTGTACCCTATGCAAGTGAAATACAAAATGTAAAAACAACGGTGATAATTATCAAATTTATGTTGTATAATAGGTTATAGAAAACCCTCGAGTAAGACTGAACTCAAGATAAAGTTGATATTCATCCACAGGAAGTATCCCAGAGTAGCAAGTAGTATTTGTATTATGATTATATATCAGTAATAATGCTTGCCACTCTAGCCAGTTTTTGAAGTAGAATAATGCTTGTATTAAACTGGTTGGATTCAATGTTAATATCCATTATTAATATTGCATTTACTCCTAATCACCATGATTATTTACATTAAGGCTATCAATTCCTAGACGATCAGTGATACTGGCTTCATAGTTTGGAGAAAGATACCGCGTTTTATAGGCATAATACTGGTCCTGAACTATCTACATAAAAAAATGGTTACCTATTAGCAGCTTTTGTCTTCGAAATTGCTTCTTGATGATTTTTGTACCAGTCTTCCAATTCTTTTCTTGCAATCTCCCTAAGTTCATCTTTTTTTATCTCTTCCTGTTTATCTGAAAATTGAATCACTAAGAAAATGTTTTGCTCAAGTAGAAATCCAATGCACTATGGTCTAACATGAGGCTGTCAAAATGTCAACATGTTTTAAGTTTTGCTGGACAGCCCTGAAGGCCAATGTTAGTTTTTTTTTGAAAACTATTGAAAACAGTGTGGTTTTCTACACATAATCTCAAGTTATTATATACCTTGGGAAGGATTTAGTTTTTAACTTCCTATGTAAGGAATAGGCAGTTGTACAGTGTGCTCCGTTTTCGATGCTTTTGCAGGATATCTCAGTTATCTTTGGAGATACAACCTTGCCTAATCAGATTTTGCATAACTGTTCCCGTTTATGAGATACAGGGCGATTTTTAAAATTTATAGTTTTTGAACCCCCTCTATATTTACGAAGTTTATCAGAGAATATGTCAAATTATAATCTTATCTCATAGAGAATTTTACGCAGAATCCAGTGGCACACTAGAGTTTTTTTCGAGGTATGGTTTTGCAGATACGACTCAATGTTTTTTCAAAAGGAACACCCTCTAAAAGGACAAAAACAATACCAACACTAATTGACTAACAAAACACAAAACTTAGGTACCTGATAGTAACAAATGAATAGCAATAAAAAGTTGTGTAACATATTGTTCAAATTGATGTCCATTTTCCACACAATTGACACACTTTCTCAATACGTCTTAATACACCAACACCCTTGGTTAAATAAGGAGTGTAAAACTGTGAAACAAAAGCTGAATAAATGTCCAATTACTGCGAAAAGAAATACATTTCCGGAACCATATAAGAAAGAGTACTTGACAATGAAACGACAATACAAAAATTTGATAAAACACAAAAATCCTCACACAAAAGGCTGTTTGCTGAAGAACTATCGAACGCCAGGAACCCAACAACTTTCTGGAAAGCAATAAAAAAATATAGAGGACATACTAACAATTTCGATCACTCTATTGCTCAGTGGGAGGCCTTTTATAACTCAAAAACCATAGAAGTTCATATTCTCGATAACATAAATTTTTTTGACTGTAAGCATCCTTATCTAGATGCACCTGTAACTTATGATGATCTCCAGGCAACGATCATATAAGCAAAGAATTCCTAAAAAATCTGACACAAAACTGGCGTCTATATCTTTGTGCATTTTTTAATAAAATTTTAGGGGGAAGCACTCCCAAAGCATGGTCCGATATCACGTTGATCATGATTTACAAAAAGGACTCGGTGGACAATCCAGAAAATTACAGAGGTATTTTGCTGGTAAGCTGTCTTGCTGAGTTATTTACTGCGATATTTGTAACACGCTTGAACGACTGGTCTGAAGAAATTAATGCGATTCCTGAATGTCAATCAGGCTTCAGAAGCGGCAGAGGATGTACCGATAATGTATCATCCTGACAACAGTGGTACAACTTTAATTGAGACTCAAATCTCGAAAAGTATATGCTGCTTTCAATTCCATTAATCACGACCTCTTATGGCAAAAATTATACAATGCAGGAGTGAGCTCCTCTCTGATAAAAGTGATCCGTGATCTCTATAGTAAAGCTTCTGTTAGAGTGACAGAAGAAGTTTTACAGGGAGAATTCCTCAGTCCTTTTTTTTTTGTTTGTATCAGATATCGAAGCTTTTTTCTAGGAAAAAATTTGAGAGGCTTAAATATTGATAACTTTAATGATATATTATGTATGCGTCTATTGTAGCGCTTGACACATACTGCAGATTAAATTATTGTGAATGTGAATAGGACGAAAATACTTCGCTCCTTTAGAGGTGGTTTCGGAAATAATCCTCAATTCTACTATGGAAACTTGAAACTTCAAACTGTGAATACATTTGAATATCTTGGTGTGCAGTTTTCTTGTTCATCGTCTTTTCGTCAAATGGCAAACAGTGCTGTGAAGAAAGGAAAGCAGCCAATAGGTGCAGTGATGTAGCTTCTTGCTGACACGCAAATTATGTCCTGGAGAGCCAGTATTACTTTGTATAATTCAATAATTGTAAATGCTTCAACTTATACAGTTTCAGTTTGGAGTGTTTCCTATGCCGACATTCTCGAAAGAGTTCAAGTAGGTTTTCTCAAGCGTCTTTTTCTTCTACCCAAAAATACTCCTTGTTCTAAAATTGTTCTTATCCATCATTCGGTTGCCCCCTCACGAGCAACCCTCAAGTCTTCAAGAGACTTGTGCGAGCAAGAAATGACGGGGTCTTACCTTTTAACGTGTGATCCCAAACACTTTCTTAGGCCATTAGAAAAATGTCTGCGGTCGTGGTGGAAATCGAAACCACCTACCGGTAATCCAACGTGGAACGTGGACAGAATATTGACGCTTCAACCAGGAGGCTACGCTGGTTTGATAGCATGGTTTGGTTAGAAGCAGGAAAAGCGCATTTATCTCTGGATATCTTCAAACAAGTTATAAGCTGGCTGTTTCTCTCTATGAAGCCAAGTAGATACCCACGAATTTGTTTCCTCAGACAACTGCCCCTCATCGATAAGAGTGAAATCTTAGCTGGGCGATGCAAGTGAAAGAAAGAGACTTTTGTTCAGCTTGGTTTCCCTAACCTTTGGGATAATCTAAGCTAAGTTTCGCTGATGAGGAATGAATCAAAGTTAATAGAGACGTAATAGTAAAGTACATAACAAGAGTTGTAAAACGCATATTACGCACGAAGTGGAGAGAGTTACACACGATGCCGCATAGCGGCGAGTGTGTAACTCCACAAGTGCGTAATTGCTTCACAACTCGAGAATTGTACTATACTTTTCCTACGACTACACTATATTTTCTTCCGGATAGTGCAGATATTGTATTATGGCACAAATAACGAGTACCTATATATACATGTCCCCCGTCACTGAACCAGCTGCATGAAAAGTTACAAATCAAAATTTTCGTGTTTGTTTATTGATACATTGCATACTGAGACATTTTCCTCAATTCGAACTGAAATGGAGCCGTTTTTCATATCTAAACAACTTTATTAAAAGCAGAAAACACATTATATAAAAATATGAAATCAACATTCATAATGGTTATTTATTGTAACAGTGCAGAACGAGAGATTCTGTAATCGTTATCAAAAATAATTAAAAAAAAGTTCTCCAATTGCGCTCTGAACCGTCGACCTTTGGCTTCGGAGCCAGCGCTTCCAACAACTGAGCCATCACCACTAATTTGTATCAGCAGATATTTTATAAATATGACTTCGAAGATTGATCTTTCCTAATTATTCCTGTTATTTAAAGAAAACGGAATTCATCAATTCAATGTTGAGTATATGCATGTTATTTGAAAAATTACCTTCATGAATAAATATTCATCAACAGCATGTTCAGCATTAAATATTTTCGATTTTTTACTTCGGAATCCATCTGATTTCCTTTCGAGGAAATGGGATGTGTTGCTTGATTAATATTGTGATTGATATTTATAGTGTTGATCGTAACATGGAATATATCGACCAGAGTGATGATGATTTCATCGAATTTGATAATTCATGAAAATATACTAAAAGGATATGTTCCGAAAATGACACGGTATTATTTCTAATTCTCCAGTCCAGGAATTTTTAATGTGCTATTTTGTATCATTCACGAGACTTAGCGGGTATAGCAACTCATTTTCAGCCACTCTAGCTTTTTCCAACATTTCACGTGGTGTAGAAATAATCTGCTCATCGTCATATATCGCTTGACATCATTTTTTTCAACTGAAATTGAGGATTATCAATAGAAAATAATCCTATTTTCAAAAAATATAACTTACCTGATGCTTTCGGTTTCGGTGGATAGCTGGATTGATTGATAAAAAGACAAGTACCTACCCACCTAGCTAGTGACATTAATGAAATTATTAATTGTTATTGACACATCGCCTAAGCAACAAAACAAAGTCATCTATCAACATACCTATGAAAACCGTGCGATCGCTCTCTTTACGCACACGTGTGTAAGGAGAAGCTTACTGCCATTGTTTTGTGTACAATATTCATCACTTACAGTAGTAGTCGTAGGAAAAGTTCTTTAACTCAGCCTAGATAGTTGCGCAATACTTGGTAACAATGTCGTGCCAAAACGGCACAACGAAATATACTAGTAACTTTCGAAATGGCGACCGGCGAACAGTGTCGCGTTACCTATTTAAGTTGGCAAAACTAGACAGGGGTGCCAGATTTAATTGACATTTCTAGAAGCGATTTGTTGTGATCAGCTTTCAGGAATTCGAAGACATCCTTTAATGATTTTGAATGCATTAAGGTGTAAAATGGACATCCATTTGAACAATTCAATGAATAAGTTACTGATTAATTTCGAAATTCAATTTTTTCAGTAAATATTTAATCAGGTGTTTATTTTACATTATGAACTTTTTATTGCTATTTATTTGTTGTAATCCGGTACCTAAGTTTTGTGTTTTGTTAGTTAATGAGTGTTGATATTGTTTATGTATTCTTCATGGAGAAATCAAAAGGAATATTCCTTTAATTGGAACTTTTTATATGAACAATCCATAGCCCACTATTAAAATTCAATGTTTTAGTGATTTTGGTGGTTTTATATCATTTCAAAGGGAAAAAATAAGGAATTTAATGATGTTATAAAATACAGGGTGTTCCATTTAGTGGATCATAAGTTTGAGTCGTATCTGCAAAACCATACACCGAAAAAAAAATTGAGTGCGCCACTGGATTCTGAGTAAAATTCTCTATAGGATAAGATTTTAATTTGACATTTTCGCTGAGAAACTACGTAGATATAGAGGAGGTCCAAGAAGTATACATTTTCAAAATTGCCCTGTATCTCATAAACGGAAACAGTTATGCAAAATCTGATTGGGCCATCTCGAGTTTCACTAAAAAATGGCATACGACCGCGAAATCCGCAAGGTTGTATCTCCAAAGGTAACTGAGATATCACGCAAAAGCATCGAAAACGGGACACACTGTATATTAACACAAAAGACGATCTTCTGAAGTAGAGATCAAATGAAATGAATGACAAAATATATATGGTGCAAGACCTCATGTCTCTACTGAGACAGGATCTGCTGGACAATCAAATGCCCTCATTGAACACAACCGATCAGAACATTGAACGGAAAACAGGTTCTATGGGCTGTTTTCACTTTATTAGATTAATTTCAATTTCAACATGTCAAATATTCAATATTTTCAAAATGCCATAACTTGGCTATAACGCTGACAAGAAGATCAAGGAAATTATTAATGAAATACACCAGAAAATACTGTTTACATACAATTTTCAATCCAAACAACCCTCAAACATTGATAGATCCTCAAAAATTATAAAACAGCTTTCTTGAGCTTGTTACTTATAGACAACAGAATTATGTCTTAGCTTTCTGAATCTGTATAATTTCTTCACGTAATCATCAATGTTCTTGGTCCTTGGTTATCACTAATAAAAACAGTTATTCGCGATAGAAAATAACACGTCGTCCCACCAGACGACAACATTTGAACACTTCTGAGCGGTTTGTTTTGATGGATGTGGCCAATACGCACAAACAAAAAACATATGTCAACCATTGAAAACAAAGAAAACAGACCGCTTTGACAGCTTTCAAAATCTCCGATAGACGGCGAACACTCATTTTCTATCGCGAATCGATTACAAGCCCATGCTACTTTTGGGATGGATCATGTGACCCCATGAATTATATTCAAAATGGGCGAGTGGACTGATAATGAATTATTTACATTCAATTATTCCACTGTGTTGTTAAGGACCTAATAGTAGATTGTTTTATTAGGATAAAAAGTGACACTTTGTTTGACAAGCGAATTTTGCATTTGCGAGGCGGAGCGTTTAGCGAAGCCGACAAGACGTGGAAAATGTTAGGTTAGTGAGCATATCAACAATGATAATAGTGATTATTTATTCCTCTCCATACTACACTGTGTTTGACTTGATAATCAAATGAAGCTAAACAATATCGTTGTTTGAGACAAAAAACTATTGCTTGCCGTGATTATTCAAAAACAAGTTATTCATCCCGAGAAAAACGAATGAAATACAGATCAAGCAAGTATTTGAATCTTGCAGGCTTCCCTGATCAAAAATAATTCCAATACTAAACTATAATAAGGTGTATTTATATCTCCAGCATGGGTATGAAATGCCAAATCTGCTGAAATCGGAAACAAATCAGGTATGCATCTCAACCCAAATAGCCAACCGTCACAATGTTGTTTATTCTTGATGACGTCCAGTAGATCCTTTTTAGTTCCTAGGAGCTAAAGTTCAACTTTAGCTCCTAGGAACTAAAATCCAACTTTAGCTCCTAGGAACTAAATATGTTGCCTAGCAACATACCTATTTTTGTGTCAGTAATAGAAACGTCAATTTAAGAGCTAATTTTGGTATCAAAATGGACGACTTTTGTGTCGGTTGCAGAAAAATTAATTTTTGACAACACTTCTCACGCTATTTTTATGTAAATAATGAGTCTATGCCTTATTCAAAATTCTTGAACTTTAGAGCTCATTTCGAGGCCGCCATTTTTCGATACGTCTAATAAATGGTGACGTCAGCTTTTATGCTATTTCGTTATTGGTCATAATTCAGAGCTGGGCAGTACTCGAGTAAATTGTACTCAAAATTGTACTCGAGTACTCGAAGTACCCAGTAATCGGTACTCGTGAGTACTTTTATATTGACGTACTCAGTTCCCGAAAAAAATTGAGTAGTTTTCACTTTCTGTGTTCTGAGTTCTGAGTACTTGTGGTTCCCACATCTGGCGAGTAACGAGTACGAGTACCAACGTGCGCAACTGCGCACAGACAAGTCTCAGCTTGTCTTGAATGTCGTGCCTCATTTTACATTTTATTTCGTGCAGTGGATAGGTGTGAGTTGTTATTGTCAGCATTATGGAGTGTTATTTTTGGTGAGTTGATGAGTATCTTCTACTTGGAGTCTCTAATCATTTTTTTCATTACTCATACTCATTACTCGTTACTCATTTTTCACGAGTACTCTCTGAAAGTTGTAAAAGTACTCATTTGCTTCAAGTACTTCTCATATAAGTACTCATACTCAAACACTTATGAGTACTATTCGAAGTTACTCATTGTAAAGTACTCATGAGTACTTTAGTGCAGTACTCTGCCCAGCTCTGGGTCAGATACTCTGCCATTACCAATTATAGGTAATCAAGTTATCAAAAAGATATTAGAGTCTTGTCACTCCTATTGTTGAATAAACCACAAGATAAAACAATGGGAGGAAGCCATGATATTATAGTTCATTCTTGACTGTTTTGAGCAACTAGCATGCCTAAATATTTATTATACTCCAAAACAAAATATAATGTAAATGTTGAAACCTTGGCAACAATGTGCTGAATGCTGAGAACAAGGCACCGCCCATAATTCGTGCGCCGTGTTGTCACGTTCACCAGTTCAAATGTCCTCTAGTGTGAATTATAATAATTATTATTTACACAAATTTATTATAAGCAATAATATGAGGTAACATTTTGAGACAATTGATTTTTTATTGATAATTAGTAAATAAATAATAATAAATAGCGATCATGAATTATTGAATAACTAATATTTCTGAAGTTCCCAGTCGTATTTCAACATATGGCAACTGTGCTATGGTCTGCCCCAACTTACGAGACCGTGACGTCAGCTTTTACTGGTAAATTTCTAGCAGTTTGAAAATTATCGTGGTAATATAGATGATTTCAGAACCATAAAACCGACCGAAAAATTCTAGAAAAATTTAAAATTGAAAGGTATTTGAGTGATGATTCATTTCAAGTAATTAAAAAAAATTAGTCCAACACCTATTATAGTATATAGACAAGATATTCCTGTAGGGCATTTTTACAGTTGATAGATCATTGAAACATAATCAAGTAGAACCTCATGCCCTGCAAAATCAACGGTACTGAAACCCATTATTTTTTTTATTTTCGGAAAATGTTTGCCCCATCATAGGTGATTTGATACTGTATGGCGTTTGAAAAACTAGCCAAACTATCCATTTCTGAGGAATTTCCTGGAGGTCGATTTTCATTTTGAATTTGCCATATGCAAGAAAAAAAATTACATAGAAGATGATCCACGTTTGAGTTATGACGTCCACGAAAATGTTTCCAAATGGAACACCCTATATATTATTCAATTTCTGAAATATTCATGGAAAGCTGAATTCCAATATAAATATTAAACATAAAGTTTGTATACAGTGTGTCAGTTGAATAAAGTGCCATCCACTTCTGAGGAATCTTCTGAAAGAGATTGGACTTGATTCTCAATTTGACACATTTATACAGGAAATCGGATATACAGGGTGATCCACGTTTGGGTTATGACATCTGCTACAATTTTTTCAAATGGAACACTACATATTTTCAAATTTATGGAATCTCCATGGGAAGCTGAATTTGAAAATATATTACAATGTATATGGTTTGAATACAGTAGAAATGCCATACAGGTATGTTTCATAGAAATATTCCTTTCTAGGTGGAAAGTTTTATTCATTTCTGTACTCTCATGCTCCTCTCCCAACTGACTGCACAGAGCCTAAAGGAGCTGTTTTGTATGGTAATATAATTCATGCTGGGTCACATGACCCCTTCCAAAAGTAGCATGGGCTTGTAGTCTATTAATATGACTTATTTTAACCTACCTTTCTCTTCAAGTCGTTTTACTTGTTCTTCTCTCCAAATTCTGATTTTTTCTGGTTCTATTCTGTCATCTTGTCTTTGTGTAAGCGGGGTTGGTGAAACTGAAAGAAATGCTGATTATATACAAACAAACTACTAATCTCAAAATAATCTCTGACAAAAAAGAAGCAGAATCCCTTCAAATTCATTTAAACCCAATTTACAATTAATTGTACTTTAACAACTCATCATTTAATTTATTTATAAAATCAACTTGATCCAGTTTGAATTAAATGAGATTCTTGTCCAGATATTTGAAACTTCTGTTATTTGTAATTACCTACCTATAAAAAGTCATATGAAGATGAAAACAATAAACAATGCAATTATTTTATTATTTAGATTTCAATATGAGCCCCACAAATTTGCATTCAACATTGATAATTTATAATAGACAACATTGATAATTTATAGAATTCAATAAGACATTCTCTGGCTCATGCTAAACCATGCAAAGAAAATATTGACAACTATTATAATTTGTTTTTCCACTTCACACATTGCCCTACTTGAGGGCAACAATTTGAATTCTTCTGAGTAGTTTATTCTGATGAATGTGAAGACCTTGAACAATAAGCACAACCAAAACACAAATGCAATCCAATGTATTCAGAGTGAACAGACTGCTTTGACAGCATTTGAAAACCCCACTAGGTGGCATATGCTTATATTTAATCCAAGGTAGTAATCCAGTACATGGGTATCAAAAAGGGGTGTTTGAATGCAAAATGTGGGGTAGTAGCGATTTTTTGGTATGTTGTTAAGCTTGTTGCCCTAATGAAAAATCCAAGTTTTCGACCTCGAGGCGCATGCGCTCGAGCCGCTATCTTGTATTTTAGGTACACAAATTTGGTTTTTTAATAATAACTCAAAAACGGTGGCTCTCACGACAAAATATGTTCCCAACAATATTGAAGAAGACAAAATTTCCAACATTTTCTATAGAAAATTTTTTGTTGTAACACACATATGTTATGAGTTACAGCTTCGTGAAGTTGCACTATTCGAAAAAAAAAGTATTTCATTTTGTTATTTGGCTGTTAATAACTTGAATAAATGATTCAAACAAATGCAAATCATATTGAAATGGTTCTTGAAGAGATTCTACTTCAATTATATAATTATAGGTTGCCCAAAATCTTAACGGATAGGCAGATATCGAGAGCACAGCTGCTGTCTAGTAAGTATTGAAAGAGGGTAAATGACAGATGCCACAAAAATGAACACGCCGCTTTTCCAGGCATGCGCAGTGGATGCATGAATTGGGGGAAAGATTTTCCTGAAGTGCGCTTCGCTTCGCTACGCGCACTTTGGAAGCCTGGGGAAAAACATCATTGAAAGCCTAGATCAATATAAAACAGAAATAGCACGCCCTGCACCCAATCGGACTGAAAATAATTTGAAAATAAAAAAAAAATATGAAAACAATAGGGATTCGAACCCGGGACCCCACGCATCACAGCTCAACGCGATGCCGCTGTGCTAATTGTCAATACTGCAATTTCATTATCATTATCAATATTTGATGCTGTTTTTGTGGTCGGGGAAAACGTTGACCTTTTAGTACTTCTGACAGCCTTAGCACCAGCCGAAAGTTCTATCTACTTCCGTAAACCTGGAAGAGGAAAAACTGCTGAGAGGATATATTCAGCAAGTAGCTTCAAATACGAAGAAGCAACCAAGCACATTTCTATTCTTGCATGCCTTCAGTGGTTGTGACACTACGTCATTCCTATTCAATCAGGGAAAAACTGAATTTTGTACGCTGATAGAAAAAAACAGAGCGGTTCATGAAATAATTGAAATTTTCAACAAACAAGATGCCACGCCAGAGGAGATTGCCGAGACCGGAGTACGCTTTCTTGTAGCATTATATGGTGGCAACATGGATAAAGAGAGTTTGGAAGAGATTCGTTTCCAACGCTTCGCCAAATCTACGCTAAAAACCAAATTTAATCTTGCCTCTTTGCCACCTACTAAAGACGCGGCGAAATTCCACGCCTTCAGGACGTACCACCAAGTACAGAAATGGAGAGGCATTGAGAAAAATCCTGAAAACTGGGGTTGGAAGCATGGCGCTTACGGGCTCACTCCCATAACAATGGCGAAAAAAACAGCTCCCGATTTATTATTAAAATCGGTATCTTGCAACTGCAAAAAGGGGTGTGGTGGGGCATGCAGCTGTCGAAAGGCTGGACTTAAATGTTTGGTTGTATGTGGCTTCTGCAACGGAGAATCTTGCGGAAATATGCCGGAAATCCGCATTGAAAGCGAGGACGAGGATGACGACATTTTTCAGGCTACGAACCAAAACTACGACCAGGACACAGATAACTACGACCAGGACACCGACTACTACGACCAGGACACAGACAATAACCAACCCGGACCATCGAAACGTACGAAATGTAGTAAAAATTATTTTTTGTAACGCTCTAAAATCCTAATTTACTATTCTTGAATTTAAAATAAAAAATCGATTTACTTTTCGCCTTCAACTTTGTTCACGAAAAGTATAATACTGTTAAATGATGATATTCGAGTGCCTTTATAATTATATGATGAGAAAAATAAAATAAAAGTCAACCGAAATGAAGTTCCCGCATTTTTTTTATCAAATAATGAAACTTCACTGAGCTGTAACTCCTCACATATGTGTGCTATAAAAAAAATTTTACTAGGAAAAATTCAGAAAATTTTGTCCTCTTCAACTTTGTTCAGAACATATTTTGTCGTGAAAGCCACCGTTTTTGAGTTATTATCAAAAAATCAAATTTGTGTACCTAAAATCCAATATGGCGGCTCGAGCGCATGCGCCTCGAGGTCAAAAACTTGGATTTCTCATAAGGGCCCCAAGCCTAACAACATACTAAAAAATCGCTACTACCCCACCTTTTGCATTCAAAAAACCCCCACGTACTGGACTATAGGTAGTATTGATGATTTATTTGTAGAGGAAGGTTGCCTTGATCAGAAAACACCTTGAGAAATGTATGTATCACAGCTGGATAGGTAAATATACTTGAATAAAGTTGTAGAACACAGATTCCCATGACTCCTACATTGAATTTTCAATGGGATTACCTCACAAATTACCACTACTCCTCACTGCATTTTGCTGATTCAGGCAACCTTCCTTTCCAAATAAATCATCAATTCTACCAACCATAATTCAAACATGAACAAGACCAACAGGCCTAAGTGACATGACAACTGCCAGACAAGCCTAAAAGGTGGTGGTTGTTTACTGTTTAGTAGGTTGTAGGTATACCAAACATGACTTTGGTAACTCCTACAATACCATGAAGGGAGTGGTCCTTTATTCATATATCATTTTTTTTATCCATTAGTTCTTTCAGATATAAAAAAAATCATGTCTGAGCTGCTGACCTCATCCACTCATCAGAAATACAATTTCATTTCTACTGACTGTAGGTAGGTACCTGATTTTTTTTCAGCTCATATATTTAGGAATGAACAGAACAAACACTAACATACCACTTTGGAACTTATGATCTCCTAGAAATTCAGCATCACCATTCTCTACCATTTCGAAACTGCTGGCAGAAGTGGCTGGTTCATCTACAGATAAAGCAAAAAACTTGTGAAATAATAATAAGGGGAAATAAAAATTGTGCAGCAGGTTGGAATATCAGGCAAACATTCAACATATGATTAAAGAAATCATGCTTTCCATATTCAACTTAAATAGACCTTTACGCCCCCTTTATATGAAATATTACCTCCATTGAGAGCTGGAGCAATGATAGCTGCTGGTTTAACTTCATCTTCAAGTCCTGCAAGTTCGTCCTGTTCTCGAGCCAAGAATTCTGCTGCAGGATCTTCTTCTACTTGGACGAAACTATCTCCGAAACCAGACATTTTTCGAAGAATAATAAATTGTTGCCTTTTGGTGATTAATTTTTTTATGACGTTGATAAAAAAATATCAGAACGAGATTGGGTCGAATGAGGGTCGAATCTTGATTCTTTGCTTGAATCTGACAGAATTCTGACTGACGACTGACTGGAGATTGGAGAATTGACAGCGACAACACCTTTGCGACACTAGAGCTTAGCCATAGCACCAGTGCGAGAATATTGCGCCTGGTGCGCAGGTCGCTGGGCGCGAGAAATTGACTAGAGCCTAGCCATAGCACCAGTGCGAGAATATTGCGCCTGGTGCGCAGGTCGCATGAATGACTTCATCATACTTTTTTCTTGAAGAAGGAGAATTTTTCTTGAGGAAGGAAAATATTGTTTCTGCATAAAAAATGAGAAAACCTAACCTATCTATTTTATGAGTATATCTGTACTTGTTTCGTTGACCTGTGTAAAACTTGATGTTTATTAACACCAAATAAAATATTCTAGAAGGAGAATTTTTCTTGAGGAAGGAAAATATTGTTCCTGCATAAAAAATGAGAAAACCTAACCTATCTATTTTATGAGTATATCTGTACTTGTTTCGTTGACATGTTTGTGTAAAACTTGATGTTTATTAACACCAAATTAAATATTCTATTCTATTCTAACCTAACCTAACCGAACCTCACCTCTGGCCTAAACATAGAAAACCCCTAAATGAACCTATTTCCCATAGAGAATATTTTTTAGAAATCACTTGAGAACAAGAAAAAAATAAAAAAAAGATGAGCCTCGCACGGATTCGAACCCCGGCCCGCCGGCTTGGAATGCCGATGCTCTGCTTACTGAGCCAACCAGTTGCTTACGAGACGAAGTATGATGAAGTCATTTATGCGACCTGCGCACCAGGCGCAATATTCTCGCACTGGTGCTATGGCTAAGCTCTAGTCTTTGCGACCATGCTACAACCGACGACAGATCGACACAGGACACAGACACATATTTCCGTTGTTTTTTGAACATCGAGTCATGTTAATAAATTAATAACATATTTAAATGATTTAATATCAGAAAAGTTAACTGATGAAAACCATGAAAATTTCGGAACACAGATTTTTAGTAGAGTCAGTGGATATTCGCGATAGAAAATAACACGTTGTCCCACCTGACGGCAACAACTTGAACACTTCTGGGCGGTTTGTTATGTTTTGATCTTTGATGATGTGACCAACACAAACTAAGAATAAATGAGAACCAATGAAAACCAGCAGTGGGACTCTGTAACTCAAAGCGAAAGCGAAAGCATGCGTAATCGACTGCTTTTGCCGTTTCGGTACTCTGTATCAATATTCGGATGAGGTCGGAGACGCCGAACGTGAGTTCGTAAGCGAAGCAGAAGCGAAGGATTTTGGCTGCCGCTTTCTGCGATTCTCAACGATTGAGGTTATAGGTATTGGTTTTTGTTGTTGTTCCTAGTTCGAACTTTGTGTTGATTTGAGAAAAATAATAGATTAATAATTAATAAATGAGGAATGAACCCAAACATGGATAACAAAGCGAGCAAAAACACAACTCAGTCAGTGGGACAGATTCCTCAGTTTTACGAACAAAATCCTAAAGATATTCCAGAGAGATGGAAGTTCCCTTTGGTAGGATTAAGGTAGGGGATGAAAGAACGTGAGATGAAAAATATGATAGACAGTGTGATGAAAACATACAGCTCATTTGGTAGTTGAAAAATAAATTGAAAACTGCCATTACTGAATGTTGTCTCACTGAATCCTTGTTAAGAAAAATATTTCTTTGGTGTGAGTCCATTGAAGAAGACAATAATAGGTAATTAATGAATCCTACTAATATAATATGCTGATACCTACAACAGTGAAACATAACAGAAAGACTGGAACGTTCAAATTTGAAAAATTTGCATAATAAGTGCATTGGAAGGGAAAATAATTTGGATAGCAAAAACCTTGAAGACACCCAAGAAGAACTGTGTAATATTACTGTGTACCAATAAGGGAGAATCAAGAGTAAATTCCATGAAACAGGATTAACTGAACATTCTTTACTATGTTGAACAAGAACAAGAACGGATTCTACTTTCATTACATTAATAATTCCATCCAAGATTCTAAAGTGAACTGTAAGAAAAAGTGCATCTGTTTAAATGCACTGTCAACATATAGCTGCCTTGCAGAAGGCGATTCAAGGAATTATATGTGCTTATCATCTTGTTTAATTTGTGACATAGAGAAGCAAGTTCTGATAGGTATTACATTATAGTATGTAAATAATAATATACTGAGTGTTAGATTATAGAATGATATGTTCATTATAAATATAAGCAGTTACATATCTTACAATATTATTGTTATTCTCAGATCATTTGCCTTTACTAGTTGCATATAAATAGAAAGCTATACCTGAGATATACCTAGTGAGAATATAAATACCAATTTTTTATATGAACAAAGTAGGTACATGTTTTCCAATGAGCTGCTCTGTGCAGAATAAGTTCTTGTTTGGCTGATTACTATTTTTGTTGGCCTTGATGTCAATATCTGTTTGTAGTCAATACATTCATTCCAATTCATAGAAATAAATCATCTTCATATGTGTTTTTGATGTTTTATTGAATTTCTTTTCTCTCGGAAACTTCTCCAAGTGCTTTATTTCTGATTGAAACCAAAAATTAACAATACAATAATTCGTAAATGCCGCTTTTTTGATCCAATGGGATGTATCCTTTGAATAAATGGGATCCGCAACACTGTTGCCAAATTTAACTCCACCAACTTCGTTCTATTTCGTATGAAATCGTATGACGATAGCGAAAGCATAACGAACTACATATAGAGTACCGGAAAGCGAAGTCGTATACTTCGCTTCGTTTCGCTTTCGCTACGCTTTCGCTATGCGACACAAGTTACAGAGTCCCACTGCTGGTAAACAAGCCGCTTTGACAGCTTTCAAGAACACCGATAGGTGGCGTACGATTATTTTCTATCGCGAATCAATCAAATTCGTGCGGGTCGGTGTTGGTGTCGTTGGTGTTTCACTGTTTGACTGTTTGAGATGAGACAGCTGAGAGCTGACTGAGCTGAGAGCTGACAGCTGACAGAAGACAAGACCTGTTGATATCAGTTGGTTTGTTATTGTTATTCTGTTATTATTCAGCTTATCTATATAAACCAAAGTATAATATAGGAATAATGAATTTAATTTAATGTTGTTTATTGAATGCTTGATAATGATAACACATTACCAAATGAAAAAGTAGATAAGTTTCATTCAGTTCAGCTGATAGTTTTGATATTGTTAGATGTTCAGATGAGGGAGATGTCTAACCAAGGTAGGAATTCAAACAATTTTATAATTATTTCCACTATAATCTTATTGTTTTCTTGTCAGGCTATGAGTCCTTGGAAAGTATTAACAATACACATGAAATTTTGAATGAGGCCAAAGATGAAGTAAAATTTAAGATTTATGGATATATTGAAAGCAGATCAAGAACATTTTTGTATAATTTATTCAGTTTGTGTTTGATTGGCATACCATATATTGTAGTAAACTTCTATCCACGTTTGAAAACGCTGACATATCAAAAATGCTCTTTGGACAGAGCAACTATAATATTAGGTGAGTAATAGTATATTTACTTATACCTATCATATAGGTACCCACCCTGGTGAGATGGGGGGAGATCCCAGAAGACTGAAGTGGCCCATAGAATCTCACAAGTGAAGTTTTTTTTTACCAAGGAAATAACATACTTAAGTCATCATTCAAGTCCAGAAAGTGGTATAGTTATTTGTGCAACTAGTCAAACTAGTGCAAAAAGTGTATGTTCCTTTCATAATGCTTGAAGTTAGCTGCTCCAGAGGATAAAATTTCATTGAAGGGTATTTGTACAATGGGTTATAAATGATATTCTTTACTGCCTTTGTGTATAAATAACTATTCTGCACACTGAAGATGAGTGCAATAAGTAGTACCTTCTTGTATGAGAAAAATATAATTGTTCACCTATACCTGACCTAAACCAGTGGGGTGAATTATGGCCTGAGAAAATATTGCAAGATATACAGATTGATAAGTAGGTACCCTCAGAGGAACACATTTATAGAGAAAAAACTGCCATCCATGTATACAGCCTGGGGGTGATTCTTCAAAGCATTTCAAGAGAAAAACTTCCCACTAACATGTGTCCTAAAAGTCTTAAGTTTTGAGATACAGTGTGATAAAGTTTTGAAAAAAAATCAGTTTTTTAATAATAACTGGAATAATATTGTAGTCATTTTTATGAAATTTGGTACATATCTTCTATGCATCAAGGTGCATTTTTTTATGTATACAAATTTTCCTTTTTTCTACCAGTGGCGCCGTTAGAGGGATATGATTGATTATATTATACTTGAAAGTGAGCAAGGAAAGAATATTTCCAAATTTAATAAAATGCCATAAAAAGTGATTCAATTTTGTACAAAAAAGATCCTCTTGTTGATACCCAACAGGACAATTCGTTTTCAAGAAAAAACGAAAAAAAACGAAATCAAACTTCAAATTTTGGGTCCAAGAATCGCCCCCTTGAATATTAGCCTCGATATTAGCATATCAATAAGGAACACCCTGTACATTGAAAAACTTATTTTTTTTTATTGAAAAAAATGGGGTCCAAGCTGTGGGGTAAATTCTTGCCCTACAAAACATTGTGGGATATTCAGATCATTCTGTACCATCAAAAAACTCTATCCACATATTTTGGAAGTTTCAATAATTTCATGGCCAGCATGAGTATAAATTAATAATAGACCACCATTGGTTGTGTGCCTTGGATAATAGCAGATAATAGGGTTGTATGGAGGGTTGTACACACTAGTGGAATTTATGCCACATATTTATTTAAAATTGAACATTTCATGTATTGATAGTATTTGATACAATCATTTATTATTTAAAATCATCACAAATATTTTTTCGATTCTGAAACTAATCACGTCTCAAATACGCTAGCCAGGGTACAGGGCCCCGACTTGTGTAATCAAAGATTCGTAAATGTTATCAACAATCTCACTCAAACTATAAGGCCCTACAGTTGGTCGGGACTTGTCCAGGCATTAGTTTTATGGTGTTGCCGACTGTATGCTAAACTTTAGTGGGCGCCCAAAAGTTGACAACACTGGATCAGATTTCCAACGACGCGCGTCAGCAAAAATCAGCAGATCAGAATCGTACTTCAAACTCCATATGTACTATTATTGCTGTTCAGATAATAGATAATAGATGTGTCTGTTCATCTGTATGAACAATTAATTGCTTTGAAATCATGCATAAAATCTGAATTTCAAAAAATTCATTCTATTAAGAAAGTAACGAAATCATTACTGACTATTCCACTCTTGTTCTGGAGAACCAATCGGAATCGACCATTTTCACGTTTTTTCTGTATTACAGCGATATTTTTTGTTAACTAAATTCAATCGGACTTCTCACTAATCTTTTTAACCTTTTGTTGAGCTGCACATATTTGCTCTTATTTCCCTTCTCATGTCTGAAACCGCATTAGAAGCGTGTGATGAAAATTTCAGCCTAATTCTGTTCTTTTTTCTGATGATTAATTAATTCAATGTTTGTTGAAACGAATTCTGCCAAGCTTCCAAATAGATATTTGTTCTGGGCGATTTTTTTTCTATGCGTTCAAATAAATTTCAAGTAGGAACAAAAAAACGAGCTCTCAATTATATTAGTTTTTCTCCCACGTAATTTTTCCACTGATTACAGACAATAGGTGACTGCTGTCAAATTGAAATATGAATGATATATCTATATGGTACTATTCGAGAATTTCTTTTTCACAGCAACGACTTACTCCCTTGATAAGTTGGATAATCAATCAATCATTGAGAGATAGGTTTGATTTGAATTTAAAATAACAACGGAAATGAGCGCTATTTCAGAACGCGCTATTTTGTTACAGCGCAATTTTGTTATGCGCTGTTAAGTTACAGCACTGTTTTGTTACCCGCTGTTTTGTCACGCGCTGTTTTGTTACGCGCCACTTTGTTGCAGAGCAATTTCTGACATTTAAAACGTCAATTATGTTGGAAGCCAGAATGACGGATGTAGTATGCGTAACTCTCGCGAGGCCCTGGTTTATTGTCTCAATCATGAAATAGGCATACGAATACAAATCTTGATACTATTTTTCCTGTAAATATCCATCGATTGACATACTCCTTGCTGCTTTAATTTCGCTCATGACATTGTTCCGAAATTTATCGACTATGGCTCGAAAGATTTGATGAACAATGTCCTTCGAGAAATTATTAGGCAACAAGCTGTCGTAACAATCACCGAATATTCCCGGCAAAATAGCATCACTTGTGGACTCGTACTATTACATAATATGATAAAATTCAATATCCTTGCATCAAGTTCTCGGAGGTTAACAGAATAATATACTTCCTTATTTTGGTCCTTCTGGTTATAGCTGCAATAATATGTAGATGAGAAAGAAACTTTTCGAAATCAAATCTTATGAAAAATTATCTTAGGACTCCAATGGGACAAGAACGGGTATCAGACTTGTCAGTAAAATCTCGAAAAAATGAAATTGTTATTAATTATGGATGATTTAATATACGGGGTGTTACTTAATGGCAAGAATAAAACTTCATATGAACTTATGTCGCGAAATTTCTAACTTTTGAGATACAGGGTATCGAAGTTGAACATATACATAGATTCTTTTTTTGTCCTCCCTGTATAGCTTCTCGTGATGGCAGAGTTTATTCTGCTATATGTGACTGAAACGGTGCAAAAATTTCAAAATGTTACATACTGTGGTTATCCAGTAATGGATGTCCTGAATGGATTAATCAAGCTTAGCATTTTCATCAAAATTTGAATTTTGATCTCGTCTTTTCGTTTTTTATAGAAAACGGAGCGTCCTATCGGGTATCAACAAGAGGATCTTTTTTGTACAAAATTGAATGACTATTTAAAGCATTTTATTAAATTTGGAAATATACCTTCGTTGCTCACTTTCAAGTATAATATAATCAATCAGTAATAACCTTTCTTGGGAAAATCACGTGAGTTGGTAAGAGTACATCCCAAAAACTTGGTTTTTATTGAGTGAATATTCCTGATTCCAAATATATATAATTTTCATAAATTTCATTGAGTGATACTGGGTGAATGGAAGGAATATAACTTGATATACAGGGTGTCCCTAAAAGGTGCGGAAAAAAAGCTACCACAAGTTCCTGAGGAGTAAATATGACGATCTAACTCAACTTACCTGAGTCCAAAAGTGGATGATTTCAGAGATACAGAGTGTCAAATGTTCAATTTGATTTTCATTTTTTATAAATATTTTGTTTAATAATAGGTATATTGTCACAATATTCGGCTTGGGGGGGTTTTGCTGGTTGAGAAATTAGAATTTGCTATCATTTTTATTGTAAAGTTGAGAGGGCGCCACCTGCGGAACCTTGCACACATTTGAAACGAAATAACTCTTTTGAGCCACCCCATATTTAATTTTTAAATGAAAATTCGGATTGTCCAACGTCTTTTACATAAAAAATGTATACATGGTGAGAGTTGATTTGAGCAGCTGTTTTTGAGATATCTGGATTTTAAAAATTCACTTCGTAAATGGCCAGGTCTAAATTATTGTAATAAATTGAACACATTTGAAGCGTAGCCGGTGAATTAAAATAACGTCACTAAAAACTGACTTGGGTCAAATCGAATCTAAAAAACAAGTCAAGACCATTGTCAAACAAATAATAAAGTTCTTGTTGTCATGGCCGCAATGTTTACCAACGAAGAAACGACCGATATGTTATTGGTTTTTGGATATTGCCAGGGAAATGGTTTAGAATCTTGCAGAGTATACAGTGAAAGATTTCCTAATCGTCGCTTACCAAACCATAAAACCTTCGCGGCAGTTGAAAGACGTCTTTGTGAAACGGGTAGGTTTGCGCCTGCTTCTATTAATACGTGCACGTACGGCAAGAACTCCAGAGGTTGAGGAAAAAATTTTAAATAGGATTGAAGAAAATCCTAAACTCAGCAGCAGACAATTGGGCTTAGAGCTAGGGGTATGTAAAAATACTGTAAATAGGACGACCAGAGAACAACTACTGCACCCATTTCATGTTCAACGGGTACAAGATATCTTTTACCCCATGATTTTGAAGCACGCCTAGCTTTCTGCGGGTTCATCCAAGAACACAGAAATCCAGATAGGAACTTCACACGAAGAATTTTATCCACAGATGAAACCTATTTCACGCGGAGTGGCATGACTAATTTGCACAATGAACATGTCTATGCTGAAGAAAATCCCCATGCGATTAAAGTAACCCATTATCAGCATGAGTTTAAGGTCAATGTGTGGGCAGGAATCATAGGCACTTTCATACTTGGTCCTGTCATTCTACCACCTCGACTAAATGGCGAAAATTATTTGGAACATCTGCGAAACGAATTACCAAACCTATTAGATCCCCTACCCTTGGAACTTCGCAGGGTAATGTGGTTTATGCATGACGGTGCTCCTACGCATTTTTGAATTAACATACGTAATTATTTGAATGAACAGTATTCAAATAGATGGATAGGTAGAGGCAATGACGCACCTGCAAATTGGCCAGCTCGGTCCCCTGATTTGACACCGATGGATTATTTTTTATGGGGAGCTTTGAAAACCCTTGTGTATTCTAGGACAGTAAATACAGAAGATGATTTAAGGAGACGTATTCAAACTGAAATTGACGCTTTAAGAAATGATGACGAAATGCTCCAAAGTGTTCAATTTAACTTTTTACACAAGAAAATGGAGGTCATTTTTAACATTTGTTGAAATCTTTTTTTTTTATTTAAATTAAATTAAACTTTTGTTGTTGATAAATCTCCTATTCCTATTCCTAATGACTATTTTTATTAGATAATAAAATTACCAACACATTTATGTACCTACTTTTTTTTTCTAAGTTTTTAGTGACGTTATTTTAATTTACCGCCTACGCTTCAAATGTGTTCAATTTCATCATTACAATAATTTAGACCTGGCCATTTACGAAGTGAATTTTTAAAATCCAGATATCTCAAAAACAGCCCACGTACACATTTTTATGTAAAAGACGTTGGACAATCCGAATTTTCATTTAATAATTATTATGGGGTGGCTCAAAAAAGTTATTTCGTTTTAAATGTGTGCAAGGTTCCGCAGGTGGCGCCCTCTTAACTTTACAATAAAAATGATAACAAATTCTAATTTCTCAACCAGCAGAACCCCTCCAAGCCGAATATTGTGACAATACACCAATTATTGAAAAAAATATTTATAAAAAATGAAAATCAGATTGAACTTTTGACACTCTGTATCTCTGAAATCACCCACTTTTGGACTGAGGTAAGTTGAGTTAGATCGTCATATTTATGCCTCAGGAACTTGTGGTAGCTTTTTTTCCGCACCTTTTAGGGACACCCTGTATAACATTTCGACATTTAATTTCTTTTCGAGATATTGAGTGTTAAAAGCGTGATATCTATAGTCAATCACCCTCTACCATTCAGTTGATATCGGGTGGCATAATTATCATCTCCTTATCAAATCGCAAAACATTTTTTAATCATTTCGCTCAGGATAGTGATTGACATTATAGGTGTTGTTCGATAAAATACTATATTTTTACATACCTTTGGGCCATTATGTCATTTCGTTATCAGAAGATAATAAAAAAACGTCATTATGTACTAATGCAATATTTTACAGTTTGACAAGGTTCTTTCCTCTTTTAGTGTCTGACAGTGATGGAAAATACTCATGGAAACAAATAACTTATGAAAAAATAACACATACTGCCAGACCACTTTTTGGTGAATTTAGATATTTTTTTTATCAGCACACCAAGTATGTGTGGTCTACAGAACACTTAGTATTCGTTACTTTGGGAGATCTCATTCCCACTTTGACCAATGACGAATATTTGAATAATACAGATGGTTTGAAGAAAGAAGAATATGAAAATAGGTAAATCAATTCCAACTGATGTTTTATTAGATTGTGCTATTTAAATTCTATTATTTTAAGGTTGAATGTGTATGGGAAAAATGAGTTAGATATAAAGATTAAATCATATTGGACATTATTCATTGAGGAAGTGATTACTCCTTTTTATTTCTTCCAAGTATTCTCCGTTTGTCTTTGGTTATATGATGAATATATTGCATATGCAATTTGTATTTTTGTTCTGACACTTTTCTCAAGTTTCACATCTATAATCCAAATCAGAAAGGTGAGTATTATTGATTTATTTCATCATAAAACTATATATTATGTAATGTCCACAGTACTTTAGTAATTTTCATTAGTTTGGATATTAGAGTATTAGTGAATTTGATGTGAGATAAGTCAATAAATTTTTCTTTATATCATTTTATTCTGTGGCCTTTGCATTTGATCAACGTGTTGATATTCAAGAAGGCGCCTGTCACAAACCTAGGGTAAAAAGGATGTGAACAAGATTTGTCCAAGGGAGATGATATGTTTCGCTCCCGAAATTGGCTTCTTCTTCTAAGTGCGCTATGTCCCATACCGCCTACACACCATATCCATTCCAATGTTTGTGTATCTCCAAAAGTATCTTTCGAACATTTTGAAAGACTATTTCTTGCAACATCTTAGAGCCAAAGTAAAGCATAAAACTAACGTCAGTGATAATATGGTATATAACGGTAATAATCTTGCTACATCAGGCGATATTGTTAACGCATTTGGCGATTTCTTGAGCAACTCTTTTGCGCCAATGTCTAATACACTAGGTGTTGATAATAATAACTTCATGCCGAATAATTCAATTCATATACAAGGATTTGATGCAAGTGAGGTCATCAGTGCACTCAAGCAAATCAAACCTAAAATGACTACCGGTCATTATCACATTCCAGCGTTTTTAGTTAAAGACTGTTCAACTGTATGTACTTGCCTCTCCTTTACCAAATCTAATAAATATTTGCCTGAAGACCAAAACTGTTCCATCTTCTTGGAAGATTTCTAAAGTCTGCCCAATATACATGAAAGGTGATCGGTTAGATGTTACCAATTTCAGACCTATCACTATAATTTCTGTAATTTCTGAAAGCTATTTGAAATCCTCTCACAAAAAATATCTACTTCCAAGTTGAAAAAAGTCTGTCTATTTACCAACACGGTTTTATGAAAAGTCGTTCTACAACATCCAACTCATTACATGTCACTACGCATATAGCAGAGGATCTGGATAATCAATTTCAGACATGCGCAATTTATACAGATTCCTCTAAAGCTTTCGACTCGATAACGGCATTTAATTGAATGCACTACCTGAAATTGGTTTCTCTTCTCATTTGATAAAATTTTGTCTCTCATATCTATCATCAAGTAGACAATATGTCGAATGCCATGGTCACAGGTCAGTCGAATATCTTGCTACATCTGGAGTACCTCAAGGGTCGAACCTTGGTCCTCTGTTATTTAACATATTTATTATCGACATACTCGACGGCGTTGAAGTTGATGGTTTGCTATATGCTGACGATATGAAAATATTCCATAGAGTTTCAGATACAAATGATTGTCAATTAATACAAGATAACTTAGATGGAATTAACGAATGGTGTATTTCCAATAAGTTATTTCTCAAACCCGGAAAGTGCTGTATGATGTCCTTCACTTTGGAATCTTGTGTTATTTTCAACTATACCATTGATAATACTGACTTACAGAGAGCAGAGACATTCAAGGATCTGGGAGTAATATTTGATTAAAAACTTTCATTTGTAACTCACATCGAACAAATATCGTCAGCTGCCAGCAAATCCTATGGTTGTATACTTTGATAATCCAGAGATTTCAAGGGTACTGTAACTCTTAAAAGTCTGTATTATGCATTTGTCCGATAGAAGCTGGAATATGTTTCGGTAATTTGGAGTTCTCATAATAAAACTCACATCGACAGCCTTGAATCGATTCAGCGGCGCTTTTTGAAACTACTGGCTTTCAAAATAGATGGAGATTATCCAGAAATTGGCATTTCACATAAAAATGTACTTGAGAGACATTCATTCAGCAGTCTACAAACTCGAAGAGAGTACCATTCAAATGTAATCCTTTTCAAAACAATCAATAACTTATGTGATTTCCATTATTTGACGCAAAGAATTCAATTTCACGTTCCAAGAATGGCGTCCCGAGTGAATCAAACCTTTTACTTGCCAACTCCACGCACGAACATATGTAGAAACTCTCCAGTACAAAGAATCTGGTTCTTAGAATAGGCGTGTATTAATCACTTTGAAAACTATTTTTCCGAAAGCGATTTTTGATTTGCAATTTTTCAGCAACTTGTAGCTTTACATGCTCTAGTTGAATCTTCCAAATGCCATGAAGTCACAGTTTGTCGGCAGACTCAGGAGTCAAATCAGGATATTATAAAAATAAACGCAGCCAATCTTGTTCCTGGGGATTTGATAGTACTTCCAGCAGCAAATTTGATTATGCCGTGTGATGCAGTATTGTTAACAGGCCAATGCATTGTCAACGAGAGTATGTTAACAGGTAAGCAAACATGTTCTGTCCAACATGGTATTTCCTCATGTTGGGCAATAAAATTATGATTTTCGCTATATACGTTATATATGGCCACTGATAGTCAATGATCAGAAACATCGAACTCACCTCCTATTATTGTCAAAGGAAGGAATGTTCTAAGTCATCTCCACAAATTATAATGGTGTTGTTACACAATCATAAGGGACCTGTTTCGGTCTTATAAAAGACCATCTTTAGCCTAATTGAAAGTTCTACAAGGCCGAAGATGGTCTTTAATAAAACCGAAACATGTCTCTTATGATTGTGTAACAACACCATCAAAATTTGTGGAGATTCCTTCCTTTGAAAAATTTCACTCCACTTTGAACAATATGGCGTTTTACCAAAGATCATCCTATTATATATTGTATCCCTAAATGATCGCAAGAAGGTTCTTACTTTCCGATAAAAAAATTTTGGTCAAAATCCTCATAATAATGAGGGATGCTAGTGCTGGTGGATTTTTAAAGCATGAAAATTATCAACCAAATTCATACTGTTCATGATATCACGGCCATTGCCTGTCCGCCTGTTAATGAAACTATGAGATTAAATTTTTTTACAATCTAAGAAAAACGAGGAGAGAAAGATTTATTTGTCAAGCCAATAAAATTGTTCTAAAAAATTTTTTCTTATCCATCATTCGGTTGCCCCCTTACGAGTAACCCTCCGAAGTCTTCAAGAGACTTGTGCGAGCAAGGAATGACTGGATCTTACCTTTTAACGTGGGATCCCAACCACTTTCTTAGGCCATCAGAAAAATTTCGGTCGTGGTGGGAATCGAACCCATGCACCTACAGGTAATCCAACGTGGATAGAACATTGACGCTTTAACCACGAGGATACACTGGCCACAAAAGAAAGAATACAAAGATTCCACAGAGGCTTCTCTGCTTGGTAGGGATAATAATACAGTACATACAAATAATACTCAGTCAAATGGTAATCTGGTAGTGGTAGTAGTAGAACTTTAGTCCGTTCGTTTAGAAGGCGAAGTAATGGAATGTACTAATGGATTTCTGTCGCAAATTTTCAAAGAGACCTACCAGAGTGACCACTAGAGCGACGTTGATATTTTGTTAATTATTTCTGTAACTTTTTCTGAGTAGTATCGATTTTGCCGCAATAAAACAACGAGTACGGACTACATGAAGCTCAGTATCTCCGACAAATAGGCCGCTTGGCAACCCTTTCGCCGACAAACGCACGCGTAGCTTTGTCTGCCCACAAAAGTCGAAGGAAATTATTGGCACTTCAAATTACCATGAGCGTAGGGAAGATAACAGCCTAGGGTCAACCCTATTTGTGAAGATAATGTCTTTTACATTGCCTTGTGACGCGTGGCACATGTTAGTGCGGTTTTCATCATATTTCAAGTTGTCGATGATGTGTTTCTTAAAGCTTGTATTGATGTAGTATTTTATAAGTTCATTCATTATTCAAAATTACCAGGAATAATGTTCTCAATGATTAAAAATAATCAATTCCCAAAAACGCTAGTACTGATGCCGTAATATACCAATAGCACCATTAGTGTGTCATCATATTTCTCAACTACAAAAATATAAATATATTTGAATAATGTCTGAAAAGAAAACGATTTGCGACAGTGAACTAGTTTGGGTTAGTACTTACTTCAAAATAATGGGCGTGTACACCTTAGTAGAACTTTTAACTCAAACCATGTTTATAATGATCCTTTTATACATAAATAATAATTGACGACATAGTTCGATCGAAACAGTAACTGGAATGTTTTATTCTTGAACATAAATAATAGTACCTTCTGAAAACGGACCCTCTCATGACGTAGAAACCTCAGCCATAGTAGCCAGGCAACTGATATATTGATTCTTTCAACTGATGTGATCTCGCGCTAATTCACTCTGTCTGAAATCATGTATCATTCATCTCTGTCTGGAAAAGTCTTGTTTCGGTATTAGGGTTTTGACGTCACATCATCGCCTCATTTTCAGAGGTCCGAAAAATCGGAGATTTCAATAATTTTTTATAAAACGTAGGGAGCTCACAGCAAGAAACGGTTTGCGGTGGTGAGCTAGTTTGGGCGAGTTCTATCGAATTATGAAATAAAAATTTATTGTGATATAAGCCCATTAAATACAAATTTTCACTGAACCAGACCCATTTAGAGAATTTGTTTTCCGCAGCTTTCATGCTGCGTGAATACTTTCACTGCTAAACTAATGTCCTTCTTGTCAGTGAGAAAACTTCACGATATTGATTCGTTTCGATTTTTCTCAATATTCCTTACATTATTCATTTGGTGATGTGATGTTGATTAGGATTATGATGAAAACCTTTCTTCAAAAAATGATACAGTTTATTTTTGAAGAAGAAAGAATGCACGTGACGACAAAAACCATTTGTATCAAATTCCTCACGCTTGATTTATATCCTTCTGTTGTAAAGCCAATCCCTATGTTCTGGAATCACACAGTATATCGTTATATCGTGAATAGGTCTACCTTGTTTCATCATTCCATTTCATGTATATTTATATTATTGCAACATAAATTGTTTTATTGTTTATATCCATACATATATATTTTGAATTGCTGAATCTTTGGTTTCTACCTCAACCTCATTTTCGGGTACCTACATTATCAGATTTCCTAATAAGGAAATTCTTTTTTGATTGGATCATAATTATCGGACGATCATTGATTATTGGTTGATAACGTCCAACGCGGAACGCGTCATGGATTTGACGTTCTTTGAGTATGGAAGCCAAGGATTCATCCCCTCTTCAAAGCACTTAGTTGTAGAGTGTTAGGTGTGGATTTAAGAAGACGTGATTCAAGAAAGTAGAACAGTATTATCAAATGCCGAAAAGTTGATTATATACTTGAAGTTACACCAGATTCGAGTATCATGGTACACCAACCCCTAACTACCCCAACACTTCCAATATTTCTCATACCGTTATTTTACTCACATCTGTCTTATTGGAACATATTACTGTTAACATTGTCCACTGCTACCTCCAAGTACGTACTTATTTTTGCAGACAATTATGTACATTGAGTACTATTGTGTTTTCACACTCAACGCAAAACATTTCGGATGATTTACAACACCAAATCAACCAGGAATAGCTTCCATGGTGACAGCAATCCTATTTCAACGATACTTCGAATGCAACTTGACATAAAAACTATAACATGCTGTTTCTGAAAGAAACAGTGAAATAGTAGTAGTGAAATAGCAAAACATTGGCCAGCCGGGATTGACGCAGTGGACGAGCGTCCGTCTCATGATCGCAAGGTCGTGGGTTCGATTCCCAGCACGAGCAAGGAACTTTTTTCAATATCTCATTTACGAATTAAATATTGTGAAGTTTCGGAGCATCGGCTGGGGATAGTCCTGCACGATTCGCTGTTGCGTTCCAATTAACAGTACTGCTCCTAAAGTGGCGCATGGCGTTAGTAACAAAGCCTACACAGAACACGCAGAAAGAGATGATGATGTGGCTGTGAGCATCAGAGAAGAAGTAGGGCGGTGTATTTAGGTGAGTGTGGAAAACTACCTGCTGAGCGTGAGAGCGGGCCAGCTGACCTCGGTCTCTAACGGGGGTTAACGGCAATAGCTAGCAGGCCTGCCACTGCAGCATATGGTAGTGAGTACATTACTAGCCTACGAAACACAGCCGAAAAACTCTGAAAGAGAGCTGATGGGCGGTGCCTGAAAAGGATGTTAGCCAGTTCTCTCAAGCAAACCACATCAGTCACTGAAAACACCTTGAGCTTGCAGAAAGGTCCCATTAGGGACCAGTACCAGTACCAGTAGCAAAACATTGAACATCTAAGGGCAAAGCATTTTCTCATATCATTGATTTACATGTTTTGAGGTTCATTGGTTTATTTTCAACTTGGGTGGGAAGCTTCTATATACAGGGTGTAATTTAATTGATTGCTTTTACTATGTAAAAACTGTTACGTTTATGAATACTTGACAAAGTAACACCACAACGTAATCGATCAAATGTTATTATTGAGAATACAAACTATAGGGCATAATTTCGTTATACCACAAATGCATGAAAATGGTATTTTTTTTCTGTGACGGAAAGGAAGTTTGAAATTTCATCTCTGTTGACGGGTTATTAAGTGTCACTTTTCATAAATTACTTTTTTCCCACAGGAAAAAAGTGAGTAGTTTTCTCCCGGATATATCACATATATATTATACACTGTTGATGGCCTTTGTAGTTCCGAAAAATAAGCCAATAACACCGTCTCCGAGAAAGAACTGCAAGTCCTTTTATCTTCTATTTGACTTCGCGGTTACGTAAATTACTAAACAATCACTAAATTCGCAGTTTTTGACAATTAAATCACAGAAAAAGACTGACAGATACTTGATTACTTCAACAGAATGATAAAGATGCCTGCAATGCAGGTGTCATTCTTCTTAAAAATTTCAAATTTCACGTAGAAAATTTTCTGATTTTAATATAATGAAGTATCTTCTCAATATCGATTCATCCTTCTTCCTGTTACAAAAAAAAGTCCTTCCTCCTGTCACAGAAAACAATGTGTATTATACATGGGAAAAATATTAGATTTCAGCTCGCGGTTTTTTGTCTCCCTCCGCTACGCGTTGGGAGACAACACAACCTGGAGCCAAAATCTACTACTTCTTTCCCTTGTATAATAAATAACTACCATTTTTTATCGTTAACGGGCGACGGAAGGAAAAAAATCGAGAGGTCAAGTTGTTGAAGATTTTAATTATGATTTTTATTTTCGGAAAAAATAAGGGCGTACAATATATTTTGGAAAATTCTCTTCTTTTCAGGTGAAAGTGTGCCCATAACTAAAACAGCCCTTCAGTCAAACAATGAACAATACAATATGGACACCCAGAAACGACATACTCTCTTCTCGGGCACTAATGTGATGCAAACTAGATATTACGGCGGGGAGCATGTTTTAGCCAGGGTCATAAGAACAGGTTTTGACACGACGAAAGGTTCCCTCGTTAAAAGTATTTTGTACCAACCACCAGTTGGTTCGGACTTTTACAAGGACAGTTTCAAGTTTGTTCTTGTACTGCTCACAGTTGCTGCTGCTGGAATGGGGTATTGCATGTACCTTTATATATCTCGAGGAGTGAGTAAGAAATTATGCTTATAGGTTATACACATAAAACCATTCAATTCAATATACAGGGTGTCCCATAAGTAATGGATCAAAAGAAGTGGGGTGGTAGGGGGGGTCATTTGTAATTAAACTAATGGTATGTCAAATTGTCGATGGATCAAAAGTTGCGACCCATTTGAAAAAAATTAATAACAAAAAAGCTGTTCCAGAATCTAAATTGAATGGGCAATTTTTCTTATGATTGATTATCTTTGTGGGGTAGTTTTTAAAATCTGCTAGCGACATTTGAAAATCGACATAAATATTTCATTCCATGACAATAGTCAAGGAAAACAACATTTCTCTCAGGTGATTGATAAGAAGTAATACATGTCATAAAATGATTTCTGGGGAAAGGTGCATCCATGTGGATAAAATTTGTAAAAGAAAAAATCACAAATGTGACATAGTTTCATTGTAATTAATTCTTTTTATAGAAATGAAAAAACATTAATAACTTCTGAACCATCAACAATTGGATTAGAATATTATACGGTTAGCTTGATTTGCACTCCTTTTGATCCATGACTTATGGGACACCCTGTATAATCTCAATGACAGATTCTAGAAACAAAAATGGTGAAGAAAGTTTATGTGAACATAAGTCCAGAAATTGCCCCCTCGGGAGTTATAGCTATCTAAAGGGGAGTTTGAGAAGATGGATTTATGTAAATAGTTTCGAAACCCTCTGTGTTGAGATAACGAATTTTCGTACATGTATATTGGATTTGGAAATATTAAGAATTTTCTAAAATTTTTATCAGGGGCGTGGGAAATAGGTGGGGCTAGGGGCATTTCTTCCCTCAACTTTTTAGATAGATAGATAAAATTAGTTCGATGTTGACTATTTCTGCCTTTGAATCTAATGTATCAAAGAGATATGGGTATCCCACCGAGGTTTCATCACAGTTTAAGCAATATGTGGTGTGGTTTCATACTTACACAGATTCAAAAATATAATACAATAAAAAATTTGACTTCTATAAGTATTTGAACATTTGAAATCTCTCATTGTATTGTCCTGATGTCGAGCATATAGGTGAATTACACAATAAAACGCACCGACATACTTGCTAATTGAGATGCTAATGCCGTAAGGCAAAAGCTCATCTATTTAGAGTGTACTGGATCCCATGGAGCATGCGCAGTCAGTACCTATCGTATATCTTCTTCAGTCTTACTCATGTTCCCAAATACCATCTGATCTATGTTAATGCCATGAATGACAGTTTGCACTTTGCACAATATAATCTACAAATCTCCAAAATTCAAACTAGATTGATAAAGGCCTAGAAAATATCAGTCGTTCTGAATTTCGGAATTCTTCAATGGTTTCACTAACCGGTATTGGAATCAAGTGTTGAATTTGAAGCAATAGTGTTTGCATATTCAACGATAGAATGTGCTAGCGTTAGGAATTATTCCATAGCAAATTATCATGAACACTTGTCTGAAAAGTGACTTCCTCATTTTTAGACGTTCCCAAACAACAAGGCAGTACATGTGGAACTAACAGTATTGTTGCCTGTAATTTTGGTTGGAAACTAGAATGAGCTTAGAGATTATCCACAAGTCGGCTCGATGTCATATTTATTTAAGTAGGTGAAATCAATGTTAACCACACGATAATGGAAATGCTATCATAAACAATAAAGAAGGGCTTCAAGGATGATCGGTGTTGGGACTGTGTGCATAGATTGATCTTTGAATTCGCTACTACCTGTTCCAGTTATTGATATTATTGTTTTTAATAATGAAGATGATGGAAAACCCTAATTTCGAGTCACAACGGAAAATGAAAAAACTCCATCGCCCCGCGTGAGACTCTAACTCACAACCTCTGGGTCACGTGCCCAACGCTCTGCCGATTGAGCTAACGGGACATCCGTCGATCAATTGGCAGGAAGGTCGAGTTCTCATCACACACCAGGCGGCAGAATCCCTCCAATTCCCGTGTTCACTCGAAATCATGCACTAAATGAAGCATCGCTGGCAGGATGGTACTATACAGTCTCCAATCTATCTATAGATTGCTTGCGGACATTTCCGTATAAAAGGAAAGACAATGCCAGAGGACGAACGGGCAAAAATGGAAACTGTGTGATGAGAACTCGACCTTCCTGCCGATTGATCGAAGGATGTGTCGTTAGCTCATTTGGCAGAGCGTTGGGCATGTAACCCAGATGTTGTGAGTTCGACTCTCACGCAGGGCGGTGGAGATTTTTCATTTTCCTTTGTCACTCGAAATTTGGGCTTTCCATCTTCCTCATATGTATATGTATCTTTTCGGTCGAGTATCCGACAAACATTATGACTCACTCCTATGTATTATTGTTTTTGCATTCTCGTTCATGAGATAGTTGCCAACTTCGTAAGTGATGGTAGGAAACTGTAATCCTCCAACTGCCTATCCAGTTTTTGATCTGTGTTTATTTTCAGGCCGCATTCGAGGATATAATTGTAAGAACTTTGGACGTTATAACAATAGTGGTACCACCGGCTCTACCAGCTGCAATGGCCATCGGTACTTCTTATAGTCAGAGTCGTTTGAAAACACTCGGAATTTTTTGTGTCAGTCCACCCAGAATAAATATTTGTGGAAAAATCAAATTGGCGTGCTTCGACAAAGTATGTAGCTTTCGAAAGTGTTTCAACATGTTACTCGCACCGGAGAAATCATGGGAACGCGCAACATTCTCACTTCTGGCATCAACTTCCTCTTCCGTCGATTTCCATATATTTTTTTATAAACTGTAGCTTAATTCCTCACGAATGCATATGATTTATTGCCGTTTTTTAACGATTCGTGTTTATATCATATACTGTAGGTATACAGGGACGATAATTAATGTTCATTGATTTTCAATAAACCACTGACAATTGAACCGTTTTCAACACCAAATTGTAGTCTGATCTTTTCCGATCATTTTGATGTTTCATTCACTTTGATATCTCGATTATCAAAGAAAATATAGCGTTTGAGTAAATTTTGCTCATTCCCTTCATTTTGCCGGTTTGTTTCATGCTCTCAAATGTTACAGGATTATACATTTGGTATAGTACTCAATCATGTTATTTTTTTCCTATGAATAATTTCTTATAACTATTGGAAATAAAAATACATAAAATCATCTTATATTCCTGGAAGCACAGGCTGTCCTGAATTAGTTATAGGAATAGGCTATCATGAAAATTCACGCTTGAAAAAATACGACTACGCATTCCTGTCCTTTTTTGAGATAATTTGAATGGTTCTTATGAGTCCTCTCAATTCCCATTTGTTACGGTGTTACAACAGATTTCAAGCCACCGAAAAGTTGGCTGAAAGTGAATTCGAACACAATTCCATGTTTTTTTGCTGATAATGTTTGAAAGCACACTCCAAATATTTTTAAATAATTTATTTAGATAGTACAGACCTTTGACTATCATTCCCATATACTGTAAAAATGATACGTATACATATATAATATATATATATATATATGAAACTTAGTAGTGGGGAAGCAGCAAGTAAAAGTGAAACTCATGCAAGTTCGTCCAAGCTTTCGGAAAGTTATATTTCCATCATCAGGGCCAGACTACAAAATGTTATAACAATTATGAGCAAAGCTAGTTGACTAAGTGGTGCAGTACTTACAACTCATTGAGGTTGGTTACATTGATGTTACTAACAAGTGATGTATAAATAAAAAAATGTTTGTATAACATATCTGGAACATGACAAATTCAAAAAAATTAAAATATTAGGTCAATATCAAAAACGTTGTTGATTTAAAATCATGATGAAACTTTTCTTTTCACAACGTGTGTCAGAATAAAAATCTTTGGTTAGGAAAACTGAACCTTATTCTTCCAATTCACTGGTGACATGGAGCTTAAGTGTGATGACCTTGGTCTTATGGTACCTAGTGCTATTGTGTGTTAGTCACAAGAGTATTGGAAGGAGAAGGTTTTTGAGCTACTAGTAGAACGGGTAATATTCTTGCAGGCAATATGTGCATCACATCAAGATTATTAAAAAAGTTGTTTATTGTTGGTTATGTTGAGTTGCTATTATTTAACACCGTATTCGGGTTATCAATTGATAAAAGATATGAATAAATTTCACTAAGATGGTTGATGTCCGATCTTTTGTTGATACAATTTTATTCTTGGGCATTGAAAGACATTTCCAAAAAAGTTCTTTTTTTGTGGTTACTTTCTGTAGCTAAAATTCTTGCTGATTGAAAATCCATTTTGTGATCAGAGGAATTAACATGGTCCGCCAAAGCACATCTTTCTGGATGAAGCCTACAGTCGCTCCTGTGGGATGTGATTCTGTTGGCTAATGATCTCTTTGATTGCCCGATGTATATTTTATCACAATCCTGACAGGGGATGCTGTACACCACATTCGTCTGTGCAGTAAGAGGTACTTTGTCTTTGACTTTGGTGTAAATTGATCTAATTGTTAAAACTGTTTTATTGGCAATTTTTAGGTTGGGATTTGGAAGAAAAATTCTTGTGAGTTTTGGAGTTAAATCTGATATGTACGGAAGTGAAGAAAAAATTGTATGTATTGGAGGAGTATCAGTAACCACAGTCTCATGCAATTGAATGTTGATTTCAGGTGGAGCTGTCTGTGTCATGGGTGCACTGTGTAATACATACAATTTTTCTTCACTTCCGTACATATCAGATTTAACTCCAAAACTCACAAGAATTTTTCTTCCAAATCCCAACCTAAAAATTGCCAATAAAACAGTTTTAACAATTAGATCAATTTACACCAAAGTCAAAGACAAAGTACCTCTTACTGCACAGACGAATGTGGTGTACAGCATCCCCTGTCAGGATTGTGATAAAATATACATCGGGCAATCAAAGAGATCATTAGCCAACAGAATCACATCCCACAGGAGCGACTGTAGGCTTCATCCAGAAAGATGTGCTTTGGCGGACCATGTTAATTCCTCTGATCACAAAATGGATTTTCAATCAGCAAGAATTTTAGCTACAGAAAGTAACCACAAAAAAAGAACTTTTTTGGAAATGTCTTTCATTGCCCAAGAACCAAATTGTATCAACAAAAGATCGGACATCAACCATCTTAGTGAAATTTATTCATATCTTTTATCAATTGATAACCCGAATACGGTGTTAAATAATAGCAACTCAACATAACCAACAATAAACAACTTTTTTAATAATCTTGATGTGATGCACATATTGCCTGCAAGAATATTACCCGTTCTACTAGTAGCTCAAAAACCTTCTCCTTCCAATACTCTTGTGACTAACACACAATAGCACTAGGTACCATAAGACCAAGGTCATCACACTTAAGCTCCATGTCACCAGTGAATTGGAAGAATAAGGTTCAGTTTTCCTAACCAAAGATTTTTATTCTGACACACGTTGTGAAAAGAAAAGTTTCATCATGATTTTAAATCAACAACGTTTTTGATATTGACCTAATATTTTAATTTTTTTGAATTTGTCATGTTCCAGATATGTTATACAAACATTTTTTTATTTATACATCACTTGTTAGTAACATCAATGTAACCAACCTCAATGAGTTGTAAGTACTGCACCACTTAGTCAACTAGCTTTGCTTATAATTGTTATAACATTTTGTAGTCTGGCCCTGATGATGGAAATATAACTTTCCGAAAGCTTGGACGAACTTGCATGAGTTTCACTTTTACTTGCTGCTTCCCCACTACTAAGTTTCATCTCTAACTTGTCAGCAACGACTTCCCTTCTCTCTACTATATATATATATATATATTTTCATTTAGTGTTCGAATTCACCCCGATGGGTAGGGTGAATTCGAATATGCGTTAAAAAAGGCTATTGTTCCATTTTAGACACAGATAAGGCTGAATTCGAACAGTTTTTATAAAAAAAAACAATTCAGATGATACAGTTACCATATAAAAATATACGGGGGGTATTCATAAGTTATACAAGTATACTGTACATCTTGGCTGCCTCTCGGATTTAACCGCGTCAATGGCTTTTTTAAATTATCCTGGTCATAATTCCTGTATTGAACCAGGCCTATTTGACTTTTATATTTTGGCATGTTGTTCTAATTCACCCCTGAAATTTAATATTTTTTTTATTATCAAATTTTGAAAATCCTGGATTTTGTATGAATTTTTTTTGAGGTTATATACTGGTTCAATACACAATGCTTTATGATACAACCACACTCATAGAGAGATTTTTTAAAAATTATAATGTATACAGGAGTTTCTTTTCAGCTATTTGAAATTCAAGAATATTTGCTTTTTATACAAATTTCAATTAGACAAAAATTTACATGTAAATCTAGCTGAAACACTAAACACTGTTTGCCCTTGACTATTACCTATTTACTATAATTTATACAGATCTGGCAATACTATAGCGACATCTGTCTTACAGAGGTTTTATCATCAAAAAATAGCGGCGCGTTCGAATTCAAACCATGTGTTCGAATTCACCCCGGATGACGGTACACTATTCAAAATGCTTCTCTTCTTACCGTTTATCCTTTGTGACTCACACCATTTACATTAGCAGAAAGGAAGATAATATCCTAACTAGTAGATGCCAAATGCATTGGGAAGATAATATCCTAACTAGTGGATGCCAAATGCATTGGGGATGGCTTCAGAGCTTGAGACTTTCTTAGATCAAAAACAATGTCGGGAAAAATCATATTAATACGTAATATGCCTTCTGAAGATAGCCAGTAACAAGACAAACAAAAGCATTAAAATTGAAAAACTACTCAATTTGTGATGAAACTTAGATCATAAATTGAGCACCAGCACAGGGATTAGAATGCGAATTTTGCTTTTTCACTTGGCACTATAGGCACTATATTCGTTGCGGTCGAGCCCAATTGATTTTTATCAAATTTGATTATATTTTAGACAGGAACTCTAACCCATGACTCGTTGAACATGAATTCAATTGTACCGTCAGTTGATGGGCGGTTTTCACTGCCAATAGATAATGTAGCAGAATTGGATGTAGAGAGCAAATTTGTTCAAGGAATGGCGACTTGTCACTCCCTAACAAGAATTGACAACAAACTGAATGGAGATCCCTTGGATATAAACATGTTTGAGTTCACAAAATGGGTATGTTTAAAGTATAATAGCAGAAAATAATTAAAACTATCAGGTCTAGTCCTATTGTTGGATCACTAAATCGAAAGTTGTTGTGTAGCGTAGAAATGAAAAAAATGGTTCACGGTGAGCCATTTACTAGAATTGCATTTTCACGTACAAATCAGATTTAAAAAATCCACTGATTAGGCATGTATGGTGGCGTTTAATGTATTTTTCATGCTTATTCCTTTTAGGGTACCAAATGAGCAAAATAGGAACATTGTAGAACCTTCAGGTATATTTTTTCATGTGTTTTATCTTTTTATAACAGTAAATTATACATGAGCGTAAAATGTTGAATGATTCAGTAACGTATACCTGTAAAAACATGTTCACTGCTTGAATAATATAATCAGATGCAATCACAACCCAAAATCTATGACTTTCGATGAAGTAATCTTTAGAGATTTGAATACTGTACGATCAATTCATCATATACAAAAGTATCGAAAGTGACAAAAGTAACGAATGAATTCAAACGATCAGACATGATCAATACTATGAATTGAAGCATCTAGAGACAGGAGGTAAAAGAGCCAGGGCGCAACAAATAATCCGTGCGCAAACAAGTTTAAAGACAAACATAATTGAAATACCTAATCACTATCGTCCCAACAGTAAATGGCTTCACAGTATTTTTCCGATTAATCACTTTGAAAAAAAAAATGAAATCAATCCTCACCACACGGATTATTTGTTGAGAGATTTGTTGTATAACATCCGATTACACGATTCGGGTAGTACCTATTGAATTCGTGCGAATGGACGACCATACAATGCTGCCAATAATCTCAGGATAATAATATTGATTCTGTTAGATAATTTTAGATATACCTACTCGGAAATTCGTCATACTGAATAATTTCATGGCATAATTAGGTAGTAGATTGATTTTTGTTTTATTCATAATTGTTAGTAAAAATTTAAATTTGTATTGAATTATAGTTCAGATAATTATGGTATTCAATTTCGAGTCCCTTTCAGTAGGGCAATTTTGAGTTCAAAGTACTCACCTTTACCTTACCATAGGAAAAACAAACTTTAAATCAGTCAATTGTTCTAATTTACATTGATTTCAATAAAAACATCAGAATGAACCGGGCGATATATCATGTTTATCAAAAAAGGTAGAAACAAGAGAATGTCTACAAAATCGAAAATCTTTGTTACATCCAAAATATCACCTTCTCATAGGGAATTCATGGGTATATCCGCTATATTTCAATGTCTAGTACGAGGTACAGGTGTGGCTGACAATATTTTCTTTCAGGATTTGGATGAACCAGGAGATGATGAGAACACACGTTTTGACATGTTGGCACCTACTGTTGTCATGCCTGGGCGAAATATTGGAACACCCGGTAATAGCAAAGATTTAGAGGTGAAGTACAGTCCATATTTCTCTGAAATTGAGGTTCGATTTATGTAAAAGTAAAAAAAATATATATTTTCTCAAGAAATAATAGGGTATTCTAAGGTCAGGTCAGACAAGTTCCTTGAATTTGTTGCTAGCTAGTGCTTGCTGTATTACCAAGAATACCTAGTTCGATATTGATCTATTTTTCCATCACAAGATCAATATGAATTTATATGGACGTTGAATCTATCAAAACATTGGAGAAACTTAACAAACGAATGGTCAAAATTGAAATTATTTATTTTCGAATATACATTTAATGTGAATTGGAAATTTCCATATTTTATGGGATATTTTATTCAAAAATAAAGTGAATAATAATATCAACATGAATCATGAAAAATCGAACAGATTAGTGATTAAACCTTTCCAATTGTAGTACTCATTGAGTTCATAAACATGGATGCTTTTAATTATGTTTTCATCAATTGTAACAAATTTGATTGTCTTATTGAATTCCACAATTTTACAGCTTCACTTTCATGGTTTCACGTGTTTTCTCATACTATTATGATGGGGCTATCATAATGATTCAAAGATAAATCTCTGATATATGCTTGTTGATAATAACTGGTCGAAAACATCGTTTTCTTTCAATAAGCAACGATTTTGTCGAATGGCAGAAATTACCGATATATTTTTAGTTAAAGGGAGTTATATGTCATATCCATGATACAATAACTATTCGACAGGAATAACATATATGGAGCTTCTATTTTTTGATATACAGACGGATCGAGTAGCACAAATGCACAATACAGCATTGATGCATTTATATTTTAATGACAATAAGTATTGATCATCTTCTGTAAACAATAAGTGTCTTCACTGCATATAGAAATAAACAATAACTGACAGCTATTATGACTGATGACCACCAGCCTAATTAGCACCATCTTTGTAATCGTTAATAGTGATACTTTGCAAAACCAGATGAAGTTTTTGAAACGTCTCACTTAACGTCATCGATTGGTGGTAAAAATTTCTGTTCATTGTTTGAAATGAGACTCCATCTTCTGCTAAATGAAAGAAACCTCAGAGTGTCGGAACGCGATATCAATCGACATGTTTTCCTCATAATAATTCGTGAAATCATCTATTTCGTCGTTCTGAAGTACACTTAACTTTCAAAATCAGAAAAAAATGTACGTTTTAACGTTAAAATCAATTTTAATTAAGAATTCTTGTTTCATAACTGGTTACATAAAAACTATGCAAACCAGTTGGGTTTACCAAATTACATGTAATATATTCCACAATGTTCATAAGAAAATGGTTCTTCAATCAGTTTTGAAGTGAAATAAAAAAAACTGCTATTCTTATATTTCTTATAGATGCCCTATGAAATAGGAATAATCAAACAATTCACGTTTTCCTCGACCACCAGCTGTATGACAGTTATATGTCGCGATCTGCGTAACCCGCGTCTGATGGCATTCACAAAAGGAGCCCCGGAAAAATTACACGGCATGTGTATTCCCGAATCAGTTCCGGAAGATTTCAATTCCAGCCTATCCCAGTTCACTTCTCAGGGGTATAGAGTCATTGCTTTGGGCTATAAGGATCTACCGCATAAATTTAGATGGAAAGAGGCCCAGTCAACAAAAAGATCTGTTGTGAGTATTTATTCGTTTTATGTGTGAATACATATCAATATTGCATCCAATGTTAGCGAATTTTTCGAAAACCGTCAACTTTAGCGTTATTCAACTATCTTTTTCTTGAACACTCAAGAAATCTTGATATTCCGTGTATTATTTACGATGTCACAGTTTGACTTTTACATGATATTCAACATTTAGCTAGTACCAGAAACAGTGAAGTATACAAATATGATACAAATCAATACATTTTTGTCGTTACATAGGTTTGTTTTTGTTGAAGATTTTTCGACAATTTCAAAAGTCATTGAAATGTTATTCTTTTGCCAAGTGATACAAAGACAAAAATCAACCAATCGAGTCAATATTTAAATGACAACAACAATCCGGGGAAAAAACTTTCTGACCGAATATTTCTCTGACATTGAAAATTGCTTCATTCGCGGGAATCAATGTTACCAGGTGGCGCTCGGTTTTCATCGTTCCATGTCAAAGCCACGTCAAAACTGGGGGAAAACAAACTCAATCCTCACTCAATCCCATTAGCTTGTGTACTGTGTACTGATAAGAGTGATAACACTTTATGTCATTGACAAGTTTGACAACTACAGCTACAGCAAGATGTATGCAATGTAGTCTATGCACTCAATCCATAGACAACAGTTTGTTTCCCCCCAGTTTTAAGTTCGTATTATGTAACCTAGATGTCGCCCACTTCGTGAATCTCGCGAATAATGTCATGAAAAACCAAGTGATACAAAAACAAAAATCAACCAAGCAAGTCAATATTCAAATGACAACAACATCCAGGGTAAGAAACTTTCTGACAGAATATTTCTTTGACATTGACAATTGCTTCATAATTTCATGACAAATCTTTCGAGCACGTTTGTTGGTAGTAATCCTCTGCCTGTTCGGTTGTAAGAAATGTATCTTGATCATTATCGGTGTCCAAGAGATATTATAGCTGATAACTTATCCTTTTTTCTTAATGCTGTTCATCAGAAGCATATCATAAGGATTTCTAAAATTGCTTATTTGTAAGTACTTATTCGTTCGATTTTTTTGGTGTTGCTCAATGTTCTTCATTTTGCTTCTTCAGGAATGCACGTAGTTGACGTAGTTCCATATCTTTGCTGATATCTATTCTATGTTAAACATTCAATCCTGACTTGGATTTGGATCGTAGAATAACTGGATCATATTATGAAACATTTCATCGTTCATTGAAATAGTCATATTCAATATTCAATCAATTCTTGTTAACGCAAGAGAGTAGGGTTAGGTTAGGTTTAAACATGAGTGGGCCCATGTCAGGCCCTCCACTGCGGCCAATGGCCTATTGTGGCTCACCCTATGGTTATATTTCTCCCAGTATATCTAATCTCTTGGCGAAATTAAGGAGTACGTTGGGAGAACAATTTTTCAGGTTTTCTGGTCCTACTGTTGTATTGCCAAATTTAATGTTGAAAATCTGATTATGGCTGCTGCAGGGCATGTACATAAAAAGTGTTTACCGGTTCATCCTCCTCCATGCATAGACGGCACTCTGCATCTTGTGCAAGTCCGATTTTGTGCATGTGATGTTTGAGTTTGCAGTGGCAAGTGAGCAAACCTACTATAACTATGAGATGTGCTCTACTGAGTTCTAGCGCAGAGTAAAGGGGCATTTCCATGTATCCGAAATACGAATGACAGTGTTTAAAATTTGATCTAACTTTTTGGTATGACAAAAATGATGATGGTTTATTCATTGACATTTTGTTCATGATTGTTATTGAGCACTTTTTGAGATTGATCGCCAAAGAAAAATAATTTTCATAGGTCATCATATAAGGTATAATTATCATGGATGTCCAGTAACAACAAGGCTATTCGACGTCGGTAAAAAATAATACTTTGGTACGAAAAAGTTCCCCAGTCATTTCGAATAGTTAACCAATAGGAACATTTCATAAACATTATATCGGATGTTGAACGTCGGATGCAAATGCATAGAAATGCTCACTGTTGTACAAGGTTCGACGGTAAATTTTTCTGAGTCTGACTGCTATTCGCTCATTTTCTGCTTAATTATTTGACACTCAAAAAGATCAATGGCCTTAATGTACTGTTCCTGAATGAAGATTTCGTGAGCGGTTGGTACCATGTATTAATTGTAACTTCCGTTTCGTTATTTGTGGTATTGCACGCTACTAACAACTACCAGAGTTCATTTTTTTATTGATGAAAAGCCCCATATTCATCATTATTCAGAATGAAGTAATCGAAAAACTTCCAGTCTTCTCCACAATTATTAAATAGAAACCTTGAGGGATTTCAAGACATGGTGGAGATTACTGGAAGTTTTTCTACTACTCCATTCATTTACTGCACTTTGGGATACCATGGACTTCTACCACATATTATTATTCAGAACTTTTGATTCTCATCCTAGACGGTCTCGATTTGCGCCATTGTGTTTTTCTAGAAAATAGAACTCAGAACACCTACATCTAATTTTTATTAATTCTTATTGAAACAACTTTTGTAGATTGAATGTGACCTAATTTTTCTTGGATTTTTGATAATGTACAATCCCTTGAAAACTGAAACAGCACCTTGCATTAGAACTCTCCATCAAGCGAACATAAAAACTGCTATGATCACAGGTAAGTGGTATTATATTCGATAGTGCCTGTATTTTATTCACTGCTAACCTAAAATACATACCATTATTGACGTATAGGTCGCGTGCACGATGACCTACCCTGGAGGCAAAATATTGAAACACAACCTCACTCTTCTGTGAATTATTGAAACATAACCTCACTTTTTTATTTGTTTACAGATGAATCAGAAGGTTGAAATAGTTTTTCACAATATTTTGGTATACGAATCGTGTTTCTTGCGTTATTCATTAATTCAAGCATGCCTTCGCATTGTGCTGTTGTACAATGCACAAAAAATGCAGCAAGAGACTAGGGAATATGATTTTTCAGGTAAATAGTAATCTCACATAGTTATCATTATGAAATGTTGTCATTCCTTATTAAAATTCCTTCTGCCTTCTGCCACTTCTGCAATACAAGCTAATACTGCTAATAGATTGAAAATGTCTACAACACACACGATCGTCAGCATGTCAGACCACAGTCCTCCCGATTGATTGCATGAATCCAATCTTCTTGCATTAATCTAGAAATTTCAGGTATATTTCTATTAGCTCTTATTGCAGATGGAATGCCGATGAGAAATCAGAGAAATAATCAAATCTCAAAAATGAAAACTATATGTGAGTGACTATAGTAGGTACTTACTTTTAAATCATAATGTACCATCCGGATTCCTTCATCTTCCGCTGCAGTTTTTGTGCATTTTACAACAGCACAATGTGATGGCATGAGCGAATTGATGAATAGCGGAAAAATACGATTCATATGCCAAATAATTGTGGAAAACTATTTCGATCACTTGTAAACAAATAAGAAAAGTGACGTTGTGTTTCAATGTTTTGCCTCCAGTGTCGGTCATCTGACAGTTCTTGCACGCAACCCATACTTGAAATATTTATTTTCTACCGCTGGCTCCATTAGGTAGCTTTGTAATATTCATTTACCTTTGTCAATAATGGAAATGACAGATCTGTCAGAAGATATAAATTTATATAATTCCAGTGGATGATAGTGAATAAAATTCGATATACATACGACCTAGTAGTAATGAATATTATTACCATGGGATATAATCTGGGATCCCTTGGTCGTAATGAAATTCTGTCTATACTGCCATGACGTATTATTATTTTCCGTCTAATCCATAGGTGATAATATTCTCACTGCCATATCAGTCGCATATGAATGTGGTATGGTGAATACTGATGACCAAGTGTATATTATATCGATGGAAAATACAGATGATAGCCCTGAAAAGGTTCCTAAAGTGATTATAGAAAAAGCCGGCACAAGCAGTAGCAAAGATTATGTCTCTCTGAACCTAGATAATAATGTCAGTATAAAAATCACTAATCACTAAGTCAATCCAACATCCATTTGAGTTAGTAATTGCTTTTAGGATTACCACTTCGCACTTGATGGTAAAACTTGGAATAAACTGAGGTACTTTTATCCAGATGTAATACCGAGCATTTTGGTGAGAACAACAATTTTTGCGAGGTTTCAACCAGATCAAAAAACTCAACTCATTATGAGTTTTCAAAATCTGGATTATATAGTTTCTATGGTCGGGGATGGTGCTAATGACTGCGGGGTAAGTCACGTGAAAATAGTTATATTTCATATACATGGTGAATTGAAAATGGGTGTCAAAAGATGGAAATGAAAAAGATTGAATAGCTGAACACCATAGGTACCCATTCTAGTTTATCACTAAGTTACATCATTTGGTCAATCAGAATGAGTGGTCTAATTTTAAATTTTTTATCCAGCATCTTCATCCTAATGCTTTTAAAATTGAAATATTTCCTGAAATATCCTAGAATGGTTCCAATATCTTGAAATCACAAATAAAATCATAGCCTCAATCGAATGGTCGAACATTACCACTCATTTTACAGTACAGGAATTGTCCGGATATAAACATTCATCGATAATATTATCATTATTTGCTTTCCTATTACATATGTGGAGAGATTTCTAGATTTCTGCTTTCAATATCAACTGGATAATATTCTATGCATACAGGTATTCTTGTTTATCAAACATTGGCGATACACAAACCGTAGTTGCTGAGTCACCATCTGGTATTTACCGAATATTAGGTCATATAGTATGGAAAGCACTCGGTTTTGTCTTGCTAATATTTGGTACACACAAAATGCAATTATGATATGCCACTCATTACGCTTATTCGTCAAGTAGTGACTTACTAGAGGTATCAAAGGATTCTAAACGCCCTGTTCGAATCAGACCGTAATTTTCTACGAAAACACATTTGAATGGGCATGTTTTAGTGAAGAATTTTATTTCATTATCTCGAAGTACCAAATATATTACACACTCTAGATAGACAACGCCTCGATGGGACGCAACAGACCGGCGGCTAACCGTTGTAGAAATATCGGAGTCGGTGAAATACACGGCGTTATATTATAATGAATAGATACGCACAGCAGATTATCCACCGCCCTGTTATGCCCAACTGAGCGTTGCCCATTCTCACATCCACGGTGTCTGTCTATAGTGTGATCACATTTGGAAGAACTAACCAAAACTAGTTCACTGTCGCAAACCGTTTTTTCCTCAGAGACCTGTAAATTTTCTAAATAATTGTTGAAATTCACAGCATTTCATAGCATGAAAAACGCGAGAAAACGCGTAACGTAATCAAATTTTGCCGGATAACCTCAAGTCATGGAGAGACTTGAGCAGACTTCTGCTGAAATTGCTGACTATCAAAAGGTAGTGTGGCTTCAGTAAACTGTCATTTTAAAGGGGAAACGAATGTCACATTCATTTCCGTTGAATTATCAATAATAAATTAATAATATCATTCTCAATATCAGAAAATGTCTGTTATCGAAATAATTGACGCTCAGAATAATATCTAGTTCAGATGAACGAAAAACTATACATAACTGACAACCTGAAATCTGAAAAGTTCACCAGCTGATCCAATCGTGGCTGCTGATTACTGATGAAAACCATGAAACCATGTTCCGAATTACAGCACTGCATTTTTTATTTTATATTTCGGAACACAATTTTTCAGCGGAGTCAGTGGATTTACTGACACTGACCAGTTGAATTCGGAATATATTCAATGTGGAACTTTACGACCATTGACGGAGAAGAAAATGTCGTAGGAAGAGGCCAAATTACACAAAAAGAAGAAGTATATTTATCAGTTCTACCAACTCTGACCTCATGTTTCAGTAGTACGATCTGCTCTCATCGAGCCCTTTAATTTGATACATCTGTTTACAAAATTTCAGCTCAATCGGTTGAAGATATCTACTTCAAAGTTTACTTACATACATTGCAAATTGAATAAAAGCTCACAAAATAAATTGCGCGACTCAACATTTTTATAATGAATTCATATTTCTGCAAAATTTATTCCACAGTGGACTGAAAATTCCAAGACATTTGAAAATATTTTCATTACATTTCCTTATATTCTTGCAATTGGAAATGAATGTATGCTACAGGGGCGAGAAAAATGATGTCACGTAATAGGTCAGGAAAAAAAGTAATTCTCCTGAAAAAAAAACATTATTTTTTAGGCACTGAGAGCTGCACATGTTGGGGTATCTCTTTCCCAAGCTGAAGCAAGTGTTGCCGCCCCATTCACTTCCTCTATTGCAGACATTTCCTGTTTGGTATATTTAATATTGGAGGGACGATGTGCTCTGGTGACCAGTTTTGCCATTTTCAAATACATGGCTGTGTACAGCTTGATTCAGTTCTTCTCTGTACTCATCTTATATAGGGTAAACAACGATTCACCTCACTACATATTAACATAACACAATGACACATTCGTTATATTGTTTTTATAGTTTTTGTTTCTTATTTCTTTATTTGTTGTTTTTTGTTTTTAGCAACATTCCAACATGGGTGATTATCAATTTTTGTATATCGATTTGATAATCACCACTATTTTACCTATAACCATTGGCCTGCAAGGTAATGTTGAATGTTTTTAGTTTATGCCACCATTCTTGGCGTTTACTTTATTGTCACCACGAGAACTAAGTAGGCGGCTAGCGTCATATCACCGTTCGCCTCGTATGAGTCCGATTATCTCATAACTTCGACGTTATTAGTAATATTATTTCAATCTGAACTAACTGAAATAGTTCACTAGAACTGAACTGAACAAGTTAACATGCGTTCTTTCAAACAAAATGCTGAAGTATTTCACTTAATTCAGAATGAAAGAATATCGCTTATGAGTCGATAATATCATCTCATCTTACATATTGAAGGTACACGCCAAGAACGGTGACAAACTAAACCTACTCTATATTTCACTTCCACAATAATTCACGATCAAAGTTATATGTTATACGATAACATGTAGTTCTGTGGTTGCTTTGGTGCCAGAGTAACTTTGGTGCCAGAGTCACTTTGGACGCTTTCGACATTTCAAATAACAAATAATCAGAGATCGGATTGTATTGGGAATCAGAGATCCCAGGATTCAGGAGAAGCTACTTCAAACTGCAAATGTTGAGTTGAACGAGGCCATTCGAATATGTCAATCACTTGAATGTAGTACCATGTAATGTTTGTTATTCTCGGTAGCTCTAGTTTGAATAATGATTGGCAATTAATACTCAAAAACATTTATTTCATAATTGGAAGGTTAATGATCTTCATCAAGTAACATTTACATTTACATGCCGTCGCTGTTCATTGCCAACTGTCGACTCCCGATCATAGACCTCGACACTCCAGTTGTCACTGATGACAGCGACAGGTCTCCTTTGGCCGTGATTATTCGTCCTAGTAACGGAGCCATACATCACAGATTAGTGTGTTCGGATTGTGTCCGACCATTTGATTACTTATTGTCCGCGAATGTTCGAACACTTCTAAGTTTTATTCATGGGTGCTTTCACCTTTATTTAATCAAAATACGCAATTTTCAATATTTCATAAACATATGTTTTTGTCTGAGATTTTTTGACGTTTTTCTCCCAATTTCTGAAAAATTATAGAGAATCGATCTATCTAATCTTCATGGAGCACAGTTGAGGCAATATTTGTTGGAATATACGTGACCTTTTATTCATATGTCAGCTATCATGGAATTTCCGCTTTAGATTTCTGTGGTTATATTAAATTCATAACAAAGTAACCACTGTTCTACATTTATGTATGTACAATATCCATACATGATTTTTATAATTATTAATGTCATTGCAATTTGTCCATCTATATCTATAACAACTCATATTCCTATAATATTTTATTTTTATCCGTAATCTGACCAGCTTTATGATAAATACATCAGATTCATTTTCAAAAATGTTTCATAAATGAGATACTGAAAAACCAAATAATGTTCATTAATGAAAAGTCAGAACTTTTGTTATAGTTTTTTCCAAGACACATTTTGAAATAAGATCATACAAGGAAAAAATTAAAAATCGCGTTTTATGGAATAATCATATCAAAAATTGACAAGTCAAGTGTTGAAGATAGCATTAACAAAATGATGGCCTTGTCTCAATGTTTTCTTTCAGGGCTTTGACATAAGGAAGTGTACACTTTCAAATATCGCCACAACCAAAAATGAAATGGTATTAAATCACTTGACCTTGGTAGCCATTGCAAATCTCCAAATCATCAGACGAACAGGGATAATTTTTCTCAAAGCTTCAGATAATATTTCCAAATTGAAAACAGGAAGTAAAACTGAAAAATCTTGAGAATCTGATTAGTTGTATCGAATATCTCTGGACTCATGCAAAAAATATGCTTTTTGATAATTCAACATTTCTTCATTACTGAGAAAATTTTGCACTGAAATGTATTTGTTTTTTATGGAACACTATTCATAATATGTTTTCGCTCTTTAAGGTCCGTCCAATAAGTTGGGAACTAAAAGCCCAATGAAATCTTTAGTATCCGTGAAGAATACTGCTCCACTGATCCTCCAAATTGCCGTTTGCGCATTCATCCAAGTGTCAGTCATTTTCTACTTATACCAGCAACCATGGTTTGAGCCTGTACCAATCGCCGTAATCGATCCAGTTATTGATTGCTGGGAAAGCACGGTACTTTTCTTGGTATCCTGCTTTCAGTATATAGTTTTGGCCACTGTTTATTCGAAAGGGTTGCCCTTCCGACAGAGATTGATAACGAACTTTTGGTTTCTAATCTCCGCATTAGGCTTGACGATATTCACTACCTGGTTAGTGATTTTTCCTTGTAAACAAATGGCTGAATTGATGGATGTGGTTTTCGTCCACCGAGATGAGAAGGACAAACTAGTATTCAGATATACTTTGTTGCTGTTTCCATTGATTCATGTTTTTATCGCCGTATTTATAGAGGTGAGTTTAATTTTATGATATCACATGTTATTGTAACACACAATAATAAGGAACTTGCATAATAAATTCTTCTTAAAAAAATTCTATTATCATTTAAAAAAATATATTTCATTGGTGTTGAAAAATTAAGGAAAACTGGAATTGTAAAAAATATTTTTTCTACAAACGTCAAAAATTATAGTTCTAAAGTGAAATGAATATTAGATGGATATAAAAAATAGTGTTGAACTGGCTTAAAAGGCCTTCCCCTATCCTCCCTAGGTACGCACGATGTTCCACGAACAAAATAAGAATTTCCTTTCGTGCGCTCCAAGAGATAAAACAAAGTTATTGTTGAACATTCAGAAATAAATTATTTCGTGGATGTTTGCTCGATTGAGTACCATAAAGTTGAAATATAAATATCTCATATATTTTACATAACAATGCGCGAAGTTGATACTTCACGCACTGTTTTACTTCGCGCATTTTTTTGTGCAAGGTATCATGGTAACGTAGGAAACTAAAAAAAATGACTTCCCCATTTATTATCAATGCGTGAACCTTGTCATTTTGTGACGTTTGTAGAAAATAGTTATTTTTGTATCTAGAGCGCGAAATGCTACTTTGGTGATCGAGATCTGATTTTTTTAACGAGGCGTAGCCGAGTTAAAAAAATAGTCGAGATGACCAAAGTATTTCGCACTCGAGTTGCAAACAAAATTTTTTCTACAAACGTGAAAAATATAGTTCTAAAGTAAAAATATGCTTAGCTTGATATAAAAAATAGTGTTGAACTGGCTTGAAAGGCCTCCCCCTATCCTCCCTAGGTACGCACGATGTTCCACGAACATAATAGGCATTTCCTTTCGTGCGCTCCAAGAGATAAAACAAAGTTATTGTTGATTATTCAGAAATAAATGATTTCGTGGATGTTTGCTCGATTGAGGATCATGAAGTTGAAATATAAATATCTCATATATTTTACATAACAATGCGCGAAATAGGTACTTCGCGCACTGTTTTACTTCGCGCATTGTTATATGTGCAAGGTATCATGGTAACGTAGGAAACTGAAAAAAGTATCACTTCGCAATTTGTTGTCAATGCGCGAACCTTGTCATTTTTTGACATTTGTAGAAAAAAATTATTATGTATAACTTTTGACATCGAATTATTGTTACTCACATGCTATTGTTTTATTAACCATAGCACACTTTCATGAAAATATTTCGTTACAAAAGGTATTTTTTTGCAAAATATCAATAATTATGGGTCTATATTGTGAATTGAAAGTATGATTGTGATATATCGTTGGATTTTTTTTATGTTCTGGTTCTTACGAAAAGGGATATCCTGTAATGTTAATATGAATCATAATGGGCGAGTGAACTGAAAATCAATTATTGCCATTCAATTATTCCACTGTGTCGCCAGGAACCTAAATTAGTTTTTGAAACACTCCTCACGCTTTTTTAATGTAAATTATGAGTCGATGCGTTGCTCGAAATTTTTGAATTTCAGATCTCATTTCAAACGAACCTTCATGGCCGCCATTTGGCGATACTTCGAATAAATGGTCACGTCAGCTATTATGCTGTTTCGTTATTGGTCAGATAATCTTCCATTTCCACTCACGAAGTAAGATTGTCAAGTCACGAATTACAATCAAGGTATCAAAAAGATGTTAGAGCCCTGTCGTTAAATAAAACATAATAGGAGGAACCCATGATATTATAGTTCATTCTTGACTTTTTCGAGCAACCAGCATGTCCGAATATTTCTTATCCTGCATAACAAAATATCATGTAAATGTTGAAGACTTGGCAACATTGTGCTGAATGTTGAGAACTGACAAGACCACGCTCACTAGATTGTTTACATTGAGTTCAATGCTCACAAGTCGTGCACCGTGTTGTCACGTTCACCGATTCAAATGTCCACTAGTGTGAATTAATATAATTATTATTTACACAAATTTATTTTAAGCAATAATCCACAAGTCATAAGGGAACATTTTGAGACAATTGAGTTTTTATTGCTAACTACTAATTAGGAATATTACCAATACTCAATTGAGAATTTGTGAATTATTGAATAACTAATATTTCTGAGGTTCTCAATCGTATTTCAATCAAATCGATGTAACAAATTTGAAAAATCCATTCGATATATCAACGAAAATACATGGGGGTCAATTGCTTCCGGGTGTATAAACTGTTTGTCATACTTATACCTGAAAAACTGCAAAATAAAAGATTGTAGGGTTCTTGTTGATATAGGCATATATTCAAATATACACAGTCGAATGCAATGGAGATGTCGCGGTTGATATAGCGATGATATTATAGCGCTGTTAATGCAGATGCCGATGTGCGACATGTTCGTTGCAACTGACTGTACTTTTAAATTGTATCGAAAAGTTATCGCATCCAGTATCTATTCGATTTCAACTATGTGCATTTTCATTTTCAGTTGGGAATCAGTGACCGAAAATGGCTAAACAGATGTTTCAAGATTTTGAAATGCAAAAGAAAATCGAAGAATAAATACAAGTTATTGTTGAAAGATTCAAGTTACCGTCCACTAAACTTTGATGAACAATGTCATGACAGTATGTAGGTAAATATTTACTATTTTTATTGGGGATTAGTGAAAATTCTTCCCTTATATAATGATTTTGATATTCAATTCAAAGTTTGTATATTTTTTTATATGTATGTTCTTAACGCCAAGCTATTTTAAAATTTTGTTCATATAACTGCCAAAGTAGGAAACTATTTTAGACTATACCTAATTTAGTAACTGATGCCAAATGTAAGGACTGATGAAATCAGCAACATAAAAAACGCTATTATTTTTTGTTTGAAACTACCCCCATAAGCTCTAAATACTAATGGCGTATTCAATTGGCTGGAACTGGTGGAATAGGGAACTGTTTTGCTCCAATCTCAATAAACGAAATAATGTAATGATTTTTTTCACTCCATATTTACCAGATACCCTAGATTTCAAGGGAGAATAATTGTGGTAGTCAAATAATTTATTTTTATTATCGTTTATTTATATTTATAGAAAAATAATTTATTTGAAATTATATAGGTATACGATAAAAATATTTGAATAAACTACTGTTACGTTTTTAGTTTGTATTGTTTTTGTACTATCAGTTGTAAACATTCTATTTTGTCTTTGGTGTAGGACTCAAAACCTGGAAAAATATCCATCTATTTGAATATATTTGAATATACAGGGTGTTTCAGATTCTAATCGAGAAAATTTGATATGCGATAGTACTCGCAAAAATAAAAAGAAAGGTTCCTATTATTTACCTTTTTCCATTATCACCCTATATAAGCTTTTATAACGTCAAAATTCAGTGTAATAGGTGACTGCAAAATTCTCAAAAACTCCGAGTTATACTCATTTCAGCTGTCGAGTTGAGGCATGTTTTGAATTAACCTACATTAGAATTTGAATCAGGTCATGGGTTCTATCGTCTATTATATTTTTCTGGTTACAATCTGAAACACCCTGTGTACTGAATATATCAAAGTCCATACCTGAAATGAACACAGTAAATCATCATTTATAGACATCAAAGCTCCAGCATTGTCAAAGGTCCCACAGTAATTTGGTGCAGAAAAAATCGTTATCAGTTTTCTTTGTGCAAAAAATTCATAACCATCTTCTACAACCTGCAAAATGATATTTTGTTCCATTTCGTTTTCTGATCTTGATGTATTTCACTACCTGATGCCCTCTACAAATCAAGTCTAAATCGTGTTTTCGTAAAAACTTCGTTATGACGTCGGGACCAAAACAGTACGATACACCCCTGTCGTTGTCAGTCCATCCAGGTGTGGTACATGGGTCAGACCATAATAGATCACATAGTAAACCTAAAATAAGATGTTATGAAAATATCTTCTTATTTTCGTTATCAAAATGGACCGAATTCATAAATATATTCAAGACGCCATTGAAATATTCAGAAAAGCCTGAATATCTATTTCAGCAACTAAGTTGCTTCAGTCGAATTAAGAAGCAAAAAAAGATTACCTGACTTCGTTCTAATTTGAAACGCCATTATCCCCAAATGAAAGAACTCATTTATTTTTTAAAATTTCCTAAATAATTATTTTATTTGGTATTCGATTCAAAATATTTTCAACTGAAATATCACGTCTTGGTGTTGAAATGAATCCAATAAATGGAATCATGGGTGGTTTGAAGGTAGCCATTCTGATGAAATTTTAAGATCAATTTACTACTTTTCTATGAAATTGTACATCATCAAAAGTCATTTTGAATTGAATGCTTGGAGCATTCGAGTAAATTCAAATTTGTGATTGACTGTATCAATTTTTTATGGTTCCATGATGAATGGCATCAGATAATTCAAAATTGTGCGTATTCGTAATAAAGCTCATTGGCCTACTGCTGAGTATTACCACAGGTATTACTGTGGTTTCGTGTTTTATCAGAATGAATATTCGTATTTGGCAGAACGATGAGATAACACAATATAACTCAATCGTACTGTCTTAATTATTCAATTCACAACAATAATGATTGTCATTAACTTTATGCAAATGATTTATATCTGAATAGTTATAGATATTTACAGGATATGTCACGATACGAGCTTACACTATCTTTATATCGAGAATCAGTGCATGCTTATATTTCAGAATACGCTCTCTTCATTTGAGATATTTTCGACAATGCAGTGTTGTCGCTTCTACTAGAAAGTAGTAGTAACATTGATATTTCAAATGGAACACCCTGTATTTTATCGCATTCTTAGATTCTCCCTGTAGAACTGATTTCATCGATATATCATACATGGGGTCTATCGAAAATGATAACAGAGATATATATAGGGTGTTCAAAATCGAGATTTTTCAACTCTAGGATTTGTTTGTGTTGAAACTATTCATTATTTCTTCAAAACGGCTCACATGTCCCTATCTCAACGTTTGATTCACTATTCACTGATATTAAATCGGAACAGATACAGGGTGGTTCAAGATTCAGAATTCTGATCACCCTGTATCTGTTCCGATTAAATATCAGTGAATAGTGAATCAAAAGTTGAGATAGGGACATCTGAGCCGTTTTGGTCGATAATGAATACTTTCGACACAAACAAATCCTAAAGTTGAAAAATCTCTATTTTGAACACCCTATATCTCTGTAATCATTTCCGATAGACCCCAAGTGTGATATATCGATGAAAAAGGCTCTTCAGGAAGAATCTTAAAATGCAATATAATACAGGGTATCCTATTTGAAATAACAAAAGTTGTTGTTACTTTTTGATAGAAGCGGCAACACTGCATTGCTGAAAATATTTAAAATGAAGAGAGCGTGTTCTAAAATATAAGCATGCATATTTTCATGAATTTCTCCTGACTGATTCTCGATATAGTGCAAGCTTGTCGTGACATACCCTTGTATATGCTTTGTTTTCATTGTTGATTTCTCAGCCATAGATACCTACCTTGTATAGGGACGTCTGTTGGCCGTTCTATGTTCCGAATTTGTCCTATGTGTAACAACTCAGGACTTAGCCCACCATGACAGCAAAAAATCTTGTCATCTATAATTGCTGCTACTGGTAGAGTATCAAAAACGTTCGTGAACAGTTTGAATATTTTTGTGTTATATCTTCTTTTACCTAAGATCAAAATAGAACATAGTTATTTCAACTTACAACGACTTTGGCAGATTATTACTCACATTCATCAAAAAATCCATATATTTTGCAAACAGATGAGGCTTCGTGATTTCCTCGTAGAAGGAAAAAATTTTCAGGGTATTTTATTTTGTACGCTAGTAGTAGACATAGAACTTCTACTGATTGCTTTCCTCTGTCTACATAGTCTCCAAGAAACAAATAATTCGATTCAGGAGGAAATCCTCCAAATCCAAACAATTTTAGTAAATCCATGAATTGACCATGTACATCACCTGGAATTTTATTAAGTGTAAGCAAACGCTATCACAATAAAATAAATGCATTGAAACGATCTTTGAAACCTAGAGATGAGCAGTGATAATATTAGATATATTCTACTACTCTTAAATAGTACTAATTTTTCAATGAGTTAGGTCATCTACTTCCCTATAAGTTCGATAGGTATTTTGTGCAAGTTGCAACAACAAATTTTTACAACTCTATTATAAAAACAATATCAATATCAATGATTATTTTCTGTTATTCGAGAAAGTGAAGAAAGCTTTAAACAAACTATAAAAAGTTAGTTCATAATACTACCCTATAAGTTTTAATGGTATTTTGTTAATGAGTTATCATTGTTATGAATGACAAAAACATAATTCTTAGGTTTATTTTGAATCATAGAACAATATCGCTGTAGCAATAAACTATCGAGTTCAATTGATTTATATTGATGGATCAATTGTTTTATCTACACTTATTGGTAGATTGACGTTATTCAGTCTGATTTTGATATTTCCGCACTAAGTTTGTATATAATAATAATAAAAATAATAATAATAGGACTTTAGTCAATCAGCAATGGATACAGTATACAAGAACTGTTGATATCTGTGGGACTGAATAGGCGAAATGTCACTGTCGAACAGTATTTTTCAACTCAACCCTTGACAAGAAACAATAATGAGGGAGAGAAAGAAGAGAATAATTGATGGTAACAAAAAAAAGTAATAAGAAGAAAAAGAACAAGTATAGGTACCTAATGATTAGCTCCTAATCTCCTAAATATAAAATGTACCGTGTGTGACACCATGAGTTGAATTAACTTGGAGAATAAGAAATTCTTGAACATTTTTATTACAAATCAACAAATAATTTCATCAGAAAACCTATATTATAATATATGAAAAGATAATAGGAACAAAACCTAGAAACAAAGCCTGAAACATGGCCGGATTGTTCATCGAATATACCGAGAGAAGTTGTGCTTTCAATCTCTTTTTAAAATTAATAACAGAATAATTGGCGAACTCTTGAGGAAGCGCATTGTAAAGCGTGAAAGCCATGTACGAAAAGCTGCGTTCAAAAATGGTCCTCCAACCAGGCACTAATTTCTAGTCGGAAAATCATTAATCGTTTCAATACGTTTCAGCTTATCCATCAGGTACGATGGCTTCTGGGTGACTAAGGTTTTATGGACAAAAGTTAAGATATGTATTTTACGTAACAGTGGGAGTTTCGGTTTTTTTGTATCTTGAAACGACTGGCTAATTGAATCGAACTCACGGATGCCTAGTGAAAATCTTATACATGAATTTTGAAACCTTTGCAAAACGCGTTTGATCACGTTTCAGAAGTGCAGGACCATAAATGCAACGACAGTGTGAGAGTTTAGAAATGACCAGTGATTCACATATATCGAGTTTGAGGTTACGGCTGAGGATATTTCTTTGCGGATATAAATTTCAGTATTGAAAACCAACTTCCTAAAACTTGAAACATGCCCAAGGTTGAGAAGATCGGAACCTACGCAGCTTGTAGCTTTCTCAGAACCGTGAATTATAATTTTTTATAAAAAATTATGGTTGAACTGTCAACACCTCTAGCCGCCTTGACACGATTTCGCTCGTATAAGTATATAAGCTACCCTGTATAATTTCGAATATACGTGGATAGTAGTTCCACCAATCAGAAATTTAGAATTATATTCATTTCCTTACTAACTACTTCATATTATTACATACAAAAAAAGCGCGTCGTCAAATTTTGACGTTCGTTCAGAATTACAAAAAAATATCGCATCGAATACAATTTGAACTTCAAAATATTCAAGGTTATACATCTCAAACTTCCTGCACAATAACAAATCGTTATTTCAACAGAATAATCGTCCCGCTTCGCGGTCGGATTATTTGTTGAACTGACACTTTGTAATTATGTAACAAGTTAATGTACAACCCGAATATTTTGAAGTACTTATAGTATTATTACTGATAATAATGAGAATGATGATGTTTATTCACGTACGAATACTGATATAACATTTTTTTTTGTACACAAATTTAATCAATAAATACATACTCAAATGTAAAATTTCTTGTTTCATATAAATGCATGCATCAATAATGCTCTCATGCCACTTATGTCATATATATTCCATTTGTTGAATAAATAAAATAGTGAATAATAAGGATTTATTCAACAATAATTGGAATAGATGGTACAAGTGGGATGACGAATTATTAATTAATTAAATAATAAATTTCCCTAGAAATTTACTCATTGTTTTAAAGTGATTAAGATGTTGGGAAACTAATGATCAATTATTGAGCATATACAGGGTGTCCGATAAGTCATGGATCAAAAGAAGTGGGTGGTGCAATCAAACTAACGATATATTTGGTTATCAAATTGTTGATGGTTCAAAAGCTATTAAATTTTTCTGATAAAACGCGAACCATTTGAAAAAATTAATAACAAAAAGGCTGTTTTGAATGGCCCCATATGTTATATCATTTCGGAATCTGCCAGCGGTAATTAAAAATCAACTTTAATATTTCATTCAATGACAAAACTCAAGGAAAACAACATTTTACTCAGGTAATTGATGAGAAGTAACATATGTCATAAAATTTGTAAAATAAAAAATCACAGATGTGACATATTTTCATTGTAATAACTTTTTTTTTTGTAAAAATTCGAAAAAAATTAATAAATTTTGAACCATCAACAATTGGATAATCACATAAACGGTTAGTTTGATTGAAAATGACCCCGTACCACCCCACTTCTTTTGATCCATGACTTGGGACACCCTGTATAGAAATCCTTGGAATATTTTTGTACATGTAACGTACAGTAGAGGTTACCAATCTTGAATTTTGTGACCTACCCGATTTTGTATCATTAATATTTATCATCTCTTTGAAGAAGATAAATATCAGGAGATAGGAGAACACCGCGTATATAAAAAGTCATTATTAGGAAACTTACATCTGCATGTTTGGGAAGGTGAATTCTAAAAAAGATTAAACCAATAAATAGCTGATGAAATCTCATTTTATTATAGGGCAATGGAGATTATCTTCATTGTTTCTTTTTTCCAAGTTGAAAACGTGAAACCCATATAGCTTAGTCACTGCTGTATACATTGAAATAAAAAAAATAGTGCCTATACTCACCACAAACTTTTATTGGGGCCTCTAGTTCCAGTAACATTGGTTGAGACATGAAAATTTTCATTGCATTGAAACACAAGGCTTTTATATCAGATTCACTTATATTGACCAACTTGATTTTTTTGCTCTCCCGTACTGAAAAAAATACAAATACAAATAATTATTGAATTTACTCGAAAATGGCGCCTCCTATCTATTTTATCAAACAGAGTACTTTTTTATGGACGATTCAATTCATGTATGAAAAATCCCACAAGCCGCGTGATTTTGTCATTATGACAGCGAAAAATGTTTGCCCTAACTTTTCCAGCGACAATAACGGAACCCAACTTTTGAAAGCATGACAACCAGCGATAAACAAATGTTTGATGAATTAAATTGTCTTACCGAATTACAATCTAGCTTTTTTTTTAGTCGAAGTAAACCTGGCATTTATAATTCGAGCATTCGAGCATTTATGATTCTTCGTTCCATCAATAACTTCAGCACAAAAATAATTTAATTGTTTTTGAATCTGAATAAATAGGTAATTGAACTCAATGAAATTCATTTTATACCAGCATCATTACTACTCCATTATTTTCAAATCGAAATATTCCGAAAACGGAACATAGTATCGAGTTTCACCAAAAGTACCTTTTTGGTGTAAAATTGAATGATGTTCAAGTTCATATGATATTTGGATTGAAAAATCTAACATCAAAAAAGTTATGTTCTAAACTACTCGGTACGAACCATGTCACTAGCGCCCTCTATGAGAGTCAGATATAAAAACAAATTCATGCGATGTGTCAAATTTCAAGAAACATCCATACAAAATCTCTTTACAATGTTGCCAATAGTTTCGACATAATCGTGAAAAATGTGTAAAAAAATCATTTTATAAACACCTTGTATCATGAAAACGGATGTCGTTACGACATTTTTCCACTGAGCAAACCCAACTTATTTTGCAGTGTTCTACCTACCCTAGCAAGGGGGTTAGGTTTTTTCGAAACACCCTGTATATGTTTAGTGTGACCATAAAAGGTTGCATAACATGGGAATCTCAGAAACGTTAGGAGAAACGAATTCGCTAAAGTTAGAAAAAGAATCTGCATTTAGAGGGTCATTTCTACACCTACCTCCTCTCTTAATCCTCCCTAGGTGCTCACGATGTTCTTCGAACAATAGATAGATAGATAGATAGATAGATAGATAGATTTATTTAACCATGTTATGTTATATACATGTATGGCAGGTCATTTTACAAATATCAATAACATCGACTTAAGTTTAAGTAGGTACCTACTCTATGGATACAAACAAAATATAAAATATAAAAAACAGCAAAACAAGAAGTGAAAAGAGCAAATTACAGGAAAAATAATAATGACTATAAAATATTATATGAACATACGCATTAACTGATCACTAACACAAATAAAAAAAATATATATATAGAAAATAAATAAATAAATAATTAAAAATACATAAATAAGTAAAAATACATTGACAATGAAGGTGAGTATCTTACATATTTCCACAATCCAGGTAATCTTGGATAGAGTAGAAGCAGTTTGATTTGAGGATTGATGTTAGTCGATTTTTGAAAAGGTGTGAATTCATTGCTTTTATTGAATCAGTAAGTCTCAGTAGTTCTGCATTCCTTGTGTTGTGGTTGTGAATGTCAGAATGAGTTTTGAAATAGCATCTATTTTTATGTATATCGAGAACAGAATAGTAGATGAATAAACACGGTAAAGGCAATATATCAAATTTTGCTAACAATGGTTTACATGAAGAATCATAAGCAGCATTAGCAATTAGTCTTACCGCTCGTTTCTGCAGACGAAAAATTCTCATTGATTGGCTTGAGTTGCCCCACAGAATAATTCCATAAGTGAGTCGAGATTGAAATAGGGAAAAATATGCCATTAATAAGATAGATGGGTTCAAAACTCTTCTTAATTGCCTCAGCAAGAACAGTTGGGTGGACAGTTTAGCACTCAACTGGTCAATATGATCAGTCCATTTCAGGCCATCATAAATAACTATTCCCAGTAAGTTCATATTTTCACCTCTGTAGATTTTATTATCAGTTGAAACTCGAAGTTACCTTTCGTGCGCTCCAAGAGATTTCAAATTCATTCATAGCTTTTCAGTGATATCGAAGAATGTTATAATTTTAAAATCAATATTTTACGTTATTATTGGAGATACAGAAAAACTGAAAAACTTTTCTTCAGGAGCTTCTGATGAGATTTAACGTGGTAATAAGAAATTTTACAAGCCATCTTTTCCATCTTTATAATATCTTGATCTAGATATAAAGTGAAGTTTTTCTTTGTAGATTTGCTCTATGCACATTTGACTGATGATGACCATTTGAATAGTCTCAACATGTCTCAACCCTTGAAGCAGTATTAGCTGCATTTTCGCTATTAAAATGTTTGTGGAAACGACTTCGAGATTTTTCTTTCTTAATCATTCCACTCCACTTTGAGAATGGACTACTTCAGAAGAATCAACTTATATTTTTTCAATACAGTCCTGATGATGTGTTTACATATTCTGGCAGCCTTTCTCATTATGAATACAAATTGGTTTGAATGTGTTTTTGACCGATTTTCAGCCATCATCAATGTTTTTCTTCAAATTCCAAAGAAAAAATATTATCAGTTCCACTTATTTCTGATCATTCAGTATCAAATATTGAAAGACTAGTTATTTAATACTGAGAAAAAAAATTCACTAAGTTATACAACAGACCAACGCTTCAAATTGTTTCATGTTAATTTTGGTTCTTACCTCTGCCGAACAGTTATTGAAAGCAGACATTCATAAAAAATGTTAAAATAAAAACCATTATTTTATAAACTAAGATACCCTCTTATCATAGTTGTTTCTGAGACATTTCTCAGCGTCCCTTATACAACTATACGTACATAGCATGAATATCGTCGTCGTCGATTTGATAAAACGAATTGGACAAACTATTATACCACGAAAATTCAATTTTTACAGAATAGTGAGTGATGAAGAAATAATTATACTCCAGTAGAATACATGGAGAAAAAATTATAGATATTCGTATTTTTTCGAAGGATAACTTATGCCATAATCAGATTTTTCGAACTAATCATCCTTATCTATCAATTGGAAGAAATCAATAAGGTATTTGTTCAAGACTGATGATATTTTTACTTTGGAATTTCGAAAAAATGTTGATGATTGCAAAAATTAGGTCATGACAGATTCAGGCCACTTCATAATTATACATAATCAGGACCGCCCTATTTGAAAAAAATTAGTTGATGCTATGGTTCTACGAATACGAAAAATCGTATAGAAAAATCAATATCACCACTTTGAAGTTCATCGAAAGATGGAAAACTATTTTCAGTATCTCATAAATAGTAATTATACACCAAGTTGTCTCCACAAAGTTTAATATCAAATCATGAATGGAAAGGGGGCATGTTTCGGATCTATAGAGTATCTATCATGAGCCAATCCAAAAATTATTCTACACAGAACAAAGCAACAATAATAAGGTATCAATGGTAAAACATGGTAGTATTCACGTGGAGAAGAAAAAATCAATTGGAATCACAGGAATTCAAAAAATTATTTTATGAAATTATTTTTAAACAGAATATACGTTTGCTATAACAGGTTTTCTAAACAGGGGCCCTGTGCCCCAGAAAGCAAACACCTTCACATCTTCATATCACTGGATTAATCTGATAACATGAATCACCATGTGAGTATTTCCAGTATCACCGAACCTAAACAGAGACCTCTATTTCCATGCAATAATAACATTAAAAAATAACTACTTTCGAGATCAAATTTTTTCCTAATCTTTGAAAGAAGTCCATGGTAACTCAAAGTGGAGTGGTATTGTTCATAGATGAAGAAACCCAAAGTCATCACATAGGGTGATTGATTGATCTCTGATCGTCAAATAAATGTTGTGGAGATGACTTTGGGTTTCTTCATCTATGAATTTTTTTCCAATTTTAGAATTTGTATCTCCTACCGTTTCCGAGATCCCTATGCTGTGCAACTTTATCTTGGTCACACTGTATACATATCATTTTCGTTAGTTTGTTTAGTGATGGAGATGCAAGATGCACACGCCATCAGATGATTGTTTGAATACAAACTACTGACAATCAGTTCCTAGGTTTAGTTTGGCATTTTAAAAATGCCACTACCATGTATTACATTATTCTTTATGAAACTCAGCCCAGTTGGTTTTTATGTAGACGTAAAATAGTACGTTTTCATTATTTTCAATAATAATTTCTTGGCAATGTGCCATTATTCAAAATGGAACAGACAAACTGAAAGAACAATAATGTGCTTGCATTGTTCATTTAATTATTAGTTAATAATCAAACATAAATACCTATCGATTGAATAATTGGATTTAAGTTTTTTGAATAATTTGTTAGATATTGTTTTTACATACCATCTTTATTCGTGAGATTTTTGATTATTTTGTCCACGTCCAAGTTAGCCATATTGAAAAGTAGAACACAGATAAATGTCAATATCACATATGTGATTAAAAATTGCAAACTAAGACTATAGAATACTTACGATAAGATAGGTACAAGATAACATATCAATATGGTCTGTCATATAAATTACCACCGATATGATTATAATCTGTGAAATCTCTAGGAGTGGAGGTGATGATTTGCAGACCTGCAGATTTCTCGAGTCGGAAGAACGAATACAGGGTGATCTATGATAAGGATGCGAAGAATTAGTCAGTGGGTTGTCTCCATCAAATGAAGTTCAAATAATTTTAAATTGGAGCGTAATTCGAATGAATTGAGGATCAAAACACCTTTTACCTTGGGTAGCATCGCATATCATCCCCCTCCTTTATTTGATTTGAAATTGACAGCTAAGCTGGTGGGGATAGAAGTGACTTTGTCGTTTTCGAAAACAACAGGAATATATTCCATATCTGTGTATCACAACACAACAGAAGTGAGAAATCAAAAACATTAAATTGAACGACCATACACTTATTGCACTCTTTTAAGCAGAAAATGGGTTCTAATGACGATGTGGAAGGTGAAGCTCTCCCGTTTCGAGTATACGGAAACAAAGGAATTGTTGAATCAAGCAAAATTTAATTGAATGAAGCAAATAAAACTGTCATATATGCACGACAAAATATAATCCTGAAATGAGTAAATCTACCTATATCTTGTTTCCCAGCACATCCATGAATTGTTTATGAAGAGATATTGTATTGGCTCAAACAATCATTTTGTTTGATTCAAAATAACCAGATATTGATCCAATCAAATATTCAGTTGATTCAATGGAATATTGGTGCGAAGCAGTGCGCGAAGTAAAACGATGCGCGAAGTAGAGGTACATACTTCGCGCATTGTATGTAAACTACATGAGCTTTTGATATTTCAACTTCATGGTCCTCAATCGAGCAAATTTGAAACAAATTATTTATTTCTGAATGTTTAACAATAATTTATTTTTATCTCTTGTACCGCACGGAAGGAAATTCCTATAATGTATAACGAGGAACATCGTGCATACCTAGGGAGGATTGGGAGAGGCCTTTTATAAGCCAGTTCAACGATATTTTTTATATTAAGCTTAGAACTATATTTTTTGACTTCCCAGCAAACACGATATAACTGGCGAATCAACGGCTCATTGATGTAATCGTTGGAATACTGCTGGCACTATTTTTCGGTGATAAAAAAGTACATGTATATTCTTGGATGTATGACAAATTGATATTCATCATACAGGACGTGGAAAAATTCTGAATTGAGAAAACCTAATCACGAATCCGCGATTGAAGGTTTTAATAGATATAATTCAATGTTCGTCGTGGCATATAGCCAGGAAAGTAGTTGTTTTCTGTTGAATAAACCGAGAAAGAATTGATGTTTTTATCACATATAGAGAATGCGAATTCTCAATGTATTTATTGAATCAAGATTACACTATTTTTACGGCATTGGGTAATCAATGTGTATAATCCATTTCACAAAGATCACTGGAACAGTACTGGTTGAACGATAAATGAAGGATATAGCCTATCAGTTGCATTGTATTGACATTATTTTATCGACAATGGATAATTGATGTTTTCCATAGGTCTTTCACTTCGAGAACATCAATCGTGATATGTTACTACCTCCACCATGAATTCAGTCCTAACAGCAATCTACTACTACCTCAGACTTCAGACTTGAGTCTTTGTTTCCTAACTATCGTTGCAGCAGGCGCTGTATAGGTAATATGCAGTTGTGATATATAGGTTACCACCTGAAATTCACAAATAGTTCATTCCAGATACCAAAGAAGAGAGTTTCTCATGTTTTGGCCATTTCACAGATATTCCAGAAATCACAATATCAATCAACAGAAACGAATATATACTGAATCCGAGAAGTTTTATTGTAGTAATTATTATTATCATTAGGAACATATTATTTTCTCTAAGAATAAACCACTTAATTACCATTGGGAATGCACTGAAAATACGTCAGACAACTGGGCCAACAACAAATAATCAATAAATGGAAGTACTGCCTCTCCAATATTGGCGTTGAGTCGGCCAGTGGCAACTTTTGTGATTTACCATTGAAAAATGCCAGTATTAAGCCAATGCTAGTTCACTGGGATGACATTGCTCTGAAAGGAATCGCCCATGTAGTGATATTTGCTGGGGTTTGTAGAAATAATTTTGTTTGCAACTCGTGCGCGAAATACTTTGGTAATCTCGAATATTTTTAAACTCGGCTGCGCCCCAAAAATAACTATTTCAAAAAATATATATAAAAAAACTGTCCAACGAAACATAAATTAAAACTTTTGGCAAATAACTGCTTGTAACAATACGAACCGCACTGAATTTCCTAAACAAACTTGAAAAAAGTGTATATCCAGGATTTAAGGATGCTACATATTTGCATGATTCTTTCATCATTGGCACGGTAATTGCTTCACGAACACTTGGTGGATCCGGGATTCCGGATTCTTATATGAAATTTTTAATTTGTAATCTTGACTTGTGTAAACGCTTTTTGTGTATTAGCACCAATAAATTATGAGTATGAGTAACAGACGATATGTTGATGTGTCTGGAGTTATTACAGGGTGTCAGGCGGGAGGCAGCTTCTGGTCGGATCAATTTTTCAATTGATAAGAGGAAAATGAAAGTACAAAATACCAATTCTAAAGATATTATTTATTTTCCACCCTTTATATGTACAAACAATGTATACATAATATTCAAGTATATAAATATATACCTATTCAAATCACACGAATTGAGTCAATTTCATTCAGAGATCACAGAAACGGAGCTGGAATACTCAGCTATAGAATTTAACTTTTTTATAAGACTTTCTGAGGCAATAGCCACAAAATATTGGAATGTGGTTTCATTCTCTCAATTCACACTGCACATTAAATCTGAATGATTATCATTTTATTTAGACATATCTGTTGAATTTATATCTTCCAGTCCTTTCTTTGTACATTTTTCATAATTCCAAAAATATTGTCAGTATTTATCACCCTACATTTCCAAAACTGTAAAATTAAAGCTGCCTTCTTTGATGGACGAATTGCTCACAATATTATAATACAAAAAACTTACATAAGATGGAAAATGATCGCAATTCTTCCATCAAATACAGGATGTTCCAAAATGGAATAGCAATATTTCACCAAAAGTGTCATTAAAATATGGTGAAGCTTGAACAGAAAAACATACCAAAAGTACAGAATCACATAATATATCTGAAATCCTATTTCTTGACAGTTCAAATAAAATATTGCCGCCATTTTTTAGGAACACCATGTATATTTTCGTAACACGCGTAGGCTTTCAAAAAATTGGAAATTTTCCACAAAAAAAAATATCATAATGAAAAACATTGTGTCCAACGAAACATAAATTAAACTTTTGGCACATAAACTCGTTGCTTTGTAACAATACGAATTGCACTGAATTTCCTAAACTAAAAAAAAAACTGTATATACAGGACTTAAGGATGCTACATATTTGCACGAGTCTCTCATTATTGGCACCAGGTAATTGCTTCACGGACACTTCTCATGATTCTTACGCTAGTTCTGCGGCCCCTGGATGGGCGGATCCGGAGAACAGACGATGCTGATGTGTCTGGAGTTGTTGCTGAGGTCCGTGGGGCCCTCCATGCTCAGATCCGTGGGCTTCTCTTCGTAGTCCACGGGGTGACCGGCGGCAGGCAGCTCCTGGTCAGAGGTGTCCGCGGGCTCCGATTTGATTGTCAGCATCGCTGTCATCGGGTTCGGGGGCGGTTTCACGTTCGTCGGCGACATTTGCTGCCTCAGGAGGGATATGTTCTTGATATTCTTCAGTTCGGTTGGATTCCGAAGAAATCTGCAATGGAACCACACCGTTAAAATTTTGTGACTATTTAACGCAGATATCAAATGAACCAATCAGAATCTCAGGTCAAGTTCGGCGTATCTATGGTCCCTTGATGCAAAGTGACGTATTTGTCATCTAACAGGGTACGGACTGATTATAGCTCCTCTCTTTTTTAATCATCTAGTGACTTTGGTTTCGTGTATTGGCGTCCCTGACATGACATTGCTGTCACGTCACATTCATAGGCATTAAAAGAGATATTACAAAACTTTAACTTCATACTTGATCTTGATACGACATTATTCAATTATGTTTTGGAAGGATGGTAAAATATGCTGCGTATCAATCAGTTGGATAGCAAAATTGAATTTGTCAGCTTACCATAAAATCCAAATAACTTAGAACATGGGAAGTGGAGTGACCGAATGGGGAAAATTGGTAAATACATCAGCAAAATATTCGAGGTAAAACTAAATACGAAATCACATATTATACTTTCTCATTGTGCCTATAATTATCCACTCCACAAGTTTTTGAATGAATTTTAGTAAGAAACAGTTTTGATTAAAACGGAGGATTAAAAGAAGAGGCATATATTATGCCTAAAAATTATTTCATCACTTCCGGTCTAACCGGAAGTGACCCAAACTTTTGATTTTCGAATGGAACCCCCTGTATATTTTTCCATTTTCAGATTCAGGGTATCATTTTACATACACCAGTAGTTTTTCCGGATCATTTTGTGTGAAACAGAAAGAACAACAAAATTAACTCCACATCAATCTTTATTATTTTCAGTAGCATAGGAAGAGGGGCGATAAAAAATTAATTACAACAAATGCTCAAATTGACCCCCATTTTGTGCAATGCATTGCTGACACCTTCTAGCTAGACTAAAAGATGCGTTGTGTAAAAATGCTTGGGGTATATTGCGGCAAGCCTCTAATATTCGATGCCTAAGGATTTCTATATTCTCTGGCTGAAATAGATAAACTTGATCCTTCAAGTAACCCCAAAGGAAGAAATCCATGACTGTCAAATCTGGACTGCGAGCTGGCCACCGTATCGGTCCATTTGTTCCTATCCACCTTTCTCCAAAGTGTGTATTCAAATAAGTCATCTATGGTCTCTTGATGCAAAGTGACGTATTTGTCATCTAACAGGGTACGGACTGATTATAGCTCCTCTCTTTTTTAATCATCTAGTGACTTTGGTTTCGTGTATTGGCGTCCCTGACATGACATTGCTGTCACGTCACATTCATAGGCATTAAAAGAGATATTACAAAACTTTAACTTCATACTTGATCTTGATACGACATTATTCAATTCTGTTTTGGAAGGATGGTAAAATATGCTGCGTTAGGCTGTATCAATCAGTTGGATAGCAAAATTGAATTTGTCAGCTTACCATAAAATCCAAATAACTTAGAACATGGGAAGTGGAGTGACCGAATGGGGAAAATTGGTAAATACATCAGCAAAATATTCGAGGTAAAACTAATACGAAATCACATATTATACTTTCTCATTGTGCCTATAATTATCCACTCCACAAGTTTTTGAATGAATTTTAGTAAGAAACAGTTTTGATTAAAACGGAGGATTAAAAGAAGAGGCATATATTATGCCCTACCATTTAAAAAATTATACCTACATTTAGGAAATATTAAGTGTTCGTGAAAAACTGCAAAAATGATTCCCAACATGAATATATACAGAACACATGACATATGAGCACATTAGTTTAAATACCTACATAAAATTTTTCACCATTTCTCAACCATTAGTCTGAAATCAAAATTCATTTATTGATAGGTACTGCCAAAGAACAGTCCCATTTGGTAAAACGTATTAAACTTTCAGAAAAATTTGCTGTCTCACAAAGATTATGCTGGAGTTGAAAAATCAAAAACTCATTTGGATATAATATGTAGGGTTGAATGAGAAATTACATATGGAAATTAAGAATGATACGCCAATGTCCTCAATATAACCTAAAAAACAACAAATGTCAGAAATCTAGTGTTAATCCCCAGAAATGAATAAAGATGGAACTATATAGATGTTTCACAAACACTTTGGAGTGAGAGGAAACGAGGATCTGTCCGCACCCTGTTAAGATGACAAATACGTCAATTTACATCAAGGGACCCTAATAACACCGAGCTTGACTCTTGACTCTGATTGGCCTGTCAAGTTCGGTGTTTACAACGTGTAGGTGACAGTAAAACGTCAAATATAAGTAATCACGCTGTGCGCGCATTTAGCAGATTACATCCAACTCAGTGAACAGCATTACGAGAAACGTATTGCAAATGTAAGAAATAATATAACAATCAAGATATAACAAATATAGAGCAGTTCAGCTAGCGTTGAGAGAAAAAAATGTCTTCCTCATCTGTCCTTATCGTCAGTGTTCCAACGTAAAATTAGGGAAATTTTATGATGGTAACATTGGAAACGGGAAAAAATGGAGAAGAAGATCATATTATCCTCAATATAAAACAGGTTGACTAATTAAGTTTCTAATATGTTGCTGATTCTTCTACTACAGACAATGAAGTCGATTTTTTGACCCATCAATTAGAAGAAACCATTGTTTATCTTATAGAAACTCACAGAATATTTACAATATCTAATGTAAAAGAGCTGTTATTGAGTATTAAGTATTTTGAATTGCAAAATCAAGTACTACCCAGGGTCATTATATATCTATACAGACAAGGTAATGGCATAAACGGCCTTTATGACTTCGCGGGGTACAGGGGTGAGGTGAAGTAAGAGGGCGCAGTGCTAGCAACAAAAATTTTGGGAAATTAAATGAAACAGGTTATGAATTCTTATAATTTCCTGTTGTTTTTATGGGTTGTGGATTAGAGATTCATGAAAGTTTTCAAAAATGACTGGTACAAAACGTGTGTGAAAACTGAAGGGATGATTGGTCATATCATCAAAGCAAACCACTCAGAAGTGTTCAAGTTGCTGCCGTCAGATGGGGCAACGTGTTATTTTCTATCGCGAATAATATGTCAGTTCCTGGCTTCGAATGAAAGTTAGACATGTTTTCCGGTAGTTTTCTGGCCATCGCAACGTCAGATAATGACCTTGACTACCGCGAATAGACTCGCAATGACATTATGAGAAAGTCATAATAGATATATGGATATATAATAACCCTAGTACTTGCTTGATGATTCCTAGACGGTGGGTTACATTATGGGGTTTTCAATGTCTTCAACTAACTTCTTGGTAATTTTCGAATCTATTCAATATAGTCGAATAATATTATGAATGCATAAGCCGAGAACGAGGCATTTTTTTGCATTTATTTTGGTTCCATTGTATGAACAGAAGTATATGAGGGTATCTTGGGAGCTATTGATAAATGGCAAGTATTGTTTTCTGTAAATACATCTAACAAAATAATATAACTGAATGAGATGCCTTCAGTGATACAAAGGATTTGTGTCTCACATTTTTTTCAGATGTTTCAAAACATGACAATGTGTTATCGGTACACTAGTTTTTTTTGGAAAGTCCATTTCTGATATAATACACGAAAACGAGTGTGTCTCGGCCTCGGTCTCGGCGGTCTGGGGAACAACTGAAAAGAGGATAATTCATAGTGGATCGAATAATATTCAACAGATCATGTGCAACAAGTGTTTTTAAATGGGGTTTAATCTGACAATATTGAAATGAAATGCAGTGATCCACAATGATATATGTTCTTTGTCCTGTTATTTTAGTTGTACATAAATCAACGATTTGGTTGATACTTCCATAGGTGGACAGTTCACGATTTTTGTTGATATGTCATTACTTTGACATAATAATATCTTGATCACTGTACAAAATAATATGGAAAACGATCTAAAAGACCTCAAAAGTCGTCTTGGCTTACTCGATTGATCAGATTTTCTCCATTTTCAGGAATAATCATTGCATAAAAATTTCAAATTCATCAAGAACATCGAAATTAATATATGTATACCAATGACAGAACTGAACGATACAGTTTGAAATCCTTCACTAAATTGAATAAAAACGATAAGATTTACACAAAATTCACAAACACACGACATGTTTTGCTAACACAGTAGATTCGTCAGGTGATATTTACATTTGCCATGGATTTCCATCAAGTAACGGCCGAGTCAATTCAATAAAAAAAAGATTTATATACTATTACCAAAGCAAAATAATGCAAATTCAACTTACTGGTAACAGTGTCTTTCTCCTTGCACTTTTCTTAATATGTTAACTCTGTAATAGTATCTTAAAGCTCTAGACATCTTGTCGTAGTTCATAGACAAATGGTTTTTCTGGATTCCCCATAATTTGGCAAGCCCTGATGGATCCACAATCTTGAAGACCCCCGTATCACGGTTTTTCCAGGCAATATAACTGGTATACCTTTGAGCTGGGTCATTCAGTAGCTGTTGTAGAAAATCCCATAAAAGCCTGCCATCTGCAAGAAACAATAAGACAGTTAAATTATGAGCATATAGATCCAATTAGAAATATGACTATGGATATACAATTCAGCAAAATCGCACTGAATCGGAAGAGCTTAAAATGTTTCAATCCAAAATGAAAAGTAGACCTCATTATTATGATTCAGCATGAAATTAGATTCCTAATAGAATACCACACTAAAACTTTTATTAAAAGTGTTCATGTTTCAAGAGAGTTTTGTTGAAAGTTTTATCTGATTGTTTGTTTATTTCCTATACAGTGAAATGAGTAATTCATCAATATGTGGTTAAAAAAATTCCATTCCATTACGTTTGGTTATAAAGTGGTAGTTTATGTATTAAAGTAAGTTGTTCCGTGAATGCTAATGTACCATTTTTTGGCATTAATTCATTGAATGAGAACAAAAGAAATTTCAGTTTTCCTATGTATTCTTGGAATATTTCAATGAATCAACTACCACTTTGCATTGAAACTCCACATATAACAATAATGTTCTTAGGTACAAAATGGTAAGAAGCGATGACAAAATCGAAAATGAAAGATTGATTCATTCAGTACGAAATACTTACTTGTATTTGGTTCCGAGGAATCGCTTGGAAAAAACTCCCTCCCAGTGTTTCTGAAAGCAGCAGGACTGGACACAGGCTCCTTGGGACTCCTCGGAGGTAGATATGGCATCTGAGGCATCAACGCATAAGCACTAGGCGTATTAGGCGTATTGGGAGGGCTACCACTGTACCCCTTCTTGTCCGCATCCTCGTCCGAATCCGATGGATTCGACCCGCTTCCGTTACTACCGCTCATACTGAAGATAGAATGACCGAAACTCGGGTTGTCCAAGCGTTGCGGACTGCTGGCCTGACTGTCGACAGAGGGCGCTGGGCTCAAAGTAACCGAGTTGCTCTGGGCCATCAGGTGAGCCGCCAGACTGGCGGCGTGTGACGTATGCAAAGACTCGTTCTTCTGCGTCAGCATGTTCCAGTTGGGGGTTGGAGGGTGAGAATGGGGCGAGAGAGGATAAGGGTGTCTCGAAGTGGGGGTAACGGGACTGCTGGGCAGCATTCGTTGTAGGGTGTTGGCCTCTCGCACCAAGATCTGCAGGACGTTGTACAGGACGTCTCCGGAGCCGGGGGCTCTCTCCGACAAATCGTTCCTGGTCAAAAGGCACATGGCTTTGCCGTTCATCTGGAACATGTCTTGGTCTATGGGCTGCAGGTCGTACTCTCGTTCCGACCATTGGAGGAACATCATGACGTCGTCTCTGTTCCAAACTCTTGGGTCCGAAGGCAGGGAGTTCGGTAGCTGGCTCTTGTAGTCTAACAAAGGGGACGAAGGCGGGTTTTGGTGGGCCATGGAGGAGAAGCCTAGGGGGTACCTCCAGAGCAGGTCGGCGTTGAATGGCAGGGGCAGCGGGAGACGTTCCATGCTTGTGCTTGTAGGTATGGGCGGGAGATGGCCTGGTATTAGTTTCATGTTATCAAATCTGGAAGAAGATGTTTTGTTAATTCAAAGTTTGCAACATTAACTGCGGGTTCAAGTAATCACATTATCATTATACAATGAAACAAGCTCAGATACGACGCTATTCTCTGTAAGATGCGTATTTATTGAAATAGGTATGTTTATTTTTTATGAATTGCATCATTGTTCATGACTATTTTTATCAGGAATACTACCTCTTCACCACAACCTCGGATGATGGGATATTGCCGCTCACCCCTAGAGGTTACAGTTCACTGTACAATCCCCTTATTTATTAAAAGTCCGAGGGGTAAAACGCGGTGGAATTCTGGTCCCGATTCTGGTGTACTAACAACTGGAAATCCTTATAATTCCCTGGATTTCCTTGGATGAACTGCGGTATATTCCTGGTCTACAAACAACTAGAATTCCTTGGAATTCCTTGGTTTTCCTTGAAATTCCTAGAATTTTCTTGAATTTTCTTGGAATTCCTTGGATTTTCTTGGAATTTCCTAGAATCGCTTGGAGTTTCTAGGAATTCCTTGTGTGAAGTAAGGTATAATTCTGGTGTACCAAAAACTGGAATTCCTTGTGTGAAGTAAGGTATAATTCTGGTGTACCAAAAACTGGAATTCCTTGTGTGAAGTAAGGTATAATTCTGGTGTACCAAAAACATACACATAGCAAAAACAACATGTTTGTTGGTTCAGACCCGGAAGCAGTCCATCAAGGTTCGCAGGTTGCTCCTGCTCCATTCTAGGATCTGCCTGGTTATATAAATGGATGGTTCAAACAGAAATGCGACCAACATAAGTTTATTCCCTCCGCCCAGTCCGAAGTTATATTGGCCTAGATTTTGGCAACCAAAATATGGTCCTTATTCTATGAATTTGCTAGCTGACTTTTAGCTGATAGACATTAAAACTTATTTGGAACAAAAATGGACATCCTCTGAACCGGTTGCAGAAATAAGTTATTTATAATGGTTGATATGGAATAGATGCCAGATGATATGTCAAATCTTCTATGAAACAAACAATATCATCGTCAAGATTTGTGACAATTTTTTTTAATACAATTCCGCACAAGTGCGGGAAATGGTCACTTCCCAAGTACCGAATCCATTGTTTTTGCATTACGGAAAAACAACGATCTGAATGAATTCTGGTTTTCTTGAAGTTGTTCCAGTACATAGAATCATAGAATGCATCAAACTATCCATCCTAATAGGAATGAATAATGTTCCACAGCATAATAGGGATAGTCATTTGACATTGAAAGAATTTACAACAATAATATTTTTCTGGCGCCCCTCCTACCAATTTTTTTTTCTTATGGAATATTTTACGCGGAGATATCTACTCGGATATCTTCCATTCTAGAAGTAATTAAAACCTTATTGTAAAGATGGCAAACACAAGACTGACTGCACGTGACTGTGAGCCTGGTAAATAATCGAGTAAGTTATCAAAAAAATGGAAATATCTCAACTATAACTCTAACCCGCTCTAACCTAAAACCGAGATATACATATACAGTGTGTCTCAGCTAATATTCGTGTGATTGTTACCAAATTAAGACTGACTACTAAATAATACTCGAAATCATCTCCACGCCATTTTAATATGATCAATAACGATCAAATCAATTGGTACATATTTCGGACATATATATGCCCATCCTCAGCCTAATAAAATTACTACATCTCTGTCCTAGAATAAAAGTGAATAATTACAGAATTTTTTATAAAATTGATGAAAGGAATGCTTACATGGGAATGATAAAGTTAGGTTGAATCTTAATATTGATGATGAAGAAATAGGGTATCATTTTGCTACAAAGGGGAAACCCAACAGCCCCAAAATGGGAACAATTATGGTGGAAACCACACAAGGGAACACCAGGAGGTGCACATCGGCGAAATTAAATGATGGAAAAGCATGAACAAGGAACAAGTCCATCTCGTGGTGTTTTGATCTGAGTAATATGTGGTGAGTTTTTGTAAAGAACTTTTAGGGACACCCTGTACTATATCTGCCCCAACATGACGAAAAAACTAATTTTCGATTTGAAGGCATCTAATCTGGAACCCTGCCTGCAATAAAATTCTATATAGAATCACTAATAATTGAATCTCACAATTTCTGTTTCGAAAATAAACGATAAAAAAAATCATTTCGACCACCAGACGTTATAATATTATTGACACACGAGTGCATAAATCCATTATCACAAAATTCAAGTAGTCGTATACATCGTATATTTTGTCGTAGGTATCAAACTATTTCAATAATAATTCTTATTCAAATACACAATACACAGGAAGTTTCGAGTGGTAGGTAATTCCATGTTCGATTACAAAACCTGAAATGAAAGATTTCCAAATCGCTTGTTCATTGCCTATACCTTCCTTATACCGGAAAAAACAGACTTATAATATGTAAACGAGTTTAAAAAAAACATTTACTTCACCTTGAAATAACTTCCGTGAGCGTCAAACCTACATAAACGCCAAGCTGGTGATTATTGTACATTTATTATTTCGTACCTACTGCATCATTGCCTCACTTCCTACTCGTTCTAGATTTTACTGTCTCTCGCTTATTTTAGTACCAATGGGTAGCGAATAACTTCAAGAAACAGCAAACGATATTGGATATTAATTGTTTATTATAATTCGAGCACAGTGCACACTATACACTCTGTGTTACTACCACCATATTACTACTAAAGAAACCGAATTTCAAACGCCTGTCATGAGTATAGGTACGTCCTATAAAACAAAAAAATCATACAAAAAATAGAAATTTACATTGCAAGATTGAAAGCTAGATTAAAAATTAAAACACAAAATATATGATGAGATAAAAGGTATGTCACGACGAGCTTACACTATATTTACTTATATTTCAGAATTCGCTCTTTTCTTTTAAAATATTTTAGAAAAGGCAGTGTTGCCGCGTCTACTAGAAAGTAGTAGTAACATTGATATTTCAAATGGAACATCCTGTATATATTTCATCGCATTTTTAGATTTTTCCTGAAGAGCTGATTTCATCGATGTATCACACTTGGGGTCTATCGAAAATGATTACAGAGATATAGGGTGTTCAAAATCGAGATTTTTCAACTTGAGGATTTTTTTGTATCGAAACTATTTATTATAGGTCAAAACGGCTCACATGTCCCTATCTCAACTTTAGATTTACTATTCACTGATATTTAATCGGATCAGATACAGGGTGATCAGACATATATATATGACACTCAGATTTTGTTGAATCTTCAGAATTTTTGTCGATTCAAACAATGTTTTTTCGTGTAGACAAGAGTACAAAAAAGATTGTCCGGATCTGTTGCTTGCACTCTTTTATTGGCAACAACCAACCAATAAAGCAAGTTCTTTATATTTATTTGTAGAACAAAATAAGGAACAATCTAATCCTTGTTTACATTAATGAGCAATTGCTAATATTGAAGAACACATAGTTAGGTCTATTCTTGTTGATGTTACGGGAACGTAACTATGTTTACATTATTCTTCCCTCTATGAGTAAAATCGAGTAAAATAGTATACCTACTTTTCAGCGTAAACTTACATCTCGAGTTACATGCTCCACAAGAAAGAGAATTCAACAATAATTTCCGATTTTTGTGACAAATATCTTAAAATTACATCTTCTGTGAAGTTTTGCATTTCTACAATACATCAATCTATTTGTATTTTGTGCACAAATCAGACGGTTTCGTACGAGGATTCATAGGTATGTATATGTATTATACCTTTGTACTTATCCTTTGATTCTTCAGGTAACAGTGGAGTCATAAAACATTAATTATCATTACATTGTCACTACCGAGGGGTGGCTCACTTGCCTAAATTTTGTACACCATATTACCAAATCAGGTAATATCAGTAATATTTAGGGGATATTACCATAATACCAATAATACTCAAGATATTACTAAATATTACTGATTATGTGAAATATTACCAAATATTACCAAATATTACCAAATAAGACCAAATTCCACAAAATATTACCAAATATTACCAAATATTACCAAATATTACCAAATATTACCAAATATTACCAAATATTACCAAATATTACCAAATATTACCAAATATTACCAAATATTACCTAATATTACCTTCCAAATAATGATGGTACCTGATGAATGACATTAATTACCTCGTTAATTACCAATGTATACAGGTAACCTCACTCACCACTATCATCAATTCAACTATTATCAGCAGAAATGTCTATATATTTCGACAACTAAACTGATAAACGAAATAAACTTCAAATACTTTCATAATTTTTTTTCGAGCATGGTCCAAGAAAGAATTTCGAAAAATTCGAAACGATATAGAACCGTATAGAACAAGGTCGAAAAAAACAAAATTGCTCAAACGGAATCATAACGACAACGCTGCAATTTTACACTACTTCAATTATTATCCTGTTCCCAGAAATTTTTGTGTAAAGTGTCATATTGCTCTGGAGAGTAACTGAAAGATGGGGCTAACCAAGAATCAGAACCAATTAGAAATTTATAATTGGATCTATGAGTAATGTATAGATATTTCTACTGATAATAGATGAATTAATAAGAGTGATAAGGGTGGTTACCTGTATGAACTAGTAATGATTAATGTGGTTTATCAGGTTCTTAAAATTATTTGGAAGGTGATATTGGTAATATTTTGTAACATTCCCGAATATTTCGTAATATTTGGTAATATTCGGAAATATTTGGTAATATTTGGTAATATTTGGTAATATTTGGTAATATTTGGTAATATTTGGTAGTATTCAGTAATATTCGGTAATATTTGATAATATTTGGTAATAATTGGTAATATTTGGGAATATTCGGTAATATTCAGTAGTATTTGGTAATATTTGGCATTACTTGGAAATATTTGGTAATATTTTGAAGAATCAGTAATATTTCGTAATATCTTGTATATTATTGGTATTATTAGATATTACCTAGTTTAT